AGAGAAATTCCTTGCCCAGGCTCTCGCGCCGCAGGCCAGATCCTGGAGAAAAAGCAGTAACTAGCGCCGCAGGCTCAAAGGTTCTAGCGGAACGCTGGCTCTAGCGCCGCAGGCTAAAAGAAGAATGTATTCAAATTCATGAATCCTAGACCGGGTCCAGTGGAAAATGGCCGCGAAGCGGTCTTTGTCCACTGGTTCCATATAAGATGCAAATCGCATTATCCAAGCAAAATCCTTGGCCTGGGTCCTCTAAAATTTGACATTATATATTTGGGCTATAGGAAGCCGCAAGTCTGGCATTGTCGGCTAGTAGCGTTTCCGAGATTTTTTAATCGGTGGTACGCTGAAAAAACCATTCGCGCCAACACCCGAAAACAAAAATACGGCCCAGTCAGTACGTGGCTTGTATTGTACTTAACGTTATTTTTCAAAAATTTAGTCGTATTGGTTACCAATGCGGCGCTAAGCTCGCTTTTGTTGCATTGGGGTGGAGGGGGCCCTTTCATTTGTGAGTGGGGCCTTTTGGGCCCTTGCTTTCGTCTCCAAAAGAATCGAATCGACGCCTCGAAAATGCAATCTCAACACCCATTCTCCTCTTCTTCTGCCCCGACATACTACACATTTCGCATTTTAACGGGTTTTGTGCTTCTTTATGATAAATTTCAAGATCTGAAAGTACCGATTTACATTCTAGCAGGTTATGATAGTTTGAGCTTTGAAAAATTATGTTTAAACCTATATGAGTGATAGAAAAAAGCTGGAAAAGGCCCCTGAAAAAATTACTTAAGATTTTGCTTGGCGCGAGGCCCGTTTTGAATCTGCACAGAAGTACAGTACGACAGCTACGAGGAGCCAATCGAAGCTCACAGCTCGTCAGCAAAAAATTAAAGCGACCATGCGTTTTTTTGGTGGCTTCCAACTTCCTTTAATCGTAATCAAGGCCTTTGCGATAATGATGCCTTCTACCCAATGCCTTGCGTGTGCCTTTTGACACTAGCCCGACTTGGAGGCATGGCAACCGGAAGAAATGCACCCTGGGGAAAAGCCGAGGGTGCTCTGGCGTTACGGCTTGTCGTGTCGTACCACCCTAGTGTCACTTCAATATAGTGCATTTTGAGGATTGAACTTTTCGAAGTGATTTGGGTTTTCTCGGTAGGGAGGTGCCGGATGTTCGGATTAAAGTTACTGACCAGTGCTGGAAACCTAGCAAGATATGTCAACGTTCACCTTGCTCTTGGCGAATTCTTCGTTCTATACTTATCTTATTTCAACCACTTTAGTTTATCCGTTAATTTCGTTTCCGCTAAAAAAATAAATACGCAAGTTTCGCCTTTACGTCAGCAATCCACTTAAAATATTCCCATCAAACCAACGTTTGCCGATGTTTACCCTTTGCCCCGACCGTTTCCGATTGTTTTCCAATAGAAAGGTGAATGATTCACCGCCAACGATTCTCGACTGTATGACCATGAGGATGGTCTTTGGATCAATAAGTATTAGGGCATTGCCTCCTTTGCCAAAAGTTCGACCTTGACTCGATCCTTCACCCGCACAACAGTCCACCCCCGGCCCCTCTTGTAGCCAGCTTTCTGCAATAATTCTTTTCCGGATTTTCTGGCGCAATAATTCTAGCGTATAAAGTGATACGGTAGATTAGTTCCACGTTGGATACAGTCCGGTTCCACGCTACCTGTCTGTTTTTCCTAGATTTTCCTGCAAATAATTCCAAATGATCCTTCATAATTTTTTGGAAGCTCGTCCTTGGTTATTATTTATTTCATGATTCGTCCCAAATTTGGAGTTTTAAACTGCGTATATTGATACCTTTAAAAAGGATTGAACGGTCAAAACCAGCAAAAGCTTAGCTTCCTCATCCCGGTGAGTGGGCCCTGCGCGTCTTTGTTTGTTTCATGGGTGAACACAGGCGACGAAACCTCTCCCCCCGGCCTACGAACCAGCTCCTTCACGAAATCGATTAATTTTGGGTCAACCATTACATTAATAGGTGCTAATGCACTTAGGGGGGGGGGGCAGTCCCGATTTTGACTACAAGACGCTCCAAATGCCGTTTTTTAAACTCGAAGCCTCTGGAAAAGCTAAGTCAAGCCTAAGCCTAGGATTAGCTTCATAAAAACGAAGTCTAAGCTTAGCTGGAGCCAAGCTAAGCTTAGCTCTAAGCTTAGTCCTAAATGACCCCATTTTGACCACCTAAGGCAATTTAAACCTCAAGTTGAGCTTAGTTTGGGCTTAAGCTTAAGCCTAAGCCTAAGCTAAGCTTAGTTAAAGCTAAGTTAAGCCTAGGCTTAAGCAGAAAACCAAGTAGCTTAAGCGGAGCGTCTCGTAACCCCTTACTACCAATTTCGGACTGCCCCCCCCCCTAACTGCATTAGCACCCATTAATATATCTAATTATATGGCTTATTAATTACCCAAGAGGTAGTAGACAACAAAATTTAGTGCGGATGTCGTCAAATTTCCGCGATCCTTAAATGGCCGACCATTTTTGCTTTAGCCTCCATTTTAAGGTTGTTTAGAAAAATTGGACAAGTTATAGATTCAGAAATTTTTGCAACATTCCATACTCTACTCACAGCCGAAAACTTGCCAGGCGACCCAGTTGGGAACTGGGCAATTATTCGTGCATAATGCTGAGACATGTGTGTGGCCCAGATGGGCCCCCGGGCCCCCAAGCTCCTTATCGACCAAGTACCGCTTATTTACGAGTGCTGCTCAGAAATCTTTTTCACGTTTTTGATTGCAATCGTCTTTTGAAAGATAACACATCTTACAACACAAAGACTTTTAAAAAATTGAGTGTTTGTAACATACTTTAATCCTCTAATAATACTTTTCCAAATACCTTTTCACGCATAAATTTAAATGCAAACACTTAGCATGGCGCGAAGCCAGGGTTCGGTCGATAGCGTCGGACTACCCAACGACCAACGCGTTATTTCCTATGCCTGCACAGTTCTATGGTACATCGCTGCATTCGGGATCCAGATCATGGCCTATGGCAATAATGCTTGGATCACCGTTAAGTCCGAAAGTAGCAATGAGGAGTTCCAGGTCGTTCCAGTTTCCCGATCAATTTTCTATCTTTAATTTTTAGCGTGGCCTGTTTGATGACTGCTATTTTAAAGATGGCGTGGCTACGTCGTGCAAGGGCTGGTCGTCGTCTTATGAACAACCAGCCTTTGGTAATGGATCCATTTTCTCGGGATCAACTATCGTCGAGCCATGCATCGGTACGTACCTTTGTTGGCTTTAAAACCGCTTCAATGTATTTTTCGTAATATTGCTGGCACACTTTACTTGGACACAGGCTCATCGGAAAATAAAAAACAATATTTACACCTTTAGTGTCAAAGCTAATGGGATGGACAGCAAGAGCACTGCTATTTTTGTGTATCGTCTGGTTCTTCATTTCGATTGCGTTCTGCTACAAATTATGCCTCTATAAAGAAAGCCGATTGGTCAAGATTTTCTGGCTGGCAATCGTTGGAGGTAAAACCTTACCATAACCACAATCAAAATATTAAATACATAAATTCAGTTGGTTTTGTATGCGGTGCTTTTCGGGCTTTATCTTCTGGCTCGCTTTAATCCGGGATTCGTGAAACCATTGCCGGCGGGCTTCAAGGTAAGCCCAGGTTAAACCTAGCCGGTTTTCTTGTCGGGCATTGGAAATTAATTTCAATGGAGGGAAAATATTAACAGCATTCAAATACTTTTTAGTACTCCACCGGCTACCCACCAGGACTATTCTTCATTGGACTGCTTTGTTACCTCATCGCAACTGCATTTTTCTTCGGCGAGAAAACCAAGACCATCCCCGCTCATCTGATAAACCGGTGGAGGAACAGAGCACATCATGCTCCAGTACCTACTAACCCTCCAGGGCCGCTTTCCGAGTCTCATGAGCTTCGCTACAACACACCTCGTTAGAACATATACCCCCTTGCCCTCAAATTAACCCAATTTGCATCTATACTGCCCTCTTCAATCTCCCTCAACGCTCCTCCATCAGGGACTCTGTCTAAATTCGGGTAGTTGGAGCCGCTCCAATCGCAAATATTTTGCCCCCATTATGTGCAATCCTGCCAAGCTGCCAGACGGTTTTTGAACGCTTTCTTTGTTTCGTTTTATCGCGTGCCGAGCGTTGCGCCCCTGACAAAAAAAAGTTGAGTACGATAAGGCCCTAAAAAATTGACCTTTTTATGAGATTTCTTCAGGTTCTTGTGATTGTTTTCAAACTTTGTTCATTGTTTCAAAGGGCTATTTCTGGCATAATTTTTATTTGTGTGATAAAGAGTTCATCTAAAGCTTTAAAAACGATCTAAACCTGCTTATTTCCAAGAGAGACCTCTGGTGGCAGATCAAAAAAAAAAAAATAGAGTAACCGGGGGATTTGAACCGAGGAGATCGAGGAAAGATGAGGTTTGTTGCCTTCCCTCTCATCCGTTCGCGCCTATCATCTCAAATTTTACCACTCTCGGATCGCACTAAAAATGCCATTTGACAGATTCTGCGAACTGATTTATGTAACAAAATACAAAAAATCCAGTCGAGACACGGCGCGAACGGCTGGAAGAGGGGAATGGGTGCACTTCGTATTTTGTTTCTTCTCAAAAAGGCGACAACTTGAGACTATACAAAAAGACAAAGAACCAAGAATAGATGAATTTTTGTTGAGGTGAAAAGACAGAGACATCAAGAAGGGCCAATCCGACAAGGCAAACATGAAAAAATGAACAGTGGTGTGGTGAGCCGGATTGAGGCCGAGGTACCCGTATTGCAGAAGGATGTCGCAGAATATGTAAAAGAAAATACTATTCGGTTGGTTGTGGGCCGAGGATGCGAGGAAGCTTATTCTGCGCATAAAATGAGGTCGAGAATCGCCAGGGTCACATGGTTGCGAATCGTAGTCGTGGGTTACTGTAGAGGAGGGTACTGTTGGTGCTGAAGGTATAGGTCCTCTCAACGGTCGAGGGCCATCATGTAGCGATAGTTTTCTTCTTCTGTACGGACAACGGGTCGGGCAAAAGAATCCGGACTTGAACATATTTCCGAGCATGCCGCCGCTCTGAAAAATTGAAAGTTAATAAAACATATAAAATTGTTTGGACTATTTATATAACAATATTATTAATACAAAAGGTGGAAGTTTTAATATTACTTGAATTTTATCAGCTTACATTTTTCAATCTTGATCCATATCTACTTTGCGTAGCTTTTAACCGAATCGATTAGTAATACGTAAGGGAAGCTGTGTTCATAGTAGTGTTTGGGAATGGCGGGCCCTGGGTGTGGGTGCCCTTATATATTTGGAAGTAGGGGATTTTTCGATGGCGAAAGGGGGCAGGGCCCAATGTGGTAAACAACATAAGGGCGGCTGTTGTGTCTACGTCGAATTGGGTCTATCCTGTCGGTCTGATGGTCGTTGAAACGAACGAACCTTGCTTGGGGGTTGGGCTGCCGGGTCCAGCGGGTTTGACAGTGGCCCTGCGGTGTGGGTTGTGTGCTGATGAAGCAGCGACGATATGCTGAAAGGTACGGATTATTGCGAAGGTTCCGTGCCAATATCACTATTTTTAAATAATTTACAGCAATAGAACCCGTAGTCATTGTTCGAAAAATTTTTTTACGCAAAATTGCTCGGATTTTGATTATTCCAAAAATATAAGCCATCCCTCCTATAAAATAAAATCCTCCTTTAATGATTCAAAGTTAAAAGCCATGTGCCTATATAAGTATAAACCCAGTATTCTTTAAACTCAAAAATACATTCAACGAACACCCCTGTACTCTCCATCACTAAATTGCTAACCCGCCATCTTCAATCGATCAATACCCCGCACCAATCCTTGGCCGATGCCCTTTATGCACAACCCGTACACAAGGACCCAAAGGACATTATAGGTGTACTTCGGAGCGCGGCGCGGATTTTGGATGCCTGGGGAAGAGCGACCGGATGGCAAACATCACCTCCGGTTCCGTTGCCCCCCCCCATTGGAGATCTCGCAAAATTGTTTTGATCAGACCATCCGCTCCGTCTGGCCGCCTTGCCCTTTATGAGTTCAGCGCAAAAATTTCGGCTGCAGAGAGAAACCGGTTGGCGGCGAGCCAGCTAGACACTTTTTGCGCTTGCAAACAGGCAACCGGAAGAAGGCGGGAAAAGCAGCGGTTTTAAGGGGATATTGAAGTTTACGTTCCTTTTTACGTTTTTAAAAATTTCTGGGCGATAACGATCTAGGCGGAATTTTGCTTGGAAAATCTCGATTTTAAATTTTAAAGATAATTTTCCCCGGTTTAAGAGAATTTAAACTTCAAGGAACTTTTCCTTCAGTCTGTAGCTGTCACTTTTTTGAAAGCAGGATGTGCCGAATAAGCTAGCTTACATCGCAAAGCTCGAAAATTACCAAAAACGACACCTCCCAAGGGCGATCTTGAGCCAATTCCCTAACCTTCAATTTTCTACCGTACCTGCGAAAGGAGAAGTATTGACGTGCGTTGATTGAACCATTTGTTGGCGCTCAGTGGTGGCAGTGCTCATCACAAGCCCTCCCTGAAAAATGGGTCTTGATATTCTTCTACCAAATCTTTAAACGTTGATGACACTAATTTTTAAAATTTCTCTAAGTTACACTCCTAATAGTGCTCGCGGCCTAATCGACAGCATTATAATGTAAATAAAATAGTGAATAAAGGCAAGAAAGACGAAGTAAGAAAGCGGGGACGGGGGGACGGAAGTGAACCCTAGAGTGCTTTAAGAGCAACTGATGCAAGGGCTATATGGGAGAAGAATCGCATGGAAGACCGAGGGGTCGAAGAGATGTTTGCCACACACCCCGCCTACAATTCCGTTGCCTCTGATTCTCGCGCTCTCACTCCTCCCCTCCTCCTCCTCCTCCCCTTCAACCGTTCGCCCAGTGTCGACTGATAGCAGAGGCGCCTGGATGGCTGTTAACGTTGCCTGTAAAGCCTTTTTTGTCCAACGCGTTTCCGACTGGCAACACAGCTATGTTTTTGGGGTGATTGTCAAAAAAAAATAACCGGGATTTAGGTGTCAACAGCTGAGGGTTCCACCTGATTTCAGGGCGGGTAATTTCTGGAAGAGTCGACAGGAAGAGAAAGCCGGGGTGACGTTGTATTCTAATTGGGCTGATTTGCGCTCTGCGTCGTTGGATTTGGATATGGGTTCCGGGGAAGGGTGGAATTTGTGGAGGCGTGGGCGCAGCGGTGATTAACCGAGAAAGGAGAATTTACGCGCAATAACAAATGAGTATGCCTTTCGGATACAAAGTTTAGTGTTTTTAATAATCTGACTTTATTTTGAAGCATTTTAACAGGGTCAGGCTCCAAATGATAGAGGTTTCCCAAAATTCCGCCGAGAAAATAGAAAATTTTTATAGAGGATTGAGTTTACGCCTTCCCCCAGAAAACTAAGAATTTTCAGCTCCAAATTTCCAGTTTTTCTCGAATAAACCTTTAATTTCTCAGTGAGTTTTACTTTTCTCTATATATCAGTACACAAACAACATCTACACCCATCACTCTGTTGCCAAAAATAAACTTATAAAACTAACACACAAAAACAACACAGACCTGGGTGAGCGAGGCCGTGCTGCGACTCCTGAGGAACAGGAGGATGGGTGAAGGTAGCCGACAAGAGCTCTTCCTCACCGGTGCCCAGACAAATTCTCCAAGTGATGACTGTACAGCTGGCGTGAAGCTCGGCTCCCGCGCGTTATCCTCCACCAAGTGCTGCGTCCAATCCGCATACGTGCTGAAACGACAAAACCACTGACACGACAATACTTAATACGGGCGGTGCATCACTGCTACGAAGCCACCACTTCACACAAATTTACGCCGGCAATGGAAGTTGTTGACATACTAAACATATGAAACTAGACTTTTCGAAGTTCACGTGCTGGGACAAAGGTCAGGGTATCCCCAGGAATTTTCGGAAAATTTTAACTTTTTTTTGCGGTGGTGGACGCGTAAAATAAGTTTACGACAAGACCACAGGTTAAGGTGATGGTTACGACTAGTAGCAGGTGGTTGTGGTCCTCCTAGTCTAGTGGTTGAAGAGTTTTCTAGCGGGTTTCTGCTGTAGATTTAGAGATAAATATCCCCGCGTCAGGGCTTTACATGTGTTTTTGGCATTCCCCGGCTAAGGACAAAGGACAAGAGCGATTTTCTGGGGTAAGCTCCCCTATAAGCTTTGAAGAAGCTAAAAAATCAGTATTTTGCAAGATATGATCCGTTACTTGCACCTGCTCACCCAAGCCCTGATTTCAGGGCTTACGAAATCACCAGATCCAGGTCATCGGCTGGTTTGTTTTTTTTGCAAATTTAAACGGGCGATCGATGGCGGGTGTTGATTAAAGGACTTTGTGTCTGGGAGAAACAAACCTGTTGGAATGAGGAGGACGATTTTCTGCTGATCGGATCCTGGAAGCTGACTTCGCCCGATAACGGCCGCTGAAGATGACTACTTTGCAGCAACAGTGCGTTGCCTGCAAAGGTGCGCCGGAGTCGGCAATCAAAGCGCCCGAGCTGAAAAAAATATCTTACACAAATTTGTGTACTCCAAATCGTTCCAAAATATTTTCCTTTATGAAATTAAATTACATTTGAATTACTAGGCAAATCTTTGGTAGCACCCAAATACTAAGATCAGCGTCGGGCAATTTTAAAGAGTCTTAAAAATTTTGCATATCGCCCACTTATAAGATTTGCGCCGTTTTCTATAAAAAAATGGCTACCGATTTATTGTGCAATGATCAACCGCCTCCCACAGCCAACCTTATATACTGACCTTTCCTCGACCCACTAACCTGTGGCACCAACTTACTCCACGTACTTGGCATCCTTGTGATAACCTACAAAAATTAGCCCAAACTCCCTTTCGCCACATGATCCTATATTTGCAAAAAGTTTGTGCCATTGCATCACCATCCAATCAAGATAACCCCCCAGCCCCTTCTCATAGTAAGCCGAAAAAGCACAGTCCCCCAGCTGCTCGCGTGTCCCTCCCAACCTCAGGGTACGCTTCTTACGCCGGAGGGGTACCCGGGTTGATCCCTAGGTGCAATTTAGATAACGCGCCGCCCACTGCCATCCCCCCCGGTCTTGAACAACTGATGAACTGGCATGGACCCAGGGTGAAAAAGTTGTGTCGCCGGCCGACCCCCGCGAAAAATAAACTACTCTATGAATTTGGTCCCCATCTGGTCAGGCGGTGATGTGAAAAATTTAGGGAAAACCAGGGTTGAAAAGCTAGCCCGTTCGGGACCAACCAAAATTCTACCACTTTTTGCACCATTCCCCTACTACAGCTTGCCACTCACTCTGCAGAAAATCAAAAAAGCGCTGCTGCAGCTCTTTTTTATATACCGCGACCCTACTTCTGTGGCGATACTGTTTGAATACGAATAATGCAGGTGACCAAAATCGTCAGGTCATACTGAGGATACTACTTGCATGCAATTGCACAAACAACCTCTTTTTAAAACCCCCATTACGCATTAAACCCTGGCTAGACTTGAAAGTCAACAGTTGGCGAGAAGAGATGAAGGCTGAGGGTGATGGGAGGGCCGCGGAGGCTGACGTAAGCGGGTGGACGCGGCCCGGAAATCGATGCGATGGGGGTGGCCAACGGAAAAACAGGCTTTTCGACGAAGAGAGAAAGGGCCCACACGCCCCCGAACTCACCCCACCCACTCTAGTCCAAGCGATAGCCAACCCAAAATTGGCGGCCAGATAAAGGGCATGAACCCAAAAATTCCGCCTGTGGCATGGCTGGCTAGCAACTAGCATCACTCAAATGCGGGGTTTTTATCTCTGCCTTCCGGTGGATTTAGCGAAAAACTAAAACCTTGAAGCTCAAAAGCACAAATATTCTATGATGGAAATTCAGAAGCGTCTAACGTTGGTTCAAATTAAGCTATCCCCCCAGATAGAGTCACAAAGACATAATGTGAAAATTACAACAGATACTTCCGGTCCCACCCCAAATGACAAAACTGAAAAACACAGAGAGACTTGAACGGAAAAAAAGATCCCGGGGGGGTAGAATTCGGAGAAACGCACCACAAAAACAATGGCGCAAACCCCAGCAACTCTGGCCAATTTACTGGGCCCAACTATGGCCGGGAGCCCAAGCCGGCAAAAACGCAGGTTTTTGTGCCCATGAACATCCGCACCCACGCCTCCACAAAAAGCCACTTACCACAAAAGCTGAGTCACCCCAAACATTGAGTCACTAGCGGGATGAAAACCCAAGCGAAGGCTTGCATAAATCGATGGATCTGGCTAGACAGATGGTAGAGGCGGGGATTTAAGGAAGGAATAGAGCAGCAGAGGAACAGACAGACAGATCGGATGTCTGCGATCCTCGGAATTATCCCCCCATCTATGGTACCAAGGCCGACATGTTGCCCTAATTGGTCGAAAAAATATTGACACATCAGAAATACTTTAGAATTAGCCTAACAACTAGGGGCTGGTCAAATATAAGCTTTAAGAGCTTTTGCAAACAGCACGATGTAATGTGCTACATTTTTCTAAAATTACCTGAATGGAATATGCGGCAGCTCATTGTTTAGATTCATCGTCCAACCAACTTTTGTCGACGCAAAGCCACGAAAATATCGACTGACACGAGACAGTTCGCTGATGGGCTCCCGTTCCCCCCAGCCCCGGCCCCTTTTTGATCTCTAGCTTCAAGAGGCAGAGAGACACCGAACAAATAGCGCACGCGCAAGCGAGACACAGGCGAACACGACCAAAAAGTTATCGCGCTTCTCGCCCGGGTGGTGGTGGCCATTCCATCCATCCTGCCATTCAGGAAACCTCGAAAAATTTCCCCAACTCCTAAAGATTAGGCCCCCATTTATGGTGCCACGCGAGGGGGGGGGGGCGAATCAATTTTTTGCGATGACAGCAAATTGTAGAGCTTTATCAGAATCGTGGAAAACAGGAGAGTGATGTTGCGGAGAAGCGGTTAAAGGAAACATTAGACCATTAATTTTGATGAGATCGACCTACGGTATAGCAGAGGTTAATAATTGTTGAGCTTTTCGGGCAGCTCCATATGCTAATGTCCATTCTAGTTGCAAACTAAGGTTAGAAAATCGGCGGGGAAAACCTATCATTATTGCTTTGTAAGCGCGGAGGATTTTCGGGGAGCGTGTCGAAAGCCTTTTTAGAAAGCTAAGCGCGGCTATAGCTTGGCTTATCGATTTTATCAAAATCTTGAGGTAAAGGTTTCTTCAGGAGATACAGAGGAATGCTACTTCAATGGTATTCCCCCAAGCCCATAGCACAATGGCATATACAATCACCACGTGGGGCTCCTGCTACCCCACCTCCTTTTTGCAGTTCCGATCCGCATTCCGCCGCGTCCATTCAGCAAAATTCGAATCGGATACCGCGTCTGGGTGCGGGGCGTACCCCTCTTGATTGCTTTGCGGAGGTCACTTTTTATCCCCCAAAATAATGGACAGAGAAGTGATCGAGAAGGAGTTGAGCCCTGGATACAGATCCGGCAACGGAAATCCCCCTCTCATCGTTTGGCCTTTCAGGGGGAAGACTATGAACAATCCCGCTCCCCCATAAAGGAGGTTACCCAGGGGGAAACCCATCCTTGCTACGTCAGAAGAGCAACGACCGCCACTAAAGGGATTGGCTGTTCCGTGCCCTCAACAACATTTTTTACCTCCAGGATTCCTCGACCAAAATTTATCGCTAGCCCCACCCCAACTTTTCACCTCTAAGGACCAACCCTACCCTAAGGCCATTAGGCTCCCGGTCGGTCATTGGGCTGTTTTTTCCAAGGCGAGTTGCCCCCAAAAGCCTTCCACCTCACGAAAACTTTCGTGGTATGGGCACTTGATTTCTTGACCTGCACGGCCGCTCAACTGTCGACGAAAGGCCGATCGGGTGCTGGCCGCGACCGGAAAAGAGGATCGCTTAGAGAAACGAAAGACAACGAGAGACTGGGAGCGCAAAGAAATTGTCAAAAAGCGAGCAGCCGGAGCACCCGTTGGGGGAGCCCCGTTTCTTGCGCCCCGATCACCCCACGTGGGGACTCCACCCTGACAAATCCGAGGTACAGAACAGGCGCCTCGTCGAAATACCATCTCCAACAAACAATACGCCCGTTTTGGAACAGTTTTTCGTCGCTGCCGTGCAGCGGTCTGCGGGGTGTTATTATCGAAAGAGCAAGCAAGTACGGGGTTGCCCCGAAGTCAAACTGTTTTCCAGGTAGAATCTGCTTTTATCTGGGGTCCGGCAAAATTTGACGACGTAATTTACAGGCGTTAGATAAGGGAAGAGCTGGGGGAGGTAGGAGAATTGCATACCGTGTTTACTCTAATAAAATACCAGGGGCTCGATTTTTACAACCATCGCGAAAAAAGATACTTTTTAGATCGACCGAAACGCATTTATTTTATTTTTTGCAGTTTATGTACCTAAAACAGCTCCGAAACACAATGCGAAGCTCAAAAAAAGGATATTTTTTAAAATTTGGAATTTTGGTTGACGAAAAAAATCAAGGGAGACCCATCACAGAAAATACGGTACTTACTGACATATTTCTTACAGTCCTTCAAAACACCACTTTTTGGTATCGCCTCGCCCAATGCTTCCGCTTCAACCCTCAGTCGCCCACCGGCTGACCGGCCCGAACCTGCCAGACAACAAAGAGTACATTCCGTGCGCTAAGCCCATTTAGATGCCTGGAGGAAGTCCCTTCTGGTCCGGGTTGGCAGGCAAAACACCGCAATGTGTAAAACTCGGATCTCCGAACGGGTTGCCGATGTTGTCGGGCGGACTCGGAGGGATTGGCGGGACGGGAGGGAGTGAGGGAACGCAGCTACGATGTAGCCACCAAACATTGAAGGGAGGCAAAGGGTGGGGATTAGTTGGGGGTTGATGAGGGAGTAATGAGGGCGCTCATCCCTCGTTTTTTTGCGAGTCCCAATCACATCCTTGACATTTATCACGAATGGGTTGGGGGTCGGGTTGGAATTTGGTGTCGATTAATTTGAGGGAAGCGATAAATTGGAAGGGTGAGTAAAAAGAGGGTTGGCAACTTGGTTTGGATTCAAGGTATTGTAAGGTATGCTCGACTTCGACTAGCCAGGTAAAGACAGGAAAGCAGAGAGGGCAACCAGGAAATAAATGCATACTTTCAAAAGTTGTGCTATTTCCACATCACCTTCACTCTATTTTATAGCACCCCACCCTCATCAACCTGCGAGAAAGTTTGATCTCACGGTCACGTGGTACTACCGGGTATGACACATCCGGTTTCCAAAGCAGCCTACAACCCTGGGGTTGGCAAGCTGTCAGGAACACGCGACGGGACCACCGTTGCCCCGTCCTCCCCCCCACGTCACCGGGAAAAAGGGACCCTGGGCCTCAACTATTGCGAAACGATGGGGGGATAGTTCCGTGTTCCCTATTTACTGGTAAAAGGAAGGGGTCGGCTTGATGTAAACAGCCCGCGTCCAAAGTCGGTGCATTCCGTACTTCATATTTAAAGCGCATGTTCAGGGAGGGGCCGTGTATTCGTCCCGACGTGTACACCCTTTAACGTGGCAAGCAAAGCACGAGCGGAACCTCATTGGCCGGGGTGACTCAGCTTTTGATCCCAAACATTTATAGCTAACCATCTGCCAATATATTTTTTCGATAAATGGATTTCTTCGCTGTAGGAAAACGAACACTGCCTTCCCGGACTTCATGTTTGCAGATGCCATTGAGGTGATGCTCAGGCCATTTCCGGCAAATTCCATTGTGCCAGGCCGGGGCCCGTCACTGCGTCGGCGGGAATTGTGTATACAGCCTGGTTTTTTCGGCGCAAAAATGGGGTCGATTCAATGAAATTGTGTGGGAGCATATGAATGTGTATATGCTCTAAAAGATTTTAACGTCATTGCAAACTACAACTCCCGCTCACTAAAACGCTCGTGTGGGCCGTATGCTACACACTGTGAACCACACACTACAAGCAACAACCTAGGCCTACACCTAGCTCAACCAACTAACCGTTTCATCACCCTGACTGCTCAGTCCACGAACACCACATGGCGACATTGAGCCAACCTACAGAAAATACTTCCCCGTCAATACCTGGCAACGTGAGCCCGTTGTTTTCGTGGATTGCTGTGGGGAGCGGGGTGCGACAGCGGAAACGACACGACGAGCCTTTAGGGAATTGTGCGCGCGTAATCTAGCGAAGAGGAGGGCGCAGAGCGATCGGTCGAGCGAGCTATCACGAAATGTGGAATACCCGGGGTGCACGATTGTGACGACACGAGGCAAAAGAACTATGCGCGGTTGAGCCAGGGCGGAGGGAGGAAATTAAATGACCTGAGGCTCATGTATCAAAAACAAGCACCCAAGGACCATTTAAAAAATTTACGATCATAGCCAACAATACTCGCACAATTGCAGCCAAAAACACGAACTCCTAAACCTAACATTTCTTGAACCTCCCGGCACCTATCCCCGATTTTAAAGCATTTGTAGATATGAAGCCGTGCCTGTGACGACACGAGACAAAAGATCTGTGCACCCTTGTGCTCATTTGCTCCGTCTCCCTCGCTCTGATGCTCACCCAACCCAACTAGCCTCCCTTCCTCCCCATCCCTCCCCACCATCACGCCCTCACATTCCGCATTCTGGGCAAAGAGCATCCAGATTTTAGGGGTGCTCTGAGATAATATGCACTTTTAGGACTAGTACATTTTCGGGAAAGGGCATAGAGATCAGGGTTACCACACGACAATTGATTGGATTTTAAGGTTTCGTAGAAAAAATTTACGACCAGTATGCCCTATTAAATAGCCCATACACTTCGAATTTTAAGCTGTAAATTTAAGGCTTACTACTAGCAGAAGCTGTAAACAAGGTATTGTCCAAAACTTGGCTAACTAAGAGTTATAAATAGACATATCTCGAACGAAATGCCCCAGAATACAACACTTCTGCCGTTTTCTGCGGGAATGTGTGCGAATAAACACCGAGCAAGAAAAACAAACCTCGCGCTGGTCTGCAGTCCTCCCGGCTGAAGACCTTTTGTCATGGCCGACGAGTCAAACAGTGAAGAAGCACGCGATTCGGCGATGGGTGCTCTGCAACGAACTGGTTGGCTGAGAATCGTGGGAAAATGCGGTGATTTTTGGCTACTTTTACGTGTTGTATGAATGAGACCATAAATTTTTTTTGCCAAAATGAACTCAAAATTTCGGAATTAGGAACGTTTCAATGTGTGATGGCAGGAGAAAAATGAATAGACCTAATTTTGGAATTATAAAGTAGTTGTAAAAGGTAAGACTAGTTAGTGGACCAAAAAATACATACTCTCAATTTCATTTTAGCCACAAAAATACATTTTAAACGTTTTACATAATCCTAATGAATTGGTCAAATTCTAGTTTAGCAAACACGATATTAGGAACTCGATATGTTTTCATACCATCTATTAGAGCGCCAAAAATTAACCTTAAAAAATTTATGGCCTAAAAAATAAAATTAAAATTCTTATATCATAAATTGTATCTCCCTAGTTTAGATAAAGCATAAATCAATGCGTTTAATAAACTTAGGTTCCTCCCATTCTAAAATACCCAAAAAGTACCAACCATCATACTTCCGGAATTTGCAACTATCAGCCAATTCCTTAGTATGATCCATACAAAATAACGAGCAAATGGGAAGAACGCCTTCTTAGAATGGGCCTTCTCGAGGAAGTGAGTGAGCCCAGCGGCCCCAGAGGATCCGAAGGAGGTTGACGTCTTCTCACATTCTCTATCTACATCCATGTTCTCCCCAGTCCATTTTTTCCATGGAAACCAATTTGCCCGGAAGGAAAACAGAGACAGATCCCTTCAAAGCCCCCATCTACTCATAAACACTGGATTTTTTCTCTCCCTAAATCAAAGGACCTTCCAATCTGCAGTGGGTCGAGCGGATCAGGGCTGTACATTACCATAAGTGAGGTTGCTGGGATGTAAACATGGGATTTAAAAGTGGGGAGGTCAAGTTGTGAAATAGTTGATTTGTTGGTTTTAGTGACTATGGGTGTTGGGCGGCGAAGCCTGAATTTTGATTAGTATAAAGTCAGAGAGTCCGGGATGCTTGTTGTTTTTTGTATAAAATAAATCAGGAGTTAAGCTAGTCAAAAAATAGAGGCGACAAGTATTAGTAAGCCACAAATAAGGTTTGATCTTTGTTAACTACTAAATATATTATTTTTTGTTACCCACTCTTGCACCAGAAAGCGTTCGAGGGCTCTGAATTAAGATTTTGTAGTCAATTTAAGGTTTGCCAAAATCTATGCCAAGGGATATAGCCTTTCCAGTTTTGATCTAAGCGTAATATCTTGCTGAATGGCAATTCTAAAGAATATTTGGTATTTGCTAATCGTCCTGCGCAAAAAACAGCTGTTCCCGACTAAGTTTGCAGCTATCAAAATACTAAAAAAAGAGAACTATGCAGAATTCCGTTTAACAACTTATTTGGCTTACCCTCAAGGTGCTTTCTCGGTTTGTAGAAAAACTGATGACGGTCATCGTCAATTTCCAACAGCTGCTCCGGAATTACAGAGAGCGAGATGGGGGATTACGACGCATTGGGCGAGCCGTCTTGAAGGTTGTTTGGGATTATAAGCCGCAGAGGACGGGAATATTCAAATCGATCAAGCCGCCGATTTGGGGATGTACAACTAGTTTTAATTTGTGGTGAAGGGGGAATGAGACACGGGGGGAGGAGGGGAGGGTGGTTGAGCTATTTTTGTCACGGGGCGACGAATCGATGGCTGGTGGAAATGGCCACAACAACATGAGGAGCCCTCTCGTCCCTATCCAGACCTTTCAGATTGTCACAAAAACGGATGAGAATGGTGATGAGTGTTTTTATGAAGGAAATAGTAAGGACCAGTATGCTAATAAATTTTAAGTGAGTTAAGTTAGCGCGATAATAATGATAGCTGGACGCTTACGAAATCTAGGGCAATTTCGAAACAAGTGCCCTCGCCGTAAACAAGCGGCAAAGCCGATAAAGAGAGGATTGGCATTTCAGGAAGTACCATGAGCTTTTACCCAATATTTTGGAAAGTATGCTAAATCCACAATAATTAGTGTTGGGGAAAACTTGATGTTCGACTCCAAAAAAATTTTTTCGAAAACTAAAACTACAAAAAAATATTGCGGATAACTCCCACATTTTACACTCACCAGCATCTTGGCTCATCAGCAATGGGGCTTCTCAATATGAGGCTCCGACTTGGAGGGCGTCCTTAAAAACAAATAATTAATATTAACTCGCTTTACCGTTGAATCGATTTACGGCGATGCATTTTAGCCTAGCAACTGCGTAAGGCAAAGTTTTGAGCAGCGTTTTGAGAGCTGAGGACCCAAACTTGAGGGCCCTTATGTGTAACCTGACCCATAACGGAAACCACCAAAAACTACCTGAGCACGACTCGTGGCCTTTCTCCAACGACTGGTGCAGATCTGTCCGGATGAGACACCGTGATCATCGTCCTAAATTCGGGTTTTGGGGGTATGAAGATCAAAATTCAGAGGTCCAGACATGGGAATTCCTGCATTAATGTTGAGATTCAGTCGATATCTCTGTTTTGGAACGGCAGACCTACAGGTTTCCAAGTGGATACATTTTCTATGCGTTTCCAAAGTAAATTGATGAAAGGAAAAGCGTCAGGACCTCTCGAAAAGCTTGAATCATCTTTGTTGGGGTCGGTTTGGTGTTTCTAAATTCAAAGAGCATCTTGATTTCTATTTCAGTTTGCTCAGTTGTTCACGAGAAATGAATGGAAATTCTTTTCGGCCAAAAATCTACCCAATAATATTACTTACCTCATGATGCTCACCATGGTGGAGATAAGCGGTGGAATCCAAAAACATGTTCATCTTGGCAAGTTCGGAAAGTTTCGCCTTGGTGATGCTAAAAGCATTAAATTAATTTTCAAAAAGTTTCGGAGACATTGTTCTCAAAGAAAAAACGTTGAGAAAATGGAAAAACGCTCGAAAAATAAGTGGAGCTCCGAATCTCTGTCGAGCGTTGCCGAAAGAATTGCCCAAAAATGCCAAAAGATTGATGCACGACGAGCCGCGCGTGTAAATGGCCTTCAGTTTGTTTTTTCGTGTTGCTTCCGATGTGGCTGACCAGTGATGGGTCAGAAATTAGCAAAACAAGTTAGTTTGCAACCTCTAAGTACAACAAGAACTATTTTGATTACTAGCTACGCAACCATCTTGAAAAAGGAAGCGTTTTTGAGAAGTTCCACTTTTTGGAAATTTCCGACTGGCGTGGGAGCAATTCGGTGATAACAACCCATAGCTCGGGGCTTAAAAAAGCCAAACTCAACCCCTAAAATCAATCGAACCAAGTTTACCAAAGTCCTAGTCTTGATTTATATGTCCACTCGTTCGACATGGTCGATTTTCAAAGGTCATTCCCCAAAAATAGGTGTCCGCCGAATGGGCGTCATCTGGACACCAAAGTACCAACCAATGTCGCTGCTTGCGTTGTTGATATTTCATAAATTTAGGTTGGTATTTGGGAGGGGAAAGGGGTTGCGGCAATTGGGATAGAATGGACAGAGTATGAGAGCATGAGCACGGCGAAAAGAGAATCTCCTCCACTCGGCCGAGTTTTCGCCTTTGGCGTCACGAACCTGCCTTTACCCTTGGGACGATGGGTCGATAGATGCAATGTCACCAATCGAAAAGTTAAAGGTTAAGAAAATTAAGAAAAATTTTAGTAAGTTATTCTTATTATTAAGTTTGAATGGGAACTATGAGCTGCATAATGGTTTTTTGATGAGTGGATCTTCAGAATTTGTAGTTGGCATCGATATATAGCTTTAAATCCTTTAAAAATCGAAAGAATCGCGAAAAAGACGATATCGGGCCCAGGAACCTTCCTTCTAAAACGTAGATAAGACAAAGCATTCCGGGCGCTATTGCTAGTAGGTTTTCACGTAAAAAATTAATTGTTTACAGGTTCAGCAACACGTAATTAAAGGACCACCAGAATTACTGCTTTGGCAGCCAAAAACAGCATGGGCGTGGAACTCTGAGGAGAAGCACCAGTTCTCCGGGCAGCAAGGCTGGGAACTTGTTTTCAGGAAGCCGCCTACTCTATTCTCGGGCCGCGCGTTGGCACGTTCAACCCAAGTAGGGCCGCTCCTATTCGAATCAAATTCACATTTAAAAACGAGGATTGAATTAAGCTTCCGGCTCGTTTAGAAATGAGATAAATCTGCAAAATCATCATGTCAAAAGCGCTTTTTAACCGCAGAAGCATAAGACAAAAGCAAGTTTCGATGTATTGCAGCCCAATATTTAGTTTTAGAGGAGGAATAGAAGCTTGGTCATTCCGCCGACTCCATTGAAATTTGATTTGAATAAGACCAGCTTTGGACGCCGATTTAGATTCTAAACCAGAAATTTCCGCTTAAAACGTCAATCAATGAACTTTGAAGTAACACGCAAGACAAAGTGGGTACCCAGTTTAAATGGCCCATTGCACTATGGTGCCATGAAGGGGCTTGAGAAATAGAGCGCCGATAGATAGGGACAGTTGGTGTACAATGAGATGGGTCTAGTTCGTCTCGATGGCTCACGAGTGGGGCTCTTGCCTTCCCCCCTCTGGGATGGGACCAATGAAACAGCAAGATAAAAAACTGTTGGGTAGTGACTGCTGACCGCGAAGAGAAGAGGTCACTTTTCGAGCCGTGGTCCCTCTCCTTCAACATAGATCCACGGCAAATGGAATCGAGGAGACAGACTGTACACAACGATACTGGTTCCAGGCCAAAAAGCACCGCGCATGATGTTGTTCGGGGGGTTGAGAACTATCCGAGCGTGTCTACGAAGGGTATACTGTAATATAGTAAGGTATCGGAAATTCACTAAAAACCATCGGTCGTTCTATATAAATTCTTGAAATTTTACGGCCAGAATCCTACTCAAAGCGTCTATATTTTATGAGCATTTATCAATCACAAATTAAGATTAGACTCCAGATTATAGAGAAGATAAAACCATCAAATTTTTCATAGCTTTTTGTAATATAAGTCAAAATTATTTTAACGATTGAAATTACAAATCGTTGAATTCATCTATATTTTAAAAACTAGAATCCAATGGTTTTGAGTGACAAAAATTAGAAAAATAATAAAACCAAGGTGTTGCACTCGCATTCAGAGCCATCCTTTCCGACCGAACTTTAGAACATTTCCAAGAAAGCCTAGCACTTCCAGTCGTTAACGTTCCAGTTGTTTATAGTCTGTCCTTGAGTAATCAGATTACCTCCCCCATGATAGCCTTGTTTTCCTCCCCCGACCTCCTGTCGTCGCCGCTTTCATAATTGTTTTTTGTGCTCTAAAATCCACTGATAAACCCCCAGCCAACGCGGAAGTACCGCGGTTTGTCCACGCGTATATATTCAAGCATAACCATACCATAAACTATATAATGTAATCTATAACCTCCCATATAATCTTTATTCCAAAAAAAGTTCGCTAGCAGTAACCGGTTTTGTGTGTGTCGAGTGCGATGAGCAATAGAATTATAGGCGAAGCGAGCCAGTAACATCGGCGCAACACGTGGAAATCACAATACAAGGTTTTGCTAGGTTCTAATTGATTAGATATACAATTTGATTATCCACTAAATTACACCCGATAGCATTAACTATATATTCTACATGGCGCAAGAGTCAAGCTGGCATCTGGAATGTATCACCGTTGTGGGACCACAGTTTTGTAAGAAGCAAGAGTCAAAGATGAAGGGTGAGGGATTGAATCTGCATTTTTGGGAATAACAAGAGACAATAACTTAAAAATAAATATATATAATTGGCTGCAGGTTGTTTGTGGTACGTACATTATTTCTTCTCAAGGTTCCTCCACTTGCTCATCGCAAAATTGGCGTTTGGAATCTTGATCATGGCCTTCGGCTTATCGCTGGTAAAGTCTCCGGAAACACGTCGCTCCAGAAGATCCTAAAATTAATTAAAATTTAGTATTTTAATAAAATCGTTGCTAAGCGCGTAGAGGGAAGCAGGGCTAATTGAATTAGTGGTCTCGGTTTGAATATGGAGTAGCTAGCAGGCTTCTGGAAAATTTGTCTGAGAAGCTGGATTAGAAGATTACGTTTTTAAGTGTCTAAAAATAAAAAAGCTGAGGCGGAGAAGCGACAGTGAAGTTATTCCGCGAGAAGCCTATGCCCAGCCGACGGCGGTTGAAACTAATTTGCGGTCTATGAGAATTGATTTTCCAGAAACAAGCCAAGCGCGGGTGAGTGCATTGTTGTTGTTGGGTTGTTGATCAGTGAGTGTGGTAGTGTTTAGTAATGTAGCCGAACCGATGGGAAGGAATTGAAAGTGAGAAACAATTTTTTTAGATTTGCAGTTCCGTTCCGCTACAATACTAATGATGTGGGGGGTGTATAGATGGAAGCATTGCCTTTGTCGCCATCGCCTTCCCCGGCTCTATCAGCGACCGCCGGTCGTTCATGGCCTAATATACACCTTCACTTCAACAAAAATATAACCATAAATTCAAAAGTTTAAAAAAAAGACGGAAAAACGAGTTTTAAGCTGGTGACATTGTAATTTTTTATCCTCAAACGGGTCCCAAAGTGGTCGCTTGCTTTAAACTCAATTTCCAATCTAAAAATCATCGATAGAAGAGCTCAACCAGAAAATGGTAGTCCACATCCGGTTGTGCATATTTTCCGAACATAGGCCGGGAACACGATAACAGAGAAGTGGAAGCAACCAAAAAATGAAAATAGAACCTTGAGGGCGCCGAAGGTGAAGTCTTCTCTGGGTTTGACATCGCCTTCGGCTTCTGCATACAGCCAATGTTGTCTCTTCTTAATCCCCGAGTCATCCAACGTCTTTTGTTTTGTCTGGAAAAAAAAATAATTTTTGGGGACTGGCAGAGATAGATCAGTATGATGTGCAAGGTGTAAAGAGGTTTGTGACGTTGTTTATCGCGCGATTAGGGTAGGGAATAGGTATCTGGGATAAAGTTAAGGTAGTGCCGTCAAAAATTCTTTGATAGTATTTTTTCTTAAGAGTTTCAGGAATATAAATTGGTCAATACAGCTAGATTTGTTGAAGTCAGTAGCGTTCCAGATTTTTTAGTTTAAGTATAATTTTATTATATTATATTAAAAAGTAATTGGGTAGTCTCCACGAGAGGCCTATTACCCTACGAAACGCAGTCCGACTGTCTGCGGCACGGTTGATGGAGCTGTTTTTGTTGGTAGCAGCTGTGGGCGGGATGCCCATAGTCTAGCAGATCGAACAATAAGAGTTCTGTACGGGCTTCTGGGATTTATCCCGGTCACCCACCGTGGTGCTTGCCGTATTCTTGACGCGGGCCGCGATGTTCGTCTCCGACTTGTTCTTTTGGAGTCCTCCACCGAATGTGCTCGTCGTTGGGAACATGATTGGTGGGGTTGGGTCGGCAAATTTGACCTTAAAGCACCGCTATTTATATACCGAGTTTTACAAAGAGTCTGTTGAAACCGTGCATACTTCGATAACGTACCCTAGTAGAACCACGTTCCTCATCAAAACGTATCCTCGGCAACATAATATCCCCAAGTCTAACACTCTTCTTCTCACTATCTTCCCGTTTCAAAGCGCTCTTCAAGGGCTCTTCCGCCTTCGTTTTCTTCAACCTCGCCAGCTCCTGTGCCAATGAGGTCTTTTCCGGTGCAGGGTCGGTCTAAATCCATTTAAAAGTTGGTTTTTTTATTACTCACCCTTCCGGCCTTGATTTTGGACTCGAATTTCGAGACGTTGTCCGTCTTCTCTTCGCGACTGCCATCATTCCCCTTGATGCTTCTTCGAACGTGTGAGGTAATGTTGAGCTCTACGTTTTGAAGCGATGCCTAGAAAGTATTTTAGTTTCACTAGTCATAAGCTTACCTTTCCGCCATCAATCTCATGCGTTGCTTTTCCATCCACTTTCTTCAAACGCCCAATTGTCACTTCCAATTTTTTGTTATCCTTGGTCTCTCCATCAACCTAAGAATATTTATTTATATTCTAAAACATTATGACCTTTGTGAGTCGTTGCAAGATCGAACGATCGTTTTCTTCTCGCTTCAACGACCTCTGTGTCTTCACAGTCAGCTTCTCATCACCATTGTGCTCTTCTCGTCTATTCTTCTCTTCCTCCTTATCATGCTAAAGTATTGTGTTAAAGATTACATCAAATATGTTACCTTCTCATTCTTAGCGACACTCTTCTGGAAAGTCTTCTTCTGAAGTCCAGTCTCCGGGCATTGTTCCTCAGCGGTTGTGACGAGGCTCACCTTGACCTGGATGTGTCAGAAGATACATGTACTTTATCATGGAAGAATAGGAACAGAAAAGAGAAACAAATTATCCACCTGTTGTTGGCTGCTCTTCTTTCCGATTACCTCCTCGATCTTCTTATCAGCTGTTTGGGTGGTTAGCTTGCGCTCCGAATTTTCAATCTAGAGAAAACGTTGGTCGCTCTAGTAAGGTTTTCTTACCTTGCTACGAACTTGTGTTGTTGTAGTGGTTGTGCTCTTCTTTTCAGTAACCACCTTCAATTCCTTGAAGCCAAGCTTGGGAGGTTCCGCGGTCTTCTAAAAGTTTTCATTACGATCGCTAGTCTGGGACCCTTTTTTATAGCTGTCGTATACAAAGAGCTTTTGAATAAAGCGAAGCCAATTTATTATAATGCAACCATCCAGCTAAAAAAAAGCAAAAGTTGTTTGGTCACGCTATTCAAACATCCGACGCAGGTTTGTAATCTTTGATTCTCCCTGAATAGGTTAGTAGTACACATAAAAAATGCGGTGATGTTAACAACGTATTTTTGCACTAACTTCGGTACTTGTAGAGCTGGTTTTTGGTGTTTCCAGCTTCTTGCCGCTGATGTTGAACGTTAGCGGCGGTGCGTCATTTCGTAGCTTTTGCATTCGTTCGGCAATCAGGGAGTTTACACGTAGTTTTGGCGGTTCGAACTGGAAACGCCAACATTTTGAAGATCGCGTTGGAAATTTGGCGATCAAAAATAAAATTTACCGATCCGCGAGAGGTAGAAGGTGACTTCGAATCTTCGGTCTTCATTGTAACCTTCTTTACGGTTTCACCGTTCTCTTCTTGGCGATCGTCTTCAGGATATTGGTAATTCCAGCTCCGTCCGATTTTTGGGTATTGGTGGTGGTCACTGTTTCACCGTCGGTTTTAGCGGAAGTTGTAGCTTCATCCGTGCTCAACTAAATCGACTTGAAAAAAATTTCTGCAGACCATACCTTATAAGAACGACACTTCGGCTTCCTATCACTTTCGTCGCCAGAAGTACCAGTATCGGTAGTGGACTGTCTCACATCAGCAATCAACTTCTTTGATGGACTATTGCCATCCGCCTAAAACAAAAATCAATGCCAGAAAATAAAGACATACTTGAGCCCGTAGCAGGTCCAATTCTGATGTCCTGGCCGGGGTCTCCCTGACGGGCTTCTTCTTCCGGACAATTTTCTTTTTCTTGACAACTCCACCCTCCGGATGTGGGGGTAGACCTTCGGAAGCCTGAAATAACAGTAGAAACCTAAAAAGGAAAATGATGGCAACCTTTGGTATGGGTTCGATGATTTTCGGGATGGTGATGTTGTTTTCCTTTGTGCTGTCGCTGGACTCGGTTTTTTGCATTTTCTTTTCCACTTTCAGAGCGTCGGGCGTTTCCTGAAGTGCGAGTATTATTTAATTCTTGGAAAAAATGTTTTGATACCTCCTGGACCTCTGAGGTTGATGGTTCGCAAGCCGTTACAACCACCGCTGGTTCTTGATTAGCGTCAATATTCTTCGCAGCAAGCACAGCACTAGCGAGGCTCTTCTTTTTCTTCTTTGCCGGATCAATTTTAGCCTAGAAATTGCTAGCTATGCTTTGGCATTAAGGTACAAGATCAGGATTTTTGTTAGTGTAAAAAGGGATTCCCCCGAGCCTCTGCCTAATCAGGAAGCCATAGAGCCAAAGCATTGGGCCCTAATTTTGGCCTTGCTAATCCCCCACCTTTGAGAAGTATTCGAGGCCTTTGGTCGAATTTTTCTTGCGCAGCACGTTGAGGATGGACGTGAATTCGCAATAGCTCATCACAGCTAGGTGGCTTTCTAAAGGGATACTTTATATCTTTATTTTTATTATTAGTATACCCGAAAACCGTCTCCTGATGTTGTAACGCCGTAATTTGTCGGTTGGGATAGCAACGCCAACGTTTGGTTGATCGAGAAGTTGGTCTTTTGGGCTCTTTCTCGGACACCAGATAGCCATGGATGCACCAGACAATCCCGAGGGAGCATACGGCCACTAAATTTTTGCCTTGGTATAGCAGAAGCATAAAATAAATCTAGATGAACGATTTAAGATGCCCACCTCTTATCGTATACAAGTAGTTTGAAATGAAATCCTTTGCAACTTCGGAAACACAATCAAATTCTTCGATGAATTCCCATTCGCCGCGTTCCACATTGCAATATGTAAGTGGAGTAGTCTCACCGAGGAAGGGGAATATCCCGATAATCTGAAACATAAAATTCTGTCAGAACCTCCTAGCCGTTGTGGTTGCTTTCTCATAACTAGCCCCGATTCTATAATTGCACCCCTTCAAAGCCAGAATTAAGAACTAACAGGATATAAGTGATGACCCCAACACTCCACATATCTGTCCGGAAGTCGAGCGGCTCGAATTTGATGACTTCTGGGGCGGAGAATTCTGGGGTTCCTGAAAAGGAGGTTAAGACCAGGAAGATACTGGCCCACCAGCCATATAATACAAATCTTCGCTGCCATCATAATGTCTAGCCAGGCCGAAGTCGATCAGTTTGATCCGGTTGCCGGATTCTGTCACACACATGATGTTTTCGGGCTAAAAAAATGTCGAAATTGGTTACTGTAGTCGCTTCTATTTTATTGGGTTTAGATACCCGTCTGTTTTACATTTTGAGTCATGTATTTTAACTCGATACCGATAATAGATAAATGAATATATACAGAAATTACGCAATAACGCCGAAACCCCCAATATTTATATGGAATCGAAATTTAACGCGCATAATTTTTAGTATATGGAAAAATTTTGGTCGTGTATCTTACTTTAGTATCTTTAGAATTCGTTAATGCCTCAAACTTGGCTGTAATTCAATTTAATGCATAAATATATAAGAATTACGTTTTTATTATTGAGCTAAAACCTTTTCAAGCCCCCTGATAGTTCCTTTACCTATTTTTATCACCTCTACTTCCTTCCCCTTCCTCCACTGTTGCCAACAACCAGTTGCCAACAATTACAATTGCTTGACGCCCGTCCACTGCCACCAGCCCCACAAAACCCCGGCAGTCATGTCAGCTAAAATTAGCTGACACCGATCACTTTGCGGATCGCTCAGCCCCCCAGGCGGCCAAGAAGCTCTCAAACTCCTCCGGAAATAGGGTTGAAAGGGCAGCAGAGAGTGTCCCTTATAGCCCCCAGGGCACATTCATTGTTTGGGGGAGGAGTGCCAGCTGTCGTTGCTCAACGAGGGGGGCCTAGGAATTTCGGTGAAACGGCTTTTGACGTCATCCACCTGGGGGCTTGTTGGGGCTGATCGAACGGGATCTGGTGGGTCGTATGGCTTATGGATGGGTTTGGGGTGGTGGAAATGGGGTCAGCTGATTATGCGTTCAGCTGGATTGCATGTGGATAGACTAAAAAAAAACTAGGTGATGAAAGATCAGGCGCTATTATGAAAATTATATAAAATTTACAACAAGCTTTTGCCATAATTTAACGCGTAATCTAATATAAACGTATTTTAAGCGCCACCACATATTAAAATCAACTTATCACCCAAATTCAAGTGCCATTACTGGAATTCTACCTACCCTAGCTTTCCGAGTCAGAATTTCAAAGTGTTTTAACGTAATTTAAGGTCAGGTGAAGGTGTTTTGACGGATTTTTAAGGTTCACAAAGCGCCAAAATTATTGGAATTTTCTCAAACATAGGATTTTACCATAATTAAAACATTAGGCTATCAAGTATTTTTACACGCATTTTAAACCTTATAAATTCTTCAACTTACCTTAATATCCAAATGCACAATATTCTGTTTGTGAATGTAGTCGATGGCCTCACAGAGTTGGCAAATAATTACAGCGGCCGCCGTTTCGGTCAACACAAAATTGTCTTCGACGACCCGGTTGAACAGCTCGCCGCCTTTCACCCTAAAAATAAAAAAATTTGTTTGTACCATCTCCACTGCTCTAGTTTTGGATTTATCATGATTTAATTTATATAGAGTATGCAAAAACCCATCCTCACTCTTCAATTGCCTATTTTCATTCAAACACTGACTCAAACTGTCAAGTTTTGTGGCCGGCCAAGCAAACACAACCGTCGCCATGACTCAATTCGGCATTCCCCAACAAAGGCAATGCGTCAATGGGCCTCACCCCCATACTTCTAACCCCCCAAAAACTTACAGCTCCATCACGAGAATCACATCGTTGCTCGTGGAATAAAAAGCGTCGTAAATTTGCGCAATTCTTGGATGTCGCATCCTGGTCATAACTGACACCTCGTGCTCAACCTGTTCGCGATCGGCATCCTGAAACCAACAACAAAATAAGCACAACTAAAGCAACAAAATCGCGTCACTCAGAAGCCATCGGATAGCTAGAGTTGTTTTTGATATTTCCAGGTAAAAGCTAGGAACCATGCGAGCGAAAGTGGATAGAGAATATTCGATTTCTGTAGGGCAATTTAGGGAACTAATGCCACACCACTCAATAAAGCAACTTACATACGATCGCCCCAACCCATCCTGAAGCGGATGATAAGTGGAAAATAAAAGGTTATACTCACTTTGCGAATTTTAATAAACTTTGCTGCGAGCTCGAGTTTGCTAGAGCGTTCGACACAATGGTAGACTTTTCCCGAATTTGCCTCTGAAAATTTTGTGATGGAAATTTGGTGAATCGTACTCTCCGATTGGTTCACCATCGATATCGTAGAATTCTTCAAATTTGGCGTTGCTCCGAATTCTGACGATATCTTTTGGGTCGAACGGCGCGAATTCTTCCTCTGAAAATTTACATAATTAGTAACAAAATGCTGATTTCGTCTATGGGCAATTTTTTGCTGCAAATTCGCCTAGGATTTTGATACTTCACGTTTTCTAAAGCCAGTACTATCAAGCCAGCTATTTTCGACACCCTTCCCAGACAACCATCTGCCCGGCGTGGAGCCTTATTTCATTAAGCTCTCCTTTCTACTGGGTGTAGTCCGAAGGGCCCAGCCGGTGGGCCTATTGTCGTTTTTAGTGTGCGTCATTGGGGTTTTTTTTTTCTGTGAGGGGATGTGAATGGATCTGGGGAGGGTCCCTGAGGGTCCGTGTTGACTGAGAAGCCTTCAATGATCTACCATTCTCAAGGCATGAGGAATTTTAAAATTAAAGGGTTTTGTCAATCGATAAAACGACTGTAACCAAATAGAGAGAGAGAGAGAGAGAAACGAGAAAGAGCAACAGAGAGAGAGGAGGATGAGAGCTAAAGAGAACAGTAATAAAACCTAACGAGAAAGAAGAACAAAACATGTTTCTCTCTTTAAACCCCTTTTTATAAATCACCAACCTGTCGGATAATGTTCATCTACACGGATTACATCTGGATCGTGTTGGCTGGGCTGCGGAGCACCACCCACGCAAACCATGCAATTGGCTAAAAATAAAATAAATATATTTTTCAAACCAAGACTTTCCAAATCAAAATATATTTCGTAAACATGAAAAATATGAAATAACGGTTCCAAACACCCCAACGGGGCCATGCTTACTTGCCGACTGGTCATCACTGGGTGCGCCCTGGTGCGCATTATTGACAATATCGTTATTCATAGTCCCTAGCCCGCGACAAACACGTCGGTCGCGATTCGAGAAACCCAAACCGACAAAGGTCTTCTAGCCCAATATAAAATGCCAATGGTTTCTTCTGCCCCCCAATGTCGCTCACAAAAGCCGCAGCCCTCCTCCCCACAATGGCTCATACCAAAACATTTCCCATTGATTGATCAAATAAAAAGAAAGGCGCTCGCAGCAAGAAAAAACTATTTCTGAACGGCTTCCGGCCATTGAAATGCCTCAAAACCGCAGATAGCTGTAAAAAACGAGGCGGGCGTCTTTGAAGCCGCATCTGGGTGACCAGTTCCGGATTTATGGTTGGTGGGCGGAGGAAATATTTTAGATTGAGATTGGGGAGGAGGAGGAAGAGGAGGAGGCGTAGGGTTTTTGACCAGCTAGTGGACGGAATTGAGATTGAATTTGAATCTGGGGATCCGCATAGGAGGCAACAATCAAGGCAATTGGGAAAAATCAACTGGGGGGGGGCTTGCTGTGTTATGCTATTTGTGGGGGAGTGTTTACGATATTATGATTTTCAGTATTTCAAAATTTTTGAACATCTCAAAAAAATAATTTTTAGGAAAACAGTAGGTGCAGGAAAAATCGATGTGATGCCTGGGATAAAAATTGAAGATCGGAAGGATTGTGTAACGTAATATGGTCAAAATAGTAATATAACCCAACCTAAAATTTAAGTATATGTATGTTTATTTCGCCACCGAAATTCTAATAACGGCCAACACTCGTATGCCTAGGTCATAGAGTATTTGAGTAAATACTTATTACTAGATTTTTGCTATCAATATTTTTTGACGGATGTGCGGGTTCGAAAACACCTCAAAGGCACGAAATCGTGAAAACTAAATGTGTAAGGGGTAAGAAAAAGATCAAAGGTTTTAAGCTCTACAAGTCGCAGACAAGCAAGTCGTTAGTTTATCTCGATATAACTAAATTCCCTATTTCTTCGACCAATCAATCAATGCGATTAAACGGACAGATTCGATAAAACACGGTTTTTCGGCGGCAAAAACTGGCGCGCGAGGGTTAGGGTAGAGTTTCAGCGCGCGCGGCGTCTTTGGAGGGCAATTGCCCTCGCAAACAGACGCGGAGAATGCTTCTGGAAGGCGAGAATTCGTTCTGCTCAACCGCAAACAACACCTGCGGCACACGAAACGAGTGAGGGGGAGGATGGTGGGAAAGGAGGTAGGATGGAAGAGACTGGTTTGTCGAATACCATTTGGGAGAGGTTGACTGGACATTTGTGGCTGGTCGAAGGTGATAGTAGTAAAGAACGCGAGTCAGCGAGAATAACGGTTTTGGAAAATAGATACTTTAATTTCTTACATCTATAACACAAAAAAAAAATTAAACTTTCTTATCCGTTTACGATAATTTTAGGGCTTGAAGGACCATTTTTGGCGCATATACTTTAATAACGCAAAGTATTCCAAACAAACCTTCATCACAAGCTGACATTTTGTTCAGAATATAGCAAAAAATCGAAGCTACGGCTGAAAACCTTCCAAACCACCCATATTTTATAGAACTTTCCGGCCGTCCCACATTGAATATAATTAAATGGAACCCCAAATCTCGGCCCGGAATCCTAGCACCCAAATTATATGAACATTTCAAGGAATGCGATAAGCCAACAGTCTGGCAAGATTTAAAATTCCAAAAAACAGTCACCATGATTAGTATTCCTAGCCCTAACGTGCCAGATACGCTCGACCTACACTCAAGGATTATTCGACGACTTTACCCCCTGTCGAAGCCCAGAACGATATTTTATCACAGCGTAGACGCGCCCCGGCCTCGGCTACCGGGTCAAATAACGGGCCGTTGTTTGTGCAAAATGACTTTGACCCACCCGGGGGGTAACTGGTGTTCGGCTTATCAGGAGAGGGGGGAAATTCCGGAAAAGGGATTCGTGGAATAAAAATGAGTTCGAAGGTGGGGGAGAACGGTGGGGTGTTGTGTGTGTATTTGGCGGCAATTGGTTTGACCCGAGCAACAACAGTTCACGAGTGTTTGCGGGTGTTGTAAACTATGTAAATCGTGGTGTAGTAAAATAGCGGCATGTGACAAGGGCATTCAATCACCATTGGTGTTTTTACAGGACTGTCAAAGGACTTTAAATACATACACTTGAGCATAGATTTTGCCTGAGAAAAATCGTAAAAAAATTTGTTTTAAAAGCAATTAAGGGTCGATCGGGTTGAGGAAATTCGTTAAAGACGTTTTAAATTGCTAAAAAATAGTACTTTTTTGAGATTATGAACATCTATACATCAGAATTACAGAAAATCTTCGAATTTGAACAAACGACTTTGAAAATGCGCTCCGTGTGGAGAGAAATTTTGGCGTTATATTATTGGAAACAAGGTTACTTCTTAAGTCAGGACTGACCATTTCTCTCAACGAAGTTTTTACAGAAGAAGTATAAAAAAAAAATGAAATACGCAATTTATAGCTTAAAAGATGATTTTCATCGTACCCATTAAATAAAGCTTCTAAAGCTAAAGCCAAAACCATGACTAACAATTTAATCTAAAAAACATGAGCAAGACTATACTGTCGGATCAGAAGCCCCCCACCACGAAACTGATGATGAAGGTCAATATGAAAGCGCACAAGCTAGGTTCGCAATGATCCGCCGAGGAGGAGCCTTGAGAAAAGAGTGTCGAGACCTCGCAGCCGAGCTGATCCAATCGATGGTCGAACGTCTCACCTCCCCAACCAGAGGCCCAAGAGAAGAGCTTACGTAAGGGGGAAGGAGGCTGAACAGAAAACAGCAGACAGAAAGGCCGAGAGCTCCCATCCACAGGCCAGCCGAACACACAACGCCCCCAGAGCCGCCATGGGGCCACCCAAAGCCCCTCATTACCCCTCGGGATCTCATGTGATCTGGTTGGCCCCGTGGATGGCTCGGACACGACGCTGCCCGCCCGTCGTTTTGGCACATTTGGAAATTGGACTAATTGCTCCTTGGGAAACAACGGGTGGCGAACGCCTACTGGGGAGGGTTGGGAGCCTCGGAAGAGTTCGAGATCATCATCAAAAGTCAAGGATTGGGTGGAATGGAAAAAGCGGAAACGTGGCTTCTAATAATCTAGATCCAAAGCTGCAAGCCTAAAGCTAAGGATTGCATAAGCGCGTCCTCAAAATATCATCCAGACCATCTTTTCTTATTGGAGTTACTTGGCATTTAAATCACAACCTATAATACAGGTTTATTGTTTCCAAATTACGAGCTAACTAAGTTTAAAGTTTTATTCTAGCTGTACGAAACGGAATCCTAGCAAATTAGCCGAAAACCTCAAAATAAAGATTGCATCCAAACGGTCTTGGATTGAGCTTTCTGGGGAAGATGAATCAGCCAACATTTTCCTTGCGATTATCGACTTATTTGGCTTGTGAAAGGATAGTATCGTTCTTGAAAGCACGATCAAAACTAAAGAATTTCAAATTAAATTTTAATTGTTTTAACGCGTAGTAGCAACTTAATTCTAATCATCAATTATTTAATTTTTAATGGGCTTCTTTTCAGAGCTGTAAACCGAAAAAAGAGCCCCAGCAACAGTAATAGTAGTCCGAGTCTATCCCCTAGAAAGAACTGGAAATGAAATGACTCTTCCGAAAGCGGAAGAGAAAATAGCCACCCCCCAACTAGGGCCATAAATCAAAACAAAAACACAACTCAATGTGTGAACAAGGTCAGAAGGGAGGCTTCCCACCAGGAGGGGGGAATTTTTGGAGTTGAAGGGGAAGAGCCCGGGGATGGATGGGGAGGGGAGCGGCAAATGGCTCAGGGTTTTGTGAGGATAAGTCAACAGTTGGCCTGAGAGGAAAAGGGAGCGCCCACATACAACGTTCCCCCCCCCAACAACATTTCGAGACATCCACCTCCCCGCACAAAAGCTCAGCTCTTTTTTCGCATCGACACTCCGGCTTTGATCCCGAACAACCTGCGGGTAGAGGGAAAAACATTTGTTTCGGTGGGTTGGTGGTTGGAAGATGGCAATAAGAATAAAATTATACTAACGACTTCTGCAGAATCCTCAAAAATTTTGTGGTTCTCCAAAGGTCGCCGCTCAGCTCCGGTAATCTAAGTTTGGAAAGCCAAGTGCCAAAGTGCAATTAAAGCAGATAAGCTCATTTGAATAGGAAAGGTTTTGTTCAAATGAAGTGGTTGATCTGATTTAAAACCAGAATATTCCCCGAACAAGGCCAAAATTTTGGATAGGCAACCGGAAGCTCATTTATCAGAATAACATTTATCATTTTTTCTTGCTTGCTCAATCCAAGATTTTCTGAGATACCGACATAGGATCTTGATAATTTAAATTTCCACTTGGTCTCAAGAAAATAAAACGACAATATTCCATAAAAACCGAAATCATTTTCTTGCTAAAAGACTGAAAACGACTTCTATTACCAAATGACACCATTCCGATCACAATTCTTTCGTTATAGCCGTGTCCTCGGTGTGTTGTGTAAGCGATAACACTTATCTTTTGAGAGTCGACCCCAAATTCCATTAATTCCCATTTTTCATTTTTTTAGGAACAGAATATCACAGCCTATTGATCACAACAAATTTTGGCAATTGTCAGTAGATCTTGATCCCGGCTTTGCTGGCCTCAATTGCCAACTCGAAGAGATACTCCAGGCATTCAGCTGAACAAATTATATAAATATGAGTAAATGGAAAAGGTTACTGTATTTTGGCTTCTTGCCAAGTTCGACCCCAAACGAATAGGCCGTGGTTTTGACAAGCACGGCTGGGATGGCGGCACCAGATTTTTGCAGCGTGAGCTTCAGTTCGGGCTGGACTTGAATTAAACAATTTAGGAAAATTCCACCAACCAATAATGTTCTTCAGTTGGTTTGTTTGAAATGATAGGGATTTTGAGTGATCGGTATTTGTAGTAAAGTAATCGCTGCAGCTCGGAGGATCGTATACCCGAAATGCTGGGTCTTCTTTAACAGAGAGACTAAGTGTCTAATAAAAGCATCCTACGCGCATCATATAAAAAAATAGTGTTTGTGTGTGTGTGTGTGTGTGTGTGTGCATTTGCATGCAACTTCCGTCCGTATGTTCCAGTCGTATCTCAATAAGGGAAAAAGTTATGGGTGTGTATGATACGTCATTAGGTGCATAATGGTCATGACACGACTGCCCGCATATGAGATTTTTAAAAATCAGCTGTTTTCGATATTAAAATTAAGTTTTTGTGAAAATCTTGCTCGGTCTCGTTGTTAAGAATCAATTAGCATGCACCGGAAGTGGGGAAAGCCTATATAATGGGGGAGAGGACGCGCTTTTCATTTTTCTGCACAGTAATTCAGGTGTTTATGCAAAGTAACGTAGTATAGGGTAAGACCGGGGCCAGGGTTGAAAAGTCGCGAAGCGGCTTTTCAACCCTGGTATATCCTAAAATTGACTCTATTAACTTGCCTTTGAGGTATTCCTGATCGGTAAACCAAACATAATCTTGCCCAGCCACCTTTGCAATTTGCGTCAATAAATTTGGAATGCAGAGAATGGGAGTGAATCACGCATCCCGCGGCTAAAAGATTGAGTACTACAAATGGTCGCACTACAAACCGCAAGAATTCATTATAGCTTCAAACAATGGCAGGCAAGAAGTCACCCCTCAGTCCACCCGGTTGTATAACTGGTGAGAAATCCTTTGCCGCATAGACAAAAATATCCGTACTGAAATTGTGTTGAAACACATTGGCACCAACTCTTTGATCATATCTCTTTTGAACGCTAGATGGGCTGATTAGAATACCATCTCGAGAGGTTGCCTGGAAGAGTTTTTAAGGCCTTTTAAAAATATTTACAGCTAGTGCTCCGCCACTTCCACGCATCCAGCCCTCTTCGTAGAAATGCTTCATGAGTTCGGCAAATCTTTGGGGGCGTCATTTCCTGCAGAGGGTTTTTATCTTTGAATCCGGTAGCTTTGCATACCATCGTCATGGCTTGAAGACGGTGTGGAGATTGTTCTAATATTTTGTTGAACTTTTGGAGTGATTATAATCAGTTTAAGAAGCTTTTCAACTGCGCTGCTCGAAAATTTGGGGCTGTCAAAAGCAAATAATTCGTTGTCTAATTTAACAATCCGCAGAATGCCACAAATTCAGTTATTCATGCATGGTATTTTCCTTAAACTTTCGGGAGCATTTCCGGGTTGCAGACACGGTAAGAAATCAAGGATATGGTAAAATACGATCGTATTTAACAAATGTTTTTTTCTAAATATAGGACAATAACGTCAAAAGAAACTTTTTGATAAAAAGAGCTCACCTCCGCTTATCACTTGCTAACCGATCCCCGCCGTTTGAAAGACCGCAAACAGTAGGTACATGGGGTATCACCGCGTAGCCCCAGGCCCTAGTGCCCATGTTAATAGGTTAGAAATCCGTTCTGTAACCTCGGCAACCGCCCATCCAGCCGTACCTTGATTTTGAGTTTTATAGGTGTGGTACAGCATCCTCTGGAGTTTTCAAAAATCAAAACAAAACGATTGTGAAATTTTTTTAAAGCCGCAAATCGGTGGGTTTTGATTGGTACGGCGTCTGTATCTACTTCACACTAACTTCAAGCACATCTCTAGGGCTGATATTTTTCAGAATTCTCCTGGATCTCGACAAATTTTACTTCTCAGGATAGCTGGCTTGGCTAGCGAGCCATGGCTGGACCCCAGCGGCGTTTTCGAATCCCAAATATCATCCAGCTTCCAAGTGGGGATTTTTAGCATAGCCAAAACGAGCATCTTCAGATGGTCACGTGACGATGGGCATCAGATCCCTTCGTTCGTTATGTCTCGATTCCATCATCGTGAATTCGCAGGGAAAGCTCTTTATACGCGGTAAGAAATTTAGGAAAGGGTAATGACTCGGAAATTAAAGGCTTGAGCAAGCTGGTGGAGATCGGTCTGGTTCCCGATAAGTTATCAATTATGATGGTCAACCGTGACAAGTTCCACTTACAATTTTGGCTCCCGACGGTCGATATGCATCCATTTACGGTAGGATTTTCTGACGATTCCCAATTCATCTTTTAGGTTATTTTCCGCACACTGTACAGCCTACTTTGCGGGATTGGCTACCTCAAACAGTGGAACGTTAAGCATATTGAGATGATCAACTGCACATTTCTCAGCAACCAGATTAATGGCCTCACGAATGCACTGAAAGTAAGTAGAGACTTTTCTTGCTCAACCATACTTTTAGAAACTCCAACCCCTCAGTGTAACATTGCTCAATTGCCAGTACAATTCACTGAACCAACAAGAACGCTTTCGTCTATCTGCTGGACTCAGAGATAATGGAAAAATTCAGGTATCCTATTTATTCTACCGATTATTTTGATTGAAAGGTGATCTTTATCGGTTCAACCATGAACCACGAGAAAACCTTGCCAAAAGCTATCACCGACAAATATGACAACAAATCGATGCGCACGGTAAGTCGTAAAAACAAATATTAATTTTCGATTTCAGATGTCAGCGGCGGAGATTCGCAGAAGCCAGAAAGAGTTGGATGCGGCGCGTCGGTAAGTAATTTACCAGTTTTAAGAAATAGATTTCCTCGCAAGGCCCAGAAACTAAATTTAACTTTTTAGCCGGAAAGAACGCGCGATGGCCTTGCAAGCCTTAACAGGCAGCACGACTCACAAAACAGAAGCCAGTGTAGAGGCTAAAACTACACAAACTACTCGACGAAAGCCGGCCGCTTCTGCCCAGCCCTCAACTTCGAAGCTAAATCTGTCAAGTAACACCGGATTACGGCGTTCCAAGCGTATACAAGTTGCCCTTGCAGCTAGTGCTAAACGCTGCACCTGCGCACCATAGGATAAAACCGCTGTGAAAGCAAAATAGAAAAGTTTTTTAAAAATCCACATATTTTTTTGTTTTCTAGTCGAAATTCTAACGAAGTAGCAGGCCCGCTCGTTCTTACCATAATATCCCGGTTGTACCATATAATTTGGACGTTTTGAGTTTTATGTATTCCCATATCTTTCAAAATTGTACAATTATTGTCAATAACTGCACAACGCTCGATGTATCATCCGCTTGCCCTCAACGCCACCTTACATTGTATTTTTCCTGCGCGTGAATTTTTGCTGCTTATTTACCACTACGCTCAACAGAATATTTATTTCCAAATTAGCTTCAATTTTATCATATCCACGTGTCGATCACCATTACAGCTATTAAAACCACGGCTCTGCAATTGTGATATTCAAATGTGCAGTGACGATTATCGGGCAATTTTCTATTCCGTCTAATATCCCGATGGTCAGATTAATTCATATCCCCGGTATTATGGTTTCAATTTTTTTTTGCAGATTTGGATATAAATCGGGTTTACTGTACCGACTAATACATTAATGATCACATACAAGGAACTACAAACTACCACTTCCCGAAAACACCGGTCTTCGTACCAGAACTTTGTTCACCAAACTAATCAGGAAAAATGGGAAATTGGCTAATTAAAAAATTACTTACAAGGGGATGGTCTCAGCTCGGAATCGAATTCGGATTTGAAAATTTGCACACTTATAGAGCTCGACGAGACAAATCGATTGGTGTAACTTTAAGCAGCAGATACCCCGAACTAACGAAGTTATAAGCATTTTTAGTTTTTGCATACATTTTGCAGATTTTTCGCCATACCTTCATAAGCCCTCCCCCTTCCCCCATCAGCGTGGTCTGGTGGTCTAGTGGCGTGGTACGCGGCGTCTGGGGAATCTATCCATGGTTCGAACCCGCTCACGATTTTTATTTTTTTGCTTTTTGGTCCAAAGATTCCTCTTGGCATTCCAAAGACCTTTAATGGCTTTTTAGGCATTCACCAGGAACCAGAAAGCGCTCGCAGCAAAAAAATCCCACTCCTAAAAAATTTTGGAAATTTTGAAAGTAGGCAAGGTAACCATAATTTGTAACCATAACAACCATAAGGTAACCATCAGTTCAAAGAAAATAATTTTGATTATTTTCATGCCGCTTGGGATACGATAAAGTGTTGATAAGCAGATTGCCAGCCTTCTGAAAATTTCTCCAAAATTTTTTGAGGAGGCATGAGCACAGGCACAACATTTTAAATTTTTCGCCAAGCTGCTTTATTGTTGGCAACGCTTCCTGGTTCCTGGTGGATGCCTAAAAAGCCATTAAAGGTCTTTGGAATGCCAAGAGGAATCTTTGGACCAAAAAGCAAAAAATAAAATCGTGAGCGGGTTCGAACCCTTGATAGATTCCCCAGACGCCGCGTACCACGCCACTAGACCACCAGACCACGCTGATGGGGAAGGGGGAGGGCTTATGAAGGTCTGGCGAAAACTCTGCAAAATGTATGCAAAACTAAAAATGCTTATAACTTTGTTAGTTCAGGGTATCTGCTGCTGAAAGTTACACCAATCGATTTGTCTCGTCGAGCTCTATAAGTGTGCAAATTTTCAAATCCGAATTCGATTCCGAGCTGAGACCATCCCCTTGTTAGGTGACGTATTCCATAGAAGCTCCTAGGAGTTACAAAACTTAATTGTGATTGTTTGTTTCTCTACCCCACTTATTTAGCCCCATAAATTTTTGCTCACCGAACCGCAAAGTGGTAATTATGTCGAAACGGCTTCATTCGCTCTGTGCCCAACCCTCCGGGCGCTCGTAACATTTTCCGCCTGTAATGACTACGTGAAAAAAGTAGACTGCTGGGAGGAAGTGCTTTTTATGCTGCAAATACTGTCCCCAGGGAACTTAGCTCCCAAAAACCATAATAATTAGGCCACAGTCACTATAACTGGCAGCCCCATGAGGATCCTAAAACCATTCTTGATATCAATGTATACTACATGCAATTAATCCCGGGGAAACAGTGGGCAGATCTTTATCGAAGTACAGTTCTAATTAGGGACACTGGTTCTTATAAAAATTGGTCCCTTGATTTGACTGGGTGTGGCGATACGTGAGGATCTTCTCGATCTTTCCGACTCGGTGCTCTTCACTTTAGATATCATAAGAACTGAGAAATTGGCAATATCATTCCTAAATTTGGAGAATCTCGAAATGACATTGATACAGATAAATGATAATCTGAAATATGGGAACATAGGATTGTTTGCATGCAGACAAGCATCATTGTGGAAACCTACTTATTTTGCTTCCGACGAAGGTGACGAAAAAATGTTTGACGCACGATTGAAGATGATATAAGAATAGCCCAGGGTTGACAGGAATATATAGCATCTACTATCGGATAGCTAAATTTGTTATGTATTTTCAGATTTAGCTTCCCCTAGTTACCTCAAATCCTGCAGCATATACATCTCTCGCACACCACAATACGTGGCTAATATTGTTCCCACTTGGAAGAGGCTATTAAAAGCCAAAATGCCAAAGACCAGCAGCGACGAGGCAAGTAAACGAATTTCCGCAGCCAGGTGTGCCCGGCGGTACGTCTGAAAGAAAGCGTTTTTGATTAAGCGAAAAGGTGGCTGGTTGGCACACGCAGTTGTTAACACTTCAAAAACTAAGGAAACAAAGAAAAAAAGATCTGAGAAACAGCAATCGTATTAACCTCGGATTTGTGGCTCATGACTTTATATTTTGTCTACAACGGTATGATTTCTGAAAGGTACAGGGTGGCTAGAAAGTATTTGCCGCAGGGTAAGCTCCTTAAGAAATTCCCCGTGTCCGGCTTCTTTGCCATTTTATAACCAAAATGTAGCAAACAGACCCCTCGCTACGACTATCAGAAAGACTAACACCCTAGACCTCAGATTTTTAAGATACGGTCCTTTAGAGGTGTATCCAAACATGGGCCTGCGCCGCACGTATTTTGACTTTAGTGTTAATCTTTTCAATTTTTGCTTGCAACCAATCAGAACAGAAAGTTGGATTTTTGTTTATTGTCAGGCCCTTTATTGGACGTATCAACCAGAAAAATTCGTTTTAGCCGTATCGAAAGCTTTTCACTATTTTCTTGAGCGCCTAAAATGAGCGGAACAAGGTGTTTTTGGAGCCCAAATACAAGATGTCTTAAGCAACCACGTTTTTATGCGGAAAATATTATTTCTTTTGTGGACGCAATAAAACCAATCGCGTGGATAGGAAAAACTCATTGGATAGCCGTAACTAAAATTATTGCGGGCACAAAATAATAATAAGTTGCACTTTCTTGCCGTTGGTTTCGAACGATCTTCAAATGCTTGAGGCCGGCGTTTTCAATTATTTTGGTCCTAGTCAAAGTGTCAGCCTGGTAGGCCGATGCATTTACTATATTTTAATAGTAAATTTAGGGCAAGCTTTCAAATTAATGATTTTTAAAACCAATTTTTGTGCGGCAGATGGTTGCCAGCCACGAATCTCGGCGCACCCCACTAGCAAAATTTTACTTTCACTTCCGTGATCCATCGAAGTCTTGCGGTGCCCCGAGCATAATTTTTTTAGATAGTTTCGTTAATGGTTGCTACGATCCAGCACCAGAAAAGAATAAGGTATCCCCTAAGAAATTTTTCGAGGCCTTCGAAAGTGCCGAAAACCGATACAAAAAACCAGGTTTTATGTATTTCAGTCTAATTAAAATTATACGAGCAAGCATTTGCTTGTTTCTATATATCAATCGATAGAGCAAAAAATTCTCTTCCGAATGCACCCCACTAATGCACCTGTCGTTGGAATTTTAGCAGATTAAAACCAGCGCGAAAGCGCGGCAAATACTTTCTAGCCACCCTGTATATTGGGATTTCCTACCCCAATACAGGTGATCACATAGCAGACCATGGATAACGTAGTGGAGATTACTGATGAAGCACCATCGATTAGAGCTACGATCTAAATAAACTCAGCGGTCCAAGACCCTTAATCAAACTAACGAAAGTACTCTGCGCGTCTGTAAACAATCGTATCTTTCCGGAATCGATAGCATATCGTATATCATAGCTTGGATCGAAGTTCACCGGTATCACAATTATCAACGGTATTATAATTTGTATTAACGTCATTATAACCATCCGCCATTTTGTCCAGAGCTTAATACAAAGCATATAAACGTAAAAATGACACAAACATGTTCATAGGAGAGCGGAAATATAGCGGACGTCAGCCGATTTGCAGCCGCGTAGATTTGAGCAATGTAGATCACCATCTTGATGTAATAGTGAAAAGCGTTGCAGCACCTAGCCACCCAGGAATAGCTTGTTGGGTCTTGAAAACGTAAATTACGATCATCGAAGTTTTATTCCCTACCATCAGACAAATACGGCGCAAAGAACCAATTCAAATAGTCATATTTTCTTAACCGGAAAAATACGGTAAATTCTGCATAAAGCAGCAAATCCGCGACAAACTAGATAAAAATTTATATCTGATTTTGAGGAAGCATCCACCTGTATAATTGCCAATTTAAAAAACGACCCTTGCAAAATTTTAATCTTCTTTCGATTACGTAGTATATTCCAGACAAGTGCAATATGTACCAAGGTCGATACCGTACCCACGGCAAGGAGTATGGCCTGTAGCATATCCAATGCCATGATGACGACCCGTCAAATAGCCTTGATAGCTGATGGTGGGCGGGACCCTATAAAATTAAATATACCCATTTACAATCACCCCCATAAATGGTTTTGAGGACCGGGCGCCCGTAAATGGCTGAATTCTCATTTAGTCATCATGCCGGCATTGCGTGCCACATTTTCCGCATCCATCCAATCAACAGCTAACTGTTGGGTTGGATGGTCAACAAAACTTTGAGTTGATGGCTTTTGGGGAAACGAGGAAGAATTTTTGTGCTGGACGTTCTACGTGCCCAACATCAAGGAAAATTGGCCACTATTTGGTATTCAGCGGGTGAACAAAGGGGGAAGATGTACCCGGGAAATGAGGTAAATTCATTTGCAGACTTTTGGACTTGGGATTGAATTAGCAAATGCGGGGACTGTGTGGCGTTGTGATCTAACCCCGGGGGTTTCCCCGCTACAGGTCCCGCCTACCCTCCCCCTGCAATTATGACTATTCTGAGCCGATTTTTTAATCATGCTTCTCCCCCCTTCTTCCACTTCACCCTTTTAGATGTAAAACCTGATTGCCGGGTTCCCCCCCGCCCATATCCCCTAAGGGACCAGCAGACAGGAAATTGCAGGCTGTTCCTGGCGTTAGTTAGTGCTACTTGGTGTCAAAACCATTCTACGAAGAGTTAATTGAGTTTATAAAGTGGGATCTGGAACTACAGATACTACAATTTTCCTTCGGGCCCGGATGCCTCCGTCCCTTTGGGGGAATTGCCGACTGATGTTGATCGTCGCTTGTCCCGATGGAGGGTAGACTGGAAAAGATGCGCCTTGTTAAGTAATGAATATTGCAAAGAGGGGCGCCTCTATTTTCCGGGAATTAGATGTTGCTTTCCTGGAAAGCATTAAAGGGTCTAGGTTTTGCGAGGAAGGGGCAATCCATGAGTCAAAGATGCCAAGCGGAAAGTGTCAATGATGGTTTGGAAGAATGAACAAAATGGTTATGGCGGAATTCACAAAAATGCCAGGCAGTTAATAAGATCTATTGTCGAGAAGCAATGGCGCATGGGCCAAATATGGGCAGTTTCCGAGCCATAATCAACTACCATGAGCCCCAAAAAATGCACATCCTAGTGACTCCGAAAGCACAAGATATATTAGCATGGTTTTTACGCCATTCGAAAAGGCAATAGCAGCCTTTTTGCCATTTTCCGTCGTAAAAATTACAATTAAAATACCTTAAAAATACAACCAATTTATCCAGTTTTATAAAATCGGTTCACGCTATATATCAGCGTTATGTCTTCCATGACATGCCTTCGGATAGGGCCTCGGAATCAGTTTGAAACAGCGTTCATCTGTATTTTGACATAGCAGACAGGCATTTGGATTATCACGACGCCTCTATTTAAGCATTACGAAACTCTTATATTTCATCATTCCTTTATATCCCGGAAATTGGGTTAAAATTGATTTGCATGGCGGAACACATGGGTAACCGGGCCCCCGGGTCGTCGAAGCGAAATGACCCCCGTCCACTCACTTCTAGCCAGACCCCCGCTTTCCGAAGCGGTTCCACTGAAATGGTATGGATGAGCCAAAATTAGCTTCAGACTTCCCGAAGGCTCGTTCTTCAGTGGCCTTTAATTGGGCAAATGCATTTTCCACGGGCTGACCCCGAACCCGTAGCGTTGTTGGCCCGTTTATCCTAGGACCCATCCTCCCCCATCCATGGCCTCCATTTCTCTCCTTCCCAGCTGCCCCCCCATCCGCCGGATGGATAACTGATTCGCACTCCTCTCCAACCGGATTCCAGCCATACATTTTGTGTGCTGGCCTTTGTTCCGAGATCTGATACCACATGGCCCCCCGATATACTCTTTCCCTTTTTGGGGGGTCCCAGATGATGGAAGTATTGGATGGCGTTGTTGCGGGTTCATTGTGTTCGGCTGCTGCCTGGTTTTTTAGGGTATTTCGGGGGCAAGGATAGGATATATTTTGAAATATAGGGTTGCGAATTTTAAGTGACCAAGGAACAAGGTTTCTGTTGGGTTCAAAGGTATCACAAGGTTTAATTGGGTTTTAAAGGTGATAGCAGAAAAATTGTTATGCCGTTTTCCTTTTTCTGGATGGCATCCCGAAAAACCATACTGAAAGCATTGCATAAAAGTTTATTTGCATAGGAAAGCAGCTGTATTTTTATGTAGTCGCCTGGCTTTTTTGGTAGATTGTGCCCATTTGCTCTCAATAAATTTGTCGATTTTTTTTTGCTAAACTTCCTGCTATTAGCTACCCCTAGCTTCCTGCTCCCGCAACCGATCATTTCGGAAATTCAAATCCACATATTTTGACCTTTTCAAGCCGATATCTATCCAACCGGCAAAAAGCGAGGTTTTTTATCATCAATTCCACCCCAAATGGCGAACATGAAACCTGATCCGGATTTCAGCGTCGCCCACAGACCCTCCTCTACCTCGTGTGGGTCCCATACATATAATTGGCTGGCCAACAACCCTTTTCTACTCTATCTAGGGCTCCGCCGAATTGGTGGTCCGAATCGTCTGTGCCCAACCCTTTTTCTGAACCTTACCCATCGCCAAGCCGTATTCGAATTGCGTGGAGCCGGCAATTTCCCCGAGCGGCGAACCACTAACACTTAGCTATAATGCGAGCGTCCGAGGAAATGAGTCACGTCATGAAATATTAAAGGGACTGGGAAGGTAAAAAGCGTACGGCATCGGAAAATTGATTTGTGCTTACACGACACATTGGCATTCAATTCTGAGGATAATGTTAGAAATAGATATATCTAACTAACTAGCTAAAAATCCGGGAATACATTTTTTAAAACGAAGCCTCTAAGCAGTGAAACGCAAATTTGAAACATCTGATAAAGCGAATAGAATGGATTTACATAACCTCTAAATACCCATTTAAGTGTTCTTCACCCCACCCTATTTCATCCCCTACATCGTGTTCTCACCCTAACCCTCAAAAAAACGGCCATCATACCCAGAAAACAAAGTCACATTGAAGCCCACCAACCATGATATAAACGGCCCTAAATACCCTATTGTCCTTTCCCGCCACAAGACCCCCATCAAACCACCATCGGCCTTGATTAAGCCAAGAAATGAAAATATCCTGACCACGCAAGATCTCCTTTGTTTTCCCCTCTGACTTGCTGCTTCACCTTCAAACTTCCGCTCCGGGGCACCCTTTAATTTTCAGTTCTATGGGAGGGTGAGGCGGGGGAGAAAGAGAGGGTGGTATGGGATTCGAGGGCGAGCAATTATCCCTTGGAGGTCTCCGTTGAAACGTCAGTGGAAATGCATACTCAATGAGGTTTTTGAATTCGCAATTTCAGAATGGCTATTTGTGCATGGGGAAAAGCGACGTGCGCTTCATACTATAGGGCTCAGGGTTTTTTGGAAGAAATTGGTGGGATTTGCGGTGTTTTAAAGGGATGAATTGAGTTTCTTTTTTAACATAACTCTTTGATTCTCCATCATTTGGGCTGAAAATAAAAGTTCTAGCAGATTTTTCGACGCTTTAGCGAGTGCTGAAGCATTCCCTTTAAAATATTGAAAACTTATTTCTCGTGTTGCTGCCAGCTAAGTGCAAGTTAGTTTCTCTCTCGCATCATTGCGAATTGCGCCCCTTTCCTCCCGTTTCTTATGAAACTCTTCAAAATAAATCCTCAATTTCCATGATCCAATTTTTATTAGCAAAACCCATTTAGCCACTCCTCCATTCCATCAGCTTCCCGAACCTCAAAACTCACGCCTTCTAACTACCAGGCACCCCCTGAAAATTTCACCAAGCTACAAATCTTCGTGCCCCCAGGACAGCTTTTCGTTGCCTAGTTTTACGAGTTTTTCTCGTTACCAAGGACTGCTACAACAGTAGTCCCCCAACCCTCGAAATTTACCACGCCACCGTGGCACCCACAAACTATTCTTATTTCCCCCTTTTTCCCCGGGAAGCTCGAGCAAAGCACCGTGGCTTGTTTTCAAATTCAGAACCCGCATTCTGATGCACCCGCCCCCGAGACCCTCATCTCCACCCGAAAATACAAAGCGAAAACAACCGGAGGGCCACCCCAGCTGTTCGCGTTCTTCAACACGGAAGAGATAGTTACGACCATAGCACGCATCGGATTACACTCCTAGTATTTATTAGAAGGGGCGCATTCATTAGTGTTGATGTTGGTGCCGCTCTTTTTTTCAGCTAGCAAAAAACGCGTTATTTAGGGGTACACTACGTGCGAGCCAAGGGCGTTCGAATGAATGGCCACCGGTGCGTCTGGAGGTTGAATGAGGATTTTCCTTTATTCTTCTCCCCTTTGTGAACTCACTAGCGCGCCGCTTCTTTTTTTGGAGGGCTTCGTTTTTTGAATTTTTATTTTGTGTTTATCTATGTTTTGGTTTTGAACCCAAAGCTTATAAATTTAGGTATGCAATTCCATAAATTCGCTGAGAAGTTTTAGACGATTTCTTAATGTTGGAAAATGAAAAATCCCGACAGCCATAATACCGACAGCAAAAATCCCGAAATGCTCTGTAAAAAAAGAATTGGCATTCGAATTAGCGCCATGAATATGCCAGTATCTAGGTTGTCGAAATTTTGGCCTGTAGAGATCTTGGCTGTCGGAGCATGATTGGCATTTCTCTTATTTAATTTTCACTTTGAAATGAAAATTAATTTGCAATTTTTGAGACCTTAAATTTGATTCTTGCTTTCGACCTTCGATTTTTTCCAAGACTTAGCGAACGCAGGAAACAGTTTTGGATTTGCCGGACACCTCCTGGATTATCCCAAAACCCGGCAGCTTCCGTCATAAACAACCATATTCCGCGTCATAAGCCGCCTTTTTGGAACTGGCTGCGGGATGCTACCGTCATTTGGTCGCAAGAAAAACAGCAGGGGGATTTACAAAGTGGCCTTTATTACCCGATAATCTTTTGGGTAACGGATTTTTGCCGGCTTTGATGTACTACCCAAAATTGCGTGAAAACCCCCATTATTTAATATGAAACGAGAGTGACGCCCGTCTATTTTGGGACCTAAAATGGATGACAAAATGATTAGTCCTGCAAGATGCGCCACGCGAAGAGGTAGAGAGAGGCTTGTTTTAGATGTTTTTATGAATTCTTATGGAACTTTAATTGGTTTGAACATAGCGAGCTTGAACTTCGTTACCTAAAGTACCCAGATTTTCCAGTAATGTTGGCTATTTTTGATTGCTTTAAAGCCATTGGATAAAGCATCAAAAACTATGCCAAACACTTTTAATTTCAGCCCGAAATAACGAAAAATAACTTAGTTATGACAAGAAAAATCAAAATTTGGACCTCCTGTAAAGCACCATTTTCACGTTATAATTTACACTGTGTATTTATATTGCAATTTTTAGCCAGGGAAGATGGCTGGGATCTAGAGTTTTGTATCGGATATTTTTAAATAATTTTTGGATTTGCCGGATCTGCCGGAACTTGGAAATTGTTACCTAACAAATTGTTTATCTATTTCCACCACAATCCCGATGCGCGATACTTGATGCATGAAAAACGCTAGCATCATTCCTGTCTGCCCAGTCATTCTTTTTGCATCCTTTTTCGATCACAGCCCTTCATCCCATTTTGCAGGGGCTTAACTTTCGCCGCTGGCACCCATACATCACCGAATTCATAGGTCCCTAGCATGCATCCACTATCTCCTCCTCCGCCTTTTTTGTGGGTGTGTTGCGAGTCCGAACGGAGGGGGTGGGGAGGCTGGGCCCCCCTAATTCCCATCGTGCCCTCACCCTCTTTTGGCTGCCCAAAAACCTCCAAGGCTCCATTCACAATTTTCAAATGTTGCCCAATTCGAGCTCTCCTCCACCCCTTCATACAAATTGGATGAACATAGAATCCCGAAAAAACATCCGAGCCCAGCGAATCTCACGCGGGCCCAGCTAGGGATTATGAGGAACGCGCAAACACACTGACAAGGAGTGCTTTTTTTGAGTCATCTGCAAAACCTTACGAGACATAGCTCATTCGATAGAGAATTCGATTCTGAACAAAAGCCCGTTGTTCTTTTTTGCAGAATGGCTATCCCTGATTTTATAAAATTTTAAAACTGCACCCAAAAGCCTCTCTTTTGGCTCGAAAGGCACTCATGGTAAGAGACGGTCATTAGTGTTTTAATTTTGGTAAAATCGGGGATGGCCATTCTGCAAAAAAGAACAACGGGGTTTTGTTCAGAATCGAATTCTCTATCGAATGAGCTAGGTCTCGTAAGGTTTTGCAGATGACTCAAAAAAAGCACTCCTTGTCAGCACGCTACATTTCTATTCTGGGCCCATGTTGTATCTACCGAATCACTTTCCATGTGCTCTTGCAATATTTCCATCGACACAAGATTATCTTTAAAGGGGGGAAGGGGTCGAGTGACTGCGCTTCCGGCCCATCATCCAACTCAACCACGAAATCGTTTCGGAAATTATCCGGATTATTGGTGGGCTTAGGCGGTCGAACACATGCAAAGATGTTCTTGTTTCAAAATATGGATTTTACATACATTTTACACTTTATGCAGCTAATAAGCGAAAGCTGACATTGACATTTTTCTTGCTATATAGACGGTTTGAAGACGGGGTACTTAAGCCTATAATTTCAGTAGTTTCCTTGATGACGGATTGATCCGTATTTATGCTCTAAAATCGTAATTCAACGACTACATTTGTATCCGTCTACGCAGATGCTGCGGTCGGTTGCCCAGACACCATCTTGCCATTAGCCCATCTTTTTATATTTTTACGACACGCCCTCCCCGACGCAACTCCTTAATATTCCACATTCCGGTTCACAACACGAACTTTCATTAACTGCCAATTCTGAATACTCATTCTCATCCCCTTCCCCCATAGCCCTACCCATCCAATAAATGACATCCAGCAGCAAAAACCATCGAGACCCAATTTCCCCCGACACAGCGCCTGATTTACGCTTTTAATACCGTAAAAGGAAGGCGGGTTGTTTGTGTTTATGGGCGGGCATTTCGGGCCGAGTAAAATGACGTGGTCCCTGGGGGGTATTTCGTCTTTTGCAAATTGGGTACAGGCTATGGAGAGTGTTCTGGCGGTGGTGCACGCTTTTTAAAGTCTTTCGTTATAGACTGATGCTTCGCAATTTCGCTCGGTAAAAATTTGAACATTCATCTCACCATTTTATGGGTTTTGAGTTTTTCTTTTTTATAGTTATCAATATTACTTCAATTTCCGTTTATAAATCATTTTATATAATCATTTATCATCCAATGGTTTTTCAAACATGTTATATAAAAATCTAATTTCCAGAGCTTTTGCCCTATTTATTTTTGTGGAAGTTTTAAACGCCTGGTTTCTTGATTTTTTACTAGATATTTTTGCAATTCATAATCTATATTTTCATTCCGATTTTTGACTTGATTATTCGGAGCACCACTCTTCCAATGGTTTTTTGCAAAACTGCTAACTGACCAAAACATCCTCAACTATTCCCCTCCCTCCCACATTTTCAGTCTGCCAATTTCCGGACAAATCCCCCCAAAAAGCGTTCCAGCCCCTTTCAGGAAGCATCTCGATGCAAAATCTCTGTATATTCTCCCTCTCTTTGCTCACATGCGGGAAGTATGGAGGCGTGTGGTTGACAAATTGGCGATGAAGATATTCGTGGGATAGAGTTTCCAGCCCTTGTTATCCCATTCCAACCCCGGATCCCAGGAAATTTGGCAATGCCACAAAATTTGCCCTCAACCCCTGGCATGACGAGTTAGTGCACGAAAGCTAAAATTGGGGGAATACCCTCACGACAAATGGATCCATTTTTGGGAGGGCAGCATCCGAGGAAAAACATATGTCTTGCCCCGAGCATACACTTTTTCAAGAGTGGCAATGACGGGTAGTAGAGTGTCCCTCCAAGGGAGTAGTAGAGGCTGTCATGAGATGCTTTTTGGCTACGTGCTAAGATGGGAAATAATCGTATTTGGAGGTGAGACCCATCTGTGGCTATCCCTGGCGGGCTTCATCCCCCATGACCCTTTGTCGTTACGAAATCCCATTACATTTCTTTTCCTTGCTTTTAGTCTATTTTAGAAGTTTGGAAATTCCAAGAAGTGTTCTCTGGAAAATTGTGGTATAGTTTGATCGCAGCGTGTGGTCCCAATTTTTCTAACCCTTCATCCTAAATCCTTCATCCTGGAGAGCGTTGAATATTCTGCGCGCAGGTCGCGTTCGAATCATAAATTCAAAGAGGAACGCATGCCGCGCCCTAAAAGGAGTTTCCATTTTTTAAGCTTTCGTCAGGACTTTGATACCGAACGGCCTTCTGTTACTTATTTGCAAAATTCAATTCCAATTCATTTTTGCAAAGCAGCCAACATTTTTACCAAGCCAAATAAAGCCCGGAGAACTTCCCAAACCCAAACCCCAACAAAATAAAAGCGATAATTTCCTGCGAACCTCTGCATAAACTCGACAAATCCGTAACACCATCGATTTTTGAAAGTGCCTCGTTCTCTGAGCCCGGGCGGATTTTCCATTGAGCTGACAGTCGAATGTAGGAAGGGATTTTGCCCCTATATTCAAGGGGGGGGGCTTTGGGATCCAGCAGCCAAAGATTTCCTCTTTTTCTAAATCCCTTTCTTTGGCCGGGAATCTGGGACTCTGAAACGTTACTAAATTGGAATCCAATCGCTAACCACTTCTCCGCGCTGTGTCCAAATAAATATTGTTCGCATTTTCCGGTGGGGACAGGTGCTTTTGTTGCGTTTGGCATCGAGCCCGGTGCGCCTTCTATCCCATTCTTTTCCCTCCAATTCAGCTCTCAATTTCCATTTTTTCGTGTGTGTGTTCAATTTGGTGTAAGGGAGGTAGGGGAGAAGAAGAGGTTTGTGGGTGGGCGGCATCGAACGGGGGGTAATTGGGATCGGATGGTGAATCCGTATGTTATTGGATTGCAGGTCGGGCCATCGAGAGAAGAGGAGGAGGAGGCCCTTCGAATCGCGTGTGTTTCGTTTTGGTGAAGAGATCGGAAGAAAACCGTCAAATCGGAACGTCGGGTGCACAATGGATTCATCAAGGTCTTCACTTTGCAACCAGGCGGCCCAGTTTTCCTTGGCCGCTCCCCCACCGCCACGGACACCAAGGAGTACCTCGCCACAAACGGTTGGTTGTTTTAATCGCTTAAAATTATGTTTATTCTGCCTGGGAGTAGAGCGGTTAGCGGCGAACTAAGTGTTGCCAATGCTCCGTAGTCGCCTCATAATGACGTATACTAGATATGTAAAATAGGTAAAAGAAATAAGACAAAAAATTTTTGTGATAGAACTAATTAGAAATCAGAGACCTCTCAAACTTTATTAAGATAATTTAGATTTCATCTACCCCGCCCCCCCCCCGCTAAGGAAGTAGCACCGATACTAGCCTTTGCAAGCGGTCGTCTTTAGGGGATACTGGAATTTTACTACTAAATACCTTTTTTGTAACAATGGACAACTTTAAACCACTTTTTTAAGCTATGTCGACACCTAAATCTCTTACAAACAAATCCAAATTGCTCAAAGATTACTGTACTGAAGACGACAGTACCCCAATTTTTCCTTAAAATTTCGTTAGATCTATGTGAATTTCCCAGCTTTGTTGCGAGAACCGAAAAAATAGGAACGGCCCGGCAGACCCCTAGCTTAAAAATCCCGTCAATAGTATTAACGAACGTCGCGGTTCGCCCCCCCATAAACAATTGATCCCTCCACCGTCCATTCTTTTCACCTCCTGATTTTTTGCTGGAATTGCCCTTTCAAAGCAATATCCCCCAGATCGCATCCCGCCCCAATAATCCTTCGACAATTCCCCTTCGCTTCCGCAACGGATATTAACAATGATGAGAAGTAGTCTCCGAACCTAAATTACACGCCACTGAACAAAAGGCTTGCCATTTCCGGACCCTGGAAACAGTCAAGTTGATGGTTTTTGAAAATTATATGTTTTCGATATCTAACTTCATTGTTTTGTGGAAATCTCAATCATCCGGGGTTAGTTAAAAAATAATTAGCATGCACCGTTATTGAAATCAACCTTTATAAAGTGAAAAAGCGGGTGCCTTTCAAATATTAAATCAAAGATTTATCAAAACTGGTTTTCTTAAGATATATCCTAAATTTTCAGCCAAGTCAGAGCGTCGACCACTCGACGGCTTATCGCAAATTTCTGCTGGAGAAGCGTAAAAGTTTTCGGCAACGCGGGAGCTTGGTGAGTTACTGTAGCCCTCGTTTGCCTATCGTAACTTTTCAAAGCGCTCTTTTTTGCCAAAATTTCCCTTTCCAGGGCCCCACCATCGCGTCCGCCCCATCGGTTGAGCACGAGGAATACCGTACCCGGCCATGCAACGACGAGGCTGGTAAAAATGGGAAAAGCTTCGACTTTGGCGGCAACGTACATCACTCGAGCTCTGCGTCAGAAAGCAACGCTTTTGTAAAGGTTGGTGTTTATCCATAGAAAGCTTTTGGCACGGATGTTGTACGCTTTTAAATTAATTTTTTGGCGTTGCTTTGGGCATAAGAACGCAATATGGAGTAACGTAAGATAGTAAGAGTAAAAAAAAATGCCAAAACGTCACTATGATGTCCATTAAAAGTGGCGTAAAAAAGTAAGGCAATGGAAACATTCAATTTGCCAATATTCAAGTGGATGCAAGTCAGCACCTATAACTGTGAAACCGGTTTCTGGGCCAAAACTGAAAAACCTTCAATAGATTAATGATTTAACCTAACTTAAGTCTAAAGGTTTTCTAAGCTAAATAATGGGGTAGACTTGACAGCAATTAAATTAGAGTGCAGAAAATTAAAATGGAAAAATGAAAGCTGACGAGAAAAATGAAAATAAGTGTACTGAAAAAAGAGTAGCGATTGAAAGCTTTTGGTGGAAGTGGTTGCAGAAGCTCGTAAATCTCAACTTTGCCCTAGCCCTCAACTAGTGCCAAAACCCATACCAATATCGTAACGAGGATCGGGATCCAATCACCTCAGAAGCCCGTTGACGCGAGACCACATTGCCCGGGATAGGTTGACGCGAGAGCCGGCAGGATTGGACCGGCGAGAAGAAAGAGCTATAATTCGCAGGTTGTACCCAACCCTTTACCCACCAGGTTGACTGACTACCACATCACTCTCCTGCCCTCCCAAACACCGGGAAGAAGCTTCTCGCTTCCTTTTCCCATCCGTTAAGGACCGCACACTCGGCCAAACACAAAAAGACAGACAGACACACTCTTCTCGATGAGCCCCACCAGCCCTTGGCCACTAACCTCACGTCTTCCGCTTCCCAAACCCTAATTCCCAGATCAACCCCTCAATTTTTCATTTCACCCCCGATGTGCGTGCCAGCCTGGCCAAAGATGTCCTTCTGGGCCCATGGGCACACTCATTTTTAGTTATTTTGGCGGGAGCGGAGAGGTGTCTAGTTGAAACGGCAAGTGTCTGAATAGCTCCTGGATTTTATCCTACTATATATAAAAAGTAGTTTCTGTGTGTGTGTGTGTGTGTATGTATGTGTGTGCATTTCCACGCAACCTCTGTCAGCGTGTTCCAGCAGTATCTCAATAAGGGGGATATTTAGCGGGATGTGTTTGATACGTCACAGTGCGTAATGGCCGGGAGAGATGACTGCACACCCAGCAAAAAATTACCAAAATTCGCTGTTTTCGACGTTAAAATTAAGCTTTTGGTTGAAAATCGAGAACCCTTATAGGGAAATAATTAGCATATGCCGGAAGTTGCGGTAGCCTATATAATGGCGTGAGAGAGTTGGCGCTTCCTATTTTTGTCATAGAAAAGCGCGAGAATTGGCGCAAAGTGACGAATATCATGTGGATCAGGACGGGCCGGGTTGAAAAGTCGCGAAGCGGGTTTAACCCTGGTTTTTATTTAATTCATGAAATGGTACCAATAAAATAATGAAAGGCAAAATCATTCCGAGAGATTTATAAACGATCTTGAACCACCTTCTATAAATCGATCACAACGTTGATTTTTTATTTGGATTTTGCGCACATAAGCAAAGAAATAAGATTGCAAAGCAGCCTTTGAACATTCAGGACCCATTTTGCCGCGATTAAATCGGGGAATCTAAAGGCCTTTCAATCGTTAAAGACCCAATCTCAACCCCCTCAGAACTCTGCTCACCATATACCCTTCTTACGTCGCCGAAGTATGCTTGGGAAACCCGGCCACACGCGTAGAAATGCGATCACCATGAGAACCTGCTATTCTAGCCCAATCATTTTCTAAAATTCGACTCCCCTGCCGAGTTCGAATTGTTAGATGCCCGGGGTGCGGAGCCATAAACCTCGGTCGTTTTATTGTGTTTTCGAGATTTGCCCACAATTAGGTACTCCGGATTTCATGTATTACATGCGTTTTCGAAGGGATCGCCTCCTGAGCCGCTAGGTCAGGGGTTTTACCGGGAGGAGGTGACGATTTGATTGAATGATTTAAAATTGAATAGATGGAGGAATAAGAACATTAGGAGTTCTTGTATTTTGCCCCTAGTCAAGTAGCCTTAGTCAACCCTGTCGTATCATTAAAGAATTGTCACGTAAGTTTGATAAAGTTAGTAGGTAAACCGAGCCGATTACAGCCGCGTCGCGGCTGTAATCGGCTGGCCCTTCGGCCGCCTTCCATATTCTACACCACCACATTCCTTCTCTAACTTTATCGGTATCCGTGCTGATGGCTTTAAATACCTCCCCTAGCCGAAATCCCCCTTAAAAACTTCTCCGATAGCTTCCCTGAGGGCTTCAGATAGCTCCATGCACCCGAAAAATCCTCAAAAACTCCTTAGATACGTTCTTGATGGCTTTAGAATACCCCCCCCCCCATAGCTGAAATCCCCATCAAAAAGCACTTAAATAGCTTCCGGAAGGCTTTAAATACCTCCCCTAGCCGAAATCCCAGTAAAAAACTACTCCGATAGCTTCCCTGAGGGCTTCCAGATACCCCCATAGTCGAAACCCCCTAAAAAATACCTTCGGGAAGGCTTAAAATACCTCCCCTAGCCGAAAATCCCCTTAAAAAACTACTCCGATAGCTTCCTGAGGCTTCAGATACCCCCATAGTCGAAACCCCCTTAAAAATACCTTCCGGAGGGCTTTAAATACCTGCCCTAGCCGAAATCCCCTTAAAAAACTACTTCGGTACCTTCCTGAGGGCTTCAGATGCCCCCATAGCCGAAAAGGATCCTTCAAGATTCCTTAGACACGTTCCTGATGGCTTCAGATACTCCCCATCGGGCTGAAATCCTTCCAAAACTACCCTAAATGCCTTCCCGATGGCTTCAGATACCCCCCATGGCTGAAATCCCTTCCTAAAACTACCAAAATACCTTCCGATGGCTTCCAGATACCTAATGGATGAAATCCCTTCAGCAAAAACACCAAAATACCTTCCCGATGGCTTCAGATACCCCCCCATGGCTGAAAACCCCTTCAAAAACTACCAAAATGCCTTCCCGATGAGCTTCAGATGCCCCCCACGGCTGGAAATCCCCTTCAAAAACTACCAAAATACCTTCCCGATGGCTTTCAGATACCCCCATGGCTGAAATCCCCTTCCACAAACTACCAAAATACCTGCCTGTGTGGCTGAGATACCCCCATAGCCGAAATCCCCTTCAAAAACTACTTAGATTCCATAGCGATACTTTAAATGATTTAAATAAAGAATTAAAATAATTAAAAAGTATTAAAAAGTATTAAAGTAACTCAAAAAAGGAAGGGCGCTTGGGGAAGAGGGGCGAAGAGAAAGGGGCGTGGCCTCCCCGGGAAGGGGCCCCCACTCGTTTTGTTAAGGCGCCACTTTCAAAGTGAATTCTTAATAATTTAAACAAAAACTTTTTTATAATGTTTGAGATCATTTAAGGGTTTCTGACCGCGGGCTCTATCCTAATCCAAGAGACCTAAGCTCTAGCTCCTTTCCCCTTCGAAATATATAGTTGGCTTCAGACAGACTGACTGACAGGACTGACTGACGGACACCACACCAAAATTATTATAGTTGATACGATCCCAAAGAGGGTCCCGCAAACTAGAAAAACAAAAAATAGAAAATCGTAGATTTCTTGATGCAAATGACTTCGTGATAGTAGTCTCCAGGAAATGTGTCCTGGGCCAGCAAATTTCTAATAATTTGTAACCGAACCTTTCTTCGACCAGACATCCTGCTGATCGATCCACTCCCAAATTCCGCCCTGCTCAGCTGAGCATAAGCTTCTGAATCCCTCGACTTTGCCCCCCCCATCACACGGAAATCACGATTCCCATCGGCCATGCGATGCTCCCGGGAAGCGTGCTGTTCCCGAGAAATGTCGAGTAGTGGCTACTCCCATGCGCTCTATCCTTCACAATCGAATGCCTATTCAGTTTCTCCCTCCACTTCCTCACCAATAAACATTTGTAGCCTCGGGCCGCCAGAGCCACCCGCCATATTCGGTTTCAACCCAAATAAAAAACCCAACCTCAGTACACCTTTTTTATTAGGTACCCCCCCCATCCACTTCAGCTTCTGCCAAAAATATCTATTGGCCCCTCCGGCGTTCCGGGCCATAGTTGACCACTGAAATATTCAAGAGAACGTCCCATTCTTTGGCGGTGTTCTGTCCTTTGAATTTTGGATATGCATCGCTATCTTGGAAAAATAGGTACGCAATTGATTTTTGGCAGCATTTATGTGATACTTGTGACGGTTGACCACTAGAAAACATGGCAAGTACCAGGAAATCTTACATTTTCCATAATTGAAGATGCGCGGGGGGGGAGTGGCTTTATTGAAGGCCGTCTAATCCTTATAAAACCAGCGGTGAAAATAGTCTGAGAATGTAGTGAACACATAATATTTTTCGTTACATGGGATTTGTCGCTGGTAAAAACCCTTCGGCATGCATTCACTTTCCTTAAAAACTTGTTTCTGGCTTTGAGATTTTTGCGAACTTGGCAGTCACCTCTTTTTGGAACCTAGGTGGCTGCGTTAAAAATCAACATATCTGCCGAAATTTTAGAAAAAGCATTACGAAAAATCTATTTTTTTAAAATAAACTGAATCCAGATCATTCGTACCTCAAATTTCTGAATTTCTTTTAACTCAGCATTCCTTCCATCGTTCGCAACCCAAAACGCATTACCCGCGCTCTCCTTTGTCCCCGCCTTTTCATATACTAGAGAATGACGCCAATTTCCCCTTTCCATCTGAGCCACGGCATCCCAAAAAACCCAAAAGCGCGACGTGTGGCCCAGCGATTCTTGGTGGCGTAGTATTCGGTTTGTGGCTTCAGGATTCGCATTCAAGACGGTGCGCCTCAATTGGGCCAATTAGGCGCGATGCCCGAGGCGTGCTCCCTTGAATTTTCCTTATCCGTCGGATGCCCTATTTCCTAAATACTTGATGGCGCGTTGCACCTCGACATCGACGAGTGGGACTCTGGGTGTACGGCTTTTCATGTTTTTTCATTATTTAAGGACTCCGTCGTGACTATGGACTAGGGTTTTGAAGACTGTTTCTATCCAATTTTTACCGAAACGCCAGAAGTCTTGCATTTTCGAGGCCATTATTGCGTTAACTATGTTTTAAAGTATTTTCTTTTTGTCAGTCTCAGATTCATTTAGCTAATTGATTTTTTAGCTTCATTTCTTCAGCTTGACGTCAATTATGATAGGGAACCAGCCTGTTTTATCGTACCTATGGCAATTTCCGAATAGCGTCCGGCTCTACATAAATTTAAAGTCCAGAAAATCCAAAAACCTTTAGTCCCTTTCAACACTATACCCCCCGCTAGTGAAGCAGCACCCCATTGAAGGCATCTTCCATCCAAATCTCACAAGATTCCACACAAAAATCCGGGTTTTTTTCTGATTCCCGATAATCCAAAAAGGCTTCCCTGATCCTAACGCTATCGATTCCCCCGTGGATCCTACCCTAAGCCCCCCCCCTGGAGCAGCTTTTCTTCCCCCCAGATGAACGGGAAGCCTGTCAGGGCGGATAATTATTGAGGCCGTCTCCATTGTTTTGTGGTGGCCGTAGTTCTTCCGTCTTTTCTGTTTTCACCTTCTCCGGTGCAAGAATCTCAAGTCAGCCCGGAGAAAGGAGTGGCAAAGGGGCGGTGTGCGATATAATCCCGTCGTGTCTCCCTATTGAATGCCAATCTGAGAGCCGTACAAATTTCATTACTTTCTCACCCCGCGGCTCTCCTCTTTTCCAACGTCCCCGTTGAGCCGCGACCCATTCAATTTTTGACTTTTCTCCGCGCCGTGCTGGCCCTAATGGATCTGGGCAGGTTTTGTTGAGTGGATAGTTGCTTTTTTGGAGCTGTGGTGTCTTGGATGGAGTTAATCTCAAAGAAATCGTACTGTAACTTTGGTATTTGCACTTTTTGCCCTCTACTACACTCTTCACCGCGAACATCTACTATTACGAAATTTCTAGCGCTAGGTAATCAAACACCAGTCCTCAAAAATTCCCCAGCCAGCCAAATCAATATTTTCCGATTTTCTTTTCGAGCTTACCAGTCGCTTTCCCATCGGCTACAATCCCAACATACCACTCATTCAAACACCTAGCCACACTCAGCCCGTCTACCTTATCCCAATTTCTATCTTATTTCTTCCTTACCTTTATCCTCTTCTCAATTCTCCTTAATCCGATGGTGTTATGACGGACATTGAAGGGACCTCACAGCTGGGCCACGACAACATAAGGGCCGCAGCACGGAGCTGATCCCGTTACGGGATCAATATTCCTCCTCATTACCGACCAGCTCGAGTCCGGCGGGCAGCCCGGGTTGGCCCACCACCATTGAGAGGCCGCCGATCTGAGGGAATCGGGGGGTTTGGATGGGCCCTGAGCCACATCTTGCCAGTACTCCGGAGGTTCACCGACACAACACAGACTCCGTGAACCGCTCGTGCAGAAACGCCGTGACAGCTCGTTTCCAGGAAGTGGGTGATGGAAAATTGAGGGTTGGAATTACTCGCGAGTGTTTTGAGGTGTTGCAAGTAGCTCGAACTATCATTCATTTTCAATAACATCGTTGCGCTTTTCGTGATCAAAAATATTTCTACAGCGTATGAATGACGTTTACGTTTTTGCACAGTGTCTCGTAAATTAAAGATATTAAGAAAACCCTGGGAGTTTGTAAGGAAGCTTTTCTAGCCCGCTCAAACAGTTAATTTTGGCAGCTCTTTGAGGTGTTAAAAATTTAGTATCATGACCCTAATCATTAATAAAAATTAATAAAAATAACCCACAACAACCTATCCGACTATCCCCAACCCTAAAATATCCACCGTTTAGGACGCCAAGTGTCGGCTGTTCGAAGAGGTAACCCACAATTTGAACAGTCGCACAACAACTAGGGGTCCACGGCACAAACAGTGTTTCTTATTTTTATTTTGAGGCTTTTGGTAAAGCTGGTTTACAAGTTGTTTGAAGGTACGTATAAAAAATGTTAATGCCGTTTTTTAGGTCAGCGCCGACTTCTTGAGGCTGAACGGTTCGCGGCAACAATTCCGGAACCTGCTGTCTGCACGAAAAAAGCTGGGGCAGATGCCACCAGCTTATACGAGAGTCGACTGTTCAAGGGATTCGTTAGATAGTCAACGTGAGTATTTTAAGTAGAAAATTTGCCAGTAAACAGTCACAAAACAATAGGGACTTAATGAAGGTATCTAGGTAGCTATCAATTATACAGTTCAGCAGAACCCGGACACAATTTAAAACCTGAGTAAACCATTATCAAATGAATAAAGGAAAGATATTAAATCATGGTTTAGGACGATCCGAACAAACTGCTTTTTCCATAAACCCCTTTACAAATTAGCCTTATCATCACTCAAAACCACACCCCTCATTAACATAACCAAAACAATCCGTCCATCCATCCTCCCCGTCCGATATTCCCTACCCTAAATTACACCTCCTCTCTCATCTTTGACCCAGCCAGCCAGCACTTTTTCGGCCTGCTTCCCTCTCAGGAAAAGCCTAGAGGGTCGTATCTCTTTCTAGACAAAAATCTCATGTTACAACGACTTTTCCCCTCCAGAGCCCCCTACCGCGCGTGAGCTTCAGCTTCTACTAGGTGCTCGCACCCACTAAGTTCTTCATCCTAAACTAGACCAAAGGCTAGTGGCCTCACAAAAACTTGCAAGTATGCAATGAGTCCAGCTAGGGCCTAGTGTAGCTTGCTCACATTGGCTTTACGCCAATGGGCCCCAAATTTGCCAATTAGAGGCCGAAGGGTCCAAGGCATTTGCCTTCAACACTCAGCGCTTTTTCGCTCTCTTTTTTATCTATCATCCACTTTTCTAATCTCATCTTAAATTATACTTCTTTGATTCGTGCCGTTCTCAAATCGATACCAAAACCCCGCTGAATCAGTGAGAACATGTCGAATTTCGCCACAACTCAATTTGTGAATTCACAACGGATCCACTCTATCCCTGGAACGGTTTTTTGAGAGCTGAATTGTTTTTGCTCTCATTTGGCTAAAAAGCTACTTGGTCTGACGATAGCTAGAATACCGTATGCCCTTGGATGCCCCTGCGCGGTTTGGAGCGGCTGTTCCGCTCCGGTGACTTTTTGCTGATCGACCAGGAAGACACCGGTAAATATAAAACACAAAAATCCTAAAAACATAGAAGTAAAAATAGAACCTTGATCCATGTTGTGGTTGTAGAAGAATAATTCTGGTTTAGCCCTCCCGCCCACCCCACCATGGCCCCGTCATCACCGTCGAAGATACCGGCTCCCAGCTCAAAATCAACAGAGGCAAGACTTCCATCACGTCGTCGATTCTTGACTCGACCAAGTCCTCATTTGATAAAGGTATCTGATAATTTTAGATTCAAGAAAGATAAGATTTTCCAGGGAACATCACCTTTGTCGAGACCGGCAACGGTTCGGCTCAGCATAGCAGTAATCACTCGAATTTTAATCTACGCGAAATAACAGTAGGTAGGTAGTATATTTACCTTGTGGATCTTGAATCTCAAGCCTACCTTCATATGTTGTTTTAGATACGGTGTGCCGGTAAATAGCAGTGCCGTTAAACTGATCTATCGAGTAGGGGCAGAACGGTAAGGTTTTCAAAACTGTTGCTAATATTTCTTAAGGCTTAATAACCGAGTCCGTATCGTTGATCGTGCTTTATTCTTGGCCATGATTGGCGTGGTACTGATGATCGCGGATTCTAAAAGTGACTGGGCAACGATTATTCAATTTAACGAAGGTATGAAAAATCCCCGAGGCAATGGGTAAAATATTTCTAGGACTCCCTTCCTTCCCTGATCTGTCGCGGCTTTGTTGTGATGAGTACGATCGCCTTGCTCTATCAAATTGTGTTATATCATATTAATGAAATTGTGGTAGGTTAAAATATCAGATACGTTTCATTTTTCTATTAGTTGGATCTGGTGGACTGTGGGGCTGATGATTGGCGGGTGGTGATGACGACATGGCGGATTATGCAATTTATTTTGGAATTTACTGTATGCGCAATATGTCCAATACCAGGTTTTCCTATTTTAAAATGTATTGTAGTATTTTTTAGGAACCGGTGAAATGTCGTGGGCTTATATTGAGACGAGGACACCTGTGCTTTATTCGAATAATAATACTCAGGTAAATAATATTGAAAGTAGTATATATTCTTTTTAAAGCGAAAACAAGCGGGATAGCTTTTCAATGAGAGACGTACCAGTTGATGTTCTACTTTCGTTACTGATGCTTTTCCGTTTTTACCTGGTCGCCCGTTTTATGGTGCTTCATAGCAAGCAATTCCAGGTTCGTGTATTCCGTCGCGCCATCGTAAATTATCTGCTTTAGGATGCCTCCACTCGTACGCTGGCAGCCTTGAACCGGATCCAAGTCAACTTTTCGTTCGTCATGAAAACATTACTCGACCAGCAGCCGATATATTTCCCCACCGGCTTCACCCTGGTCTTTTGGATTTTGACCTCTTGGACTTTTGTGCAATGCGAGAGGTATGTTTTACTCTTATTTCAGGGGCTACATTTTCACGTTGACGGTGTCACGGCTTGAGATAGAAAATACCTTATATTGTGCTGAATTATCTGCTATTTTCGAACCTCTTTTAGAATGTGCAAAATCTTGATTTTTCCGGAAGTTGCTTCACATGCATAATGCGTCACAAAACTTTTGTTTTCTCCCTTACTAGCTTGACGGAATTTCATATGTTAACCTTTCCCGCAATTTTTTGCTTGAAACGCGGCGTAACTTCTGAAATAAGGGTTCTTCTCCAAATTCTAAATACAGCTTCGGAACCAGCAACAAATTCTGCACAAGATAAGTATGGTCTTGTCAAAATGCCCAACATGAAGATGCTTGACAAGACACTTTCATTTGGATATAAACTCCAGATATGGTGACCGCTCGGACAAAGATGCTCCATCGATCATGTACTCGAATGCTCTTTGGTTCATTGGTACGTTGCCAATGCTTTCAGCCTAAAAGTCGACCCAGCTTCGGGGTCACGAGTGCATAGTGCGCGGGGGAAATTTGATCGCGTTGCTCGCGACGGCTGCTGGTCACGGCTTCTGGCAAAAAGAAACTTTGTGTTGCAGCGATCACGTTCATGCTCAATGGGTATGGAGATATTGCGCCGCAGACGCACGCTGGAAGGATTATTGCAATATTTGTTGGCGTTGTGGTGAGGCGATATTGGTTTTTGGGTAGTTTGGAGCATTAATGATGCATTTTAACATTATAGCATTTTTTAGCAAAGCGTTAAGTAGCAATACCACGCTAATGTAATATTATGTGGAAAATTATTGAGCAGAAATTTCGGTGACCAAAAATTCTTTGGACCAAAATTCATTTTACCGAAAAACTCCAAAAACTGGACCTCGAAAAGGCCTCTAAAACCTCAGAAATTCTTCGCTATAACGAAAATTACGGGTTTTGAATTTTAGCCTTAGTGAATTCGTGGTATAATGGATGTCCATTAATGAGGGTGCCGCTTTACCCCTCAAAGCTAAACCCTCGGATTTTCAGGGAGCAATCATCTCATCGATCCTAATCGCCGTCATATCCCGGAACATCCTTCTCTCCCAGGGCCAACGCAACGTCAACAATTTCATGAACGACTCGAAATTGACGCGTGAACACAAGAATGCTGCAGCCAGGGTACGGTTTTATAACTTCGTTAAAACCTTCACTTTCTAGGTGCTCCAACACACTTGGCACATCCATAAATGCCTTCAATCGAGCGAACCAAGCGCTGATCGGCAGTTGCGATTTTATCAACGGAGATTTTTGCATGCCATTCACAGGTCAGAGGTTATCAGTGTTACACATTAATCAAAATTAGATACATATATAGATGACTATTGGTGTAAAATATTAATAAGAAAATAATAATAAAATAGTAAAGTTAATTAGTAAATGTTCTTCGATATCTAACAACAATACTCGATCAAAAATCACCTCTCCAGATTCCGCTCCATCAAAAATGAGATCCGCGTCTTCGGTGAGAATAACTCGGCGAACACTCAGCAAGTGACAAGGGTAACCGAATTTCCTATATATTTTTGTTATTAATCAAATTAATCAGCTGGTGGCGGAGATGCACAGCTCGATGCAGAAGCTGCTCTCAGCCCATGAGGAGATGCGGGCACAAATCGAGGTCCTGCAACGCGCCGTCCGCAACCACTATGCGCATCATGGAATTGTTCATCACGGTATGGTAATTAATATAATGGAATTTAAAATTGCACTTCAAATGTCATGACTTTCGGAGATATTTCAAACCCTGCAAGCTACTGTCTCCATATTTCGAAAAATCCAATCAACTTTTTGATATTCAATGTCACCCCCTAATTTCCCGGTATCTTACAATTCGTTAAAGGTCTGTCAAATGGTAGAACAAACCTCTGGTAAGTCCCCCACCTTGTCGCGTATTTTACAATTTTGCGCTTTTAACACACTTTATTTTGCCTTCCGGCCACTGGCTTTTGCTGCAAAATCCCGCTTTTCAGACACAGGCACTTCCGCAAAAAATGTGCATAGGAAACATGCGTTGCGGAAAAAATTTAGCATTTGTGTTGGGATTGGCTTATTCTTGACTTTTCTTTGAGGCTAGAACAAAGGGGGTTTGCTGAAAATTGTTCCCTTCCGTCGGCTCTGAGGCTGGCATTCTATGGGTGCGTTATTATTGAGCTTGAACTTTAATGATGGGTTGAAACCACAAAATGAGAGGTAGAGTGGATTTAGAGGGGCTTGAAATATAGTCCCGGCCCAGCTTGCATTAAACATTATACAAAGCGCGCAGTAACCTACAGATCTAAACAAGAAATAATTAGGTTATTTTTTTAATATTTGTATTTATTGTTGTAAGAATCTTTAAAAGCGTAAAGGCTTCACTTCCGCTCCCACCTTCGACAGTCATTTTATTATTTTGGCTGTCTTTCCAAGTGTGCTTCGCTTTCAGTGTCGTGTACTTCGAAGAAAACCCTGGGGAGTCTATGGAGACCACCGAACAACATTATTCACAACACCCGTAAGTCTGTCCATTTCAAAGCACAGCTTTCAATGTATATTTTTATAAAAAAATAAGACAAAACCATTAATGAAATTTGCTTTGCAGGGCCTCCAGTGGAGGGAAGCCCCGGCCGTTCGGATAGTTATTCTCGTCGCGCTCGCCGAGCATTCACCATTGACTCGCATTAAACCCATTATTAATAACCTCACTCTTTCATATTCCATTCGTCGCTTCCAACCCCCCTAGCATCCCTTCTCTATCTCTTATACTCTCTCCCTTCTCTCCAACAAACATTGTGATATCGTGAAAGAGGCTGAAGATCTCTGTTCCAATCTGTAGTGTATATCGGGTATAAGATGGAATAAAGAGTTTATCATGGAAAACAAGAGGATACCCGTAGCTGGACACTAACAAATGGTTGAAAGTATAAATTAAAACATTCCCGGTGGTAGTGCGCCTACAAATTTGTAGTCGATGTATAAACATGAGTTGACTATGGAGACGGTACAGCCTTCGTTCTTTGCTTTTCGGATGATTCTTAAAGAGATACTTGCAGATATTGATATCAAGAGATTTAACCGTATTTTCTTTGGTTCTAAAAACGCCTGCTTACTGTACTCTATCGATTGCTATTTTTAGGCTATCGAAAACATCGAAAATCGTTTAGAAATAAAACAGACAAATAATATATAAATTTTCGTTTTGAAATGCGTTCTATTAATTTCCTTAGTATATTTTTCAAGCCCTGTCGGCTAAAATTCGTAAAATTGGTGGCGTCTTCCGCAACCTTAAAATCGTATCAACGATACGCTCCTTAATCTTCAAAAAGCGCACTTATCTGAACCAAAAATATCTAGCTATACGACGGTATTTTATCATCATGATGCCAAACGTCACCTATTTTTAGAACCTCTAGTTTCTACCCCCCGAGCATATTCTGCGTTCCCCATTTCCAAATCAACTTACTTTTGCGCCATATCGTATTCTAATTGGTCGTTGAATGGGCTGCCCAACGAAATGAATGCCGCAGCCTTATTTGCCTAAAATGGGATTGGGTTTTTGGTTTTCTAATATATAATGGTACTACCTGGAGCATAGCCACCGCCAAATGGGCATTCGTTATGTTCTTGCCGAGTACCACGCTTTCTTTATGAAGTAGGGGCGTTTCATTGAATTTGCAGGTCGGGATAGATTTCTAAGATTGGTAATGTCGGCTTTACAACGATTTAAGTTGATTTGTATAAATTTAACTAAAAATGTCAGGTTAAATGTTTTAATGTCACCTCCCGATAGTTTGTTACACCTTAAATAAAAACCAAAGAGATCATTTGGCTTACGGCGCGCTAATTGTATATCCGCTCCAAGAAATTACACCTAACACCCAATAAAAATTCTCGATCTTCAACCCCCATTCACTCGCCACAAAAATAATTAACCCACCGCTCACTGCTTCGTTTTTCACTAATTGCGTCGAATATTCCTCTGACGAGAATATACAGCCCATAAACGCTGCCTGCAAAATAGAAGCTATTCAAAACCAATGTCAGCAAGGAGTTCCTTGGCCCGTGAAGCTGGGCAAGGGCCAAAAAGATTGCCCAAAATTGGATGCAAATTGGGGCAAATGCGGCAGATGCGAACAGAAAAGCGAAGAGTTCTTGCTGCCCATCCGGAAAACAGCGTTAGATTTAGGAGAAAACGCGAAAATAGGCAATGGGTTGGCGCGAAAGGCTGCTTCTTCCGTTTTGGCCGGCAAGAAAAAGCAGGTGCGAAATGAGGAAAACGGGTGGTTGAGTAAATTTAGGGTGCAGTTGGGTGGAAGGGAAGGGGTTGGGGGTTATTAAAAACGGGTCGATCTGGGTTATTAGTTTAGCAGCTGGTATGTCTGGGGTCAGCATGTTCCATGCGACGCCGCGTTTTCGGTGCTATTTTAGTGCGCACGGAGTGCTAGACAATTTTCGCATTGAAAAAGCATCCTAAAATCCATAAAGGTGGTTAGGATGTTTTCAATAGCTCGGAATTCAGAACTCAAAAGTTCCGGTTGAAACTGAAACCCCACTCCCTCATCAGGTGCAAGCAACCACTCTACCACGTGCACATCCGGGTTATGCAAAGTGACCCATTCTCAAGGAGTTCACCGCCACTTCCAAGTACCCCCAAAACCCAAAAGCCCTCAGGTCAAAATGACCCCTGCCACCACAACATACTGACCCGGAACCATGGTTGTCATGGTCTATTTTCTCAAATCTCAACCCTCGCCCCCCTTCAAATGCGATTACCACAAAAAGCGAGGACATGCCTAACTGGCTTAGCTAGTGACTCCGCATGATGTCGACCCGGAGAGAAACCCGAAAAAATGCAGCAGAAATCATTAAAAGGATTTGTCGGGGTGGTAATCGGTAATACGGGGTCTCGGGGATTTGGAGATCGAAGAGACAGCCACGACAAAAGGACAGAAATGGAAAAGACATGGTGAAGATCGATGAAAGTTTGTGAGGCGGCTACTCCATTCCGGGTGGCCTATAGGGGGGGTAATGGAGCCCGGTTTCCGATTCCTGGATGGGGGTGGTTGGGGCCGAGGCACAGCCTTATTTTTTATACATATCCCTTATTTTTGTGGCGAATTGGAAAGCAGTGGGATGGGGAGGGCAGGAGGAAGAGGAAAGGGAATGGAACTCTTGTTATACCGGTCAACAACCAAGTAAAAAGCAAGCTTTTGTAGGGAGTAATAGGATCTGTTGTTTTCCAAAACTGCGAAGTCACGGATATTTACGAAATTCGGCTATAAAATCGTGTTGTACATGAAAAAGAACGTCAACATTTCTGAATTTACCCGAAATGGAAATCCCCATTTTTCTTAAAAAAGGGTAAAAATAGGATTGCGGGGCGTCTACCGCTAAAAAGCTGCGTGTTGATAAAAATGGCATACATGGTTATTTGGGAATTATAAAAAAGCGCCTAATATATTTTTGATGTTTGATCCAACAGCTGTTTGAAATGCTAAAAGAAAAATCATTTAAATCAAACTAAAAAGGCCGAAACCACTAAGAATCTACTTCTCTCGCACGTATAATCATTTTTTCTTAATGAGTAAGAATTTTTAGCTACATTTTTCGCTGCAGAAAATCATACCCGGACTACATTTTCTATGTTTTATTGTATGGCATTATCAAAATTATACAGTAACTGAAATAATTGGAATACTGAATACCCCTCTCCCCTGAAATATAATCCGCTCCATAAACACTGACAGAAAACAACCATTACTGAACGCCTTCCGTGTCTAAAATATCCATACAGATCAAAGAACGAATTCTTTTTGACCAAAAGTCCAGGAAAACATTCCATAATTGGGGGTAGGTTCTGCCAAAAGCGTTCCCCTCCAAGGCGTCCTATCAGCCAAATTTGCAGAGCCAGCGAGCACTCCCCCAGTGAAGGGTTTATTCAACAAGTCTCCGCAACCCCGTGAGTGTCCCCTAATTACTAATTCTTTAGAGGAGTTTCCGCTTTTGCCCCAGAAATAAGCCGAGGCATAGTGAGGGAGAGCGGGGGAGGTGGAAAAGGAGGTCCAGTTCGAGCAACGAGGGGCGTGAAGTGGAAAATCGGCCAAAGAAATGTGAATTCTTGGAGCGGGGTGGTGGCGTCGAGAACACAAGAAGACGACGGCGGGCTAGTGTTTTCTTGTTGCGGGTGCATTAAGGGATGGTTGGGGAACATTGGTCACTTAAGGGCTTATTGGACGAAGAGACACTAAAAACACCACTGATCGTTTACACATACTGGTGTCTTAAGTGGCGAACGGAGTGCCTGGGACTCCAGAGGAGTTTGCAGTAGTATTCTTTGCAGATTTTTCATCTAAAGCAAGACCGTTTTTCGATGGTACGGCCCAAATATCTATCGCACAAAATAAAAAAGCATAGGCGAAATTGCTAGGTTTTGGTCGGTTTGATAATTGAGGCGTTTTAAACTGCTTAAAACGGCTTAATTGTTTGAATAAAAATGGTGGTATTTTAAATAAATCTGGTGTTAACATTTGTTAAATATGCTTTGTTAAACAACCTGGGCCGCCATATTAAAAGATTCATTTCACATTTCCAAAAGTCACAGATTGCATCACAGCACCAGGAAAATCCATTGCAGCAAAAATATCAAGACAAGCAAAAGTATTTGAGCAACAACAGGATGGGTTCTCAACATGCATTACTGATTATCGGCACGTCGTTGCTGAGCCTGGCTGCGCCAATATTCAGCCATCCACCAAGCATAGAGAAGCTGCAGCAGGAATTGATTCGGGTCGTGACTCGAGGTGCCTAAATCCCATGAAAAAGGGTTAAAATCAAGAATTACTTGGCGCATCGTAGTACGCGTCAAGGGCCTCGCGAAACCTCTCTAGCTCTTCCGGGGTCAAATCCGGGTTATTCCCATTATCATCCATTCTAAAGAACTTAGCGGCGGCAGCGAAATTTTTAACTATAAAATCAATGGCTGAAAGCCATTCACAATAAAGACTAATAATTCACAACATTTATTACGATAGCTGCAACAAGGAGTTTGAAAGCAAACTCAGATTTCTATTTCTCCTGATGGCGTGCCTCATTCATGCTCAATTCAAGAAGCGCAAACATCTGGTCAATCGGATTGATTCTCGAGGAAACTAAACCAGCTTGATTTAGAAATAGGTAGTAGATAGATAGTAGAGAGTAGATAATACTAGATATACTGACCTGCAGCGCGGTAATAGGCGCCCATATGGTGAAGAGCTTCCGAATGAAGTCGTCTCAGCTCTTGTTCACGAGCCTTAAAAATAATGATAACAGATACTACAGTCCGCGTCATAATGATAGGTTCACCCCATTTTAGGACAGCTTGTTAATCTAGAATAAGTTTCGGATAAAACGGGCGTTGTAATCAGTTAGGGCACAGCTCAAAACCTTCCAGGCCAGTATCCATTTGGTTAGAAAAGGCTTCTAGATTTCGAAGGAATTTTATCTCAAAAAAAGGCTTGCGTCATAAAGATAGGTTCACCCCGAATTTTTCCGCAAAAATCATACATTCGGATTTGACTTGTATTTTTAATTAAGTAGCATTGAAGTATACATGAGTTTCCTATACTTGGTTTGACTCGAAAGGTTTCAGGGAATTTTTTGCAAAAGTCGATTTTAACAAAGAAATTACTATTTTTGTGGCAATACGGGCTGGATTTAACCGGAAGCGCAAGTTCCTTCTATGGACTTGAAAGAGCAGCTCAAGACAAGCATTTTGGTATATAACAACGTCTTTGGATTCGGCGATATTGGGGTGACACAGACGAAGAAAGTTGGGATGGACTGCGCAAGTAAGGATTGGCGGCCATTTAGTATGGGACCCAGTAGGTTCGATGTTTCTAGACCTGTATCTTCGTGAACACCTTAGTTCTTATAGCCGTTTATATACCAAAATGCTCGTCATTAAGTGCACTTTCCGAGATCGCCTACATACTAAAAATTGAAAACGAGTATCGCCGGATAATCCAAAAAAAAGTGTGCTTTCTTTGTTAAAATCGACTTTTGCAAAAAATTCCCTGAAACCTTTCGAGTCAAACCAAGTATAGGAAACTCATGTATACTTCAATGCTACTTAATTAAAAATACAAGTAAAATCCGAATGTATGATTTTTGCGGAAAAATTCGGGGTGAACCTATCTTTATGACGCAAGCCTTTTTTTGAGATAAAATTCCTTCGAAATCTAGAAGCCTTTTCTAACCAAATGGTTACTGGCCTGGAAGGTTTTGAGCTGTGCCCTAATTGATTACAACGCCCGTTTTATCCGAAACTTATTCTAGATTAACAAGCTGTCCTAAAATGGGGTGAACCTATCATTATGACGCGGACTGTATAACAAATAAGCTTACTTGTTCCGCCTCCTGCCTACGCTGAGCTGCTGCCATTTGGAGCTAAATTAAAAAAAATGGTTTTTTGTGAAAGTTTAGTTACCTTAAGCTGTGCAGTAAGTTGTTCTTGTATCTTACGAAGATCGTTTTTCTAGAAAAAGCTTGTTACATTGGTGTTAGTTTGCTTGTATGCCTTAAGGAGCAAGGAATCCAGCGCTTCGCTGGCCATCTTTTGGATAGGGATCTTGTTGAGGAGCTCGACAGCATTCGGAATGGTAATCGTGGGAGTCACAGGAACATGGCTTCCGGGCCGGCGGACCAGCATTACCTAGATAGCTTCCAGTGTTTTTGGTATTTTAAGCGGTCCTGGTTCCATGAAAAAGTAAGTAATGAAGTGAACAAGTAACTTTTTTTAATCACATCCTAGTCTCTTTCTCACCTCCAACATATCTTTCTCCAGTTTCGACAAAGCATTATAGTTCACGATTTCGTGCGCCTGCTGGGAAGCTATAAACAACCGTCAACTATATGTTTTTCTACAACCTGTAAATTTCGGAAGGTGTTCCATATACGGGGCCCTGTCATTTGTAGGGTGTCGTGGGCGCTCCAAGTAATCCTTCACTCCGTTCTTAAAAGATGTTTTTTCGTTTTATTCTAAGGAATTTCTATGATTTTTTTTGTAAGCGATTACACCCACTTCGAGGATTACTTAAAAATTAATAAACTATATTTAAAAAATTACCGGACTATCCCAATTATAGACGTAGGCGGTATTAGTTCGGCTAGTCACCTTAGGCTAAAAAGACATCATCGGAAATGGAACAAAATTCGCAATAAAATGCAGCTAAAAGTCCTTAATCAAATCCTTACCGGCTGCTTTCTCCAAGTCCTGGGTTTCCGGTCCGGACCCGGGGCCTCGTTTCCTTCCTGGTCCATCCCTTTAAAGTCGCTTTTAAATAAAAGTTTGGTTGAAAGCGAAACATCAATACGCATTTAAAAAATCATTAAAAATTATTATCCAGATGGTTAAGCGCCGGGGCTTCTTGTGGGTGAATGACTAATGCGGGATGGACTTGTTTTTCTCCAATCTGGGTGCCATTGCAATCGATGAGCGGATGATATACACAGATGACATGTGTTTCTTGCTGAGGTTGAGAATTTAATGGGGGAGCTGTGTTTGGGGATTACCGGGAAATTTAACGTTGAATATGAAGATTGGCATGCATTATGGGTTTTCCGGTGTTGTAAGGAGTATCCGAAAAAGCATAAATTGCAGGCAAGTGTTAACGCTGAGCGTAATGTTGGTTTCCTTTAACTCCTTTTTTACTGAAATTCACAACTTTAATACTGTCGCAGCGACCTTTTTCAGGAAATAAAGTTCAGATCAAACAGGAATCGAGAGTAAAGCACTAATTTGATTATGCCAAATCTATTTTTATTCCCTATGCAAAAATTCCTTTTATTTTCCGGATTCCTCGTTTAATAGATCGTCAGAGCGTTCAAAAATATCGGGTAAATCGGCAAATATCGATAAATAATATTATAAGGCCCGATTTAATGGGAAAACTGTTTAGAGAACACACCACGCGCTGAATTCTTTCAAAATACTATTAGTGCTACGTAAACTGAAAATACATACGTAGACAATCTCAAAAAATGAGCAATCCTAATATTATTGGGATAAAACTGAATTTTTCCAGCTTTGAATTGATGGCGGAGAGCAGACAGTCAGCAGGATCGAAATGAAGATTTTCGATAGCGATTGAGCACTGGGTATCGCTGCCCGACCCCCCGGCTGATTCAGTGGCCAAAGCCCCGCTCGACCGTGGGAATACCAAAACAAAACCGTCGCCCACAATGGCAATTCAACCCCCTAACACCCTCAACTGCCCCTTCACAGCTGCATGTCCCAAAAACCCCTCACTATCAGATGGAAAGTACAACTTTATTCGAAGCAAGCCACGACAAGATGCATTTTGCGGTATTCGTTGTAAGCGGTGGCCAGCCCGATCCGTTCGGCTTCGAGGGTGTGATTCGGGTTTCCCGACCGATCGGCTTCTGAAAAAAGCATAGACTTGGAATCGATTCTCACCGGATATCCAAGCAAAAGCAATGTCAGCTGAAGGATCGGCCCCCATCCAAACGGACATACACGTGCCGCGTTGAGTACTAAAACCAAGTCATCAAGCACGAATTACAGGGTGTCCCAAAAAAAACGACCCACCTGGCATTTCGCTGTATTACATCCAATCGGCCCCAAATTTGGACCAGAGGTGTATCAGACCCTAAATAACTACAATCCTGAGTTACAGTCCCGTAGCTACAGTAGTTCTCGAGTTATAACAAAAATACTGTTTTTCCCGCGATTCTGAACAGTTTTTTCGGCTATCTTTTTGGACTTTGCATCGATTTGCATCGAGTTCCGGCTGTGAATCCCTAATTTCGCTCAAGAACTTGGATAATTTTGCGTTGTAAAAATCGCTTAAGTCGAAGCTTATTTAATTAATTTTACTCTGGAAAAATTTCTTAAGGTAAGGAAGGCCTGCCGGATCATTTTCACTTAATGTTTAGGGGGCCTAATTCCACGAAAACCCTGTGAAAAATGGAAAATAAAGTTTGTTTTTGCCATAACTCGAGAACTATTATAGCTACAGGGCTAAAAGATAGGATTGTTGTTATTTAGGGTCTGATACACCTCTGGTCCAAATTTGGGGCCGATTGGCTGTAACACGGCGAGATGCCAGATGGGTCGTTTTTTTGGGACACCCTGTACATACCAAAAGTCATCCTCTGCAGCTAGAAAATCCGCCCAGGCCTCGGCGTCCGCAATCAGATTTCTGTCGGAGTACAAGGGCATTATTCGATTTTCTCTAAAAATCATGGTTACTACAGTAGCATCTCGGACCTTCGGATGTGATTGATACGATCCAGGAGATGTTGGAGGGACACAAAATCGTAGTAAACAGTCTTGTACGCTTTTTTCAGGCCGCAGTTCTCGATAGCATGCCCTTCTTCACGAATCGGGATTGCACAACGGGGGCATACTTGCACTGTAATTTGCATTAAACTGTAAGGTCCTCAACTAATTACGATTCGGCGGTTCCGGACGATCCGGGCGGTAGGACCAACTTTTAGCGGCGTAGCCGTTTCCGGATTCAGAAACTGGGCAGGCATAAAATTTATCGTAGTCAGCAACTTGGACGGACTCCTAAATAATTGTTAAAAAATCGAACTATGGTTTTAGGTTCGCTAAAATTTTGACCCCACCTGACTCGATACCGAGATCAAATACCCATCAGCCGTCCGCCGCTCCACTTGTTTCCAAACCACTTTTTCGAGTGGTTTCGGTTTGTAACGGTAGACAACTTGATTATGGCGCATGGAGAAGTATTGGGATGGGGGTTGAGCGTGAGGTCGTGACTGCGATCCGAGAGTCAAGCCCCAACTTTACGACGTCCCATCCCTTTCACTTGGCCACAATGGGTGATCGACGAAGAAAACGGCTTTGCAAATAGAACAACCTTTCCTTTTTGAGGGATCAATGTGGAATGCTGGTTTTTGGGTGAGTTTGTTACAAAATGGGAAGCTGGCGAGTAAGGACCGTAAAGTCACTCTTCTCCTTGTAAAATCATTTTGGAAAAGGTGAAAAATTACGTAACTCGGCCCTCTTTAATATCTTTTTCCCTATTGTAAAATCATTTATAAAGTCTCCTTACCCACCTTTGGGCTTTTGGTAGCGGCGACCCCTAAAATATGCCCCAGCCGACGTACTCCCGAATCGATTCTTTAGCCCGCGTAATGAGCCCCCGGGCAAGGAAGCTTTTGGGCACCCGGCTGGGTTTCTACAGCCCTAAATATCTTAAATCCATTTTAAATGTTACAAAATAGCTGGGTTTGATGATAAACAAATGAAGCATCCATTTTCGAATTTTAGATGGCTACTGCCGCCGAACAACGAGATTCCAGCCCAGATGAGGCTGGCGGCGGATCGGAAATGGCGGCAGGTTGGGTTGATTCACGTTAAAGTATATAAAAGTTTCAATTTTCAGGAATCATGTCGGTGGTCCAGCCAAGTGTTGAAGCGCTAGATCGCCAGATTGTAAATACCAAACGGGCACAGGTTGGCATAGAAAGCTCACACACCATTTTCAATTTCAGGCCCATCTCAACGAGCAAATCGAGTTGGTATCTGAGGTTTTGCATGGGATCGGTGATGATTCTGAATATGATCTACTTGAATACGTCAATAAAGTAGAGGAATCTAAAAAGTGGGTTTATGCATTTAGTTATGAATAATTAATTAATTGTTAAGAAGAATTAACCGTTCTGGAGCTGTTTTGGAGAAAATCCACGATCGCCTTTCTCAACTTCAACGTGATATCGCTAGGCAAATCCACAAAGAAAAAACAGATATGCATGCCCCAGCGCCTGCCCCACCTAAACGGTGAACTTGGCCCAAAACACTTTTTAATGGCATTATGTAGCTCTGATCTATATATATTTTTACCAGATCTTTGTCATTTTGCTTTTTTGTATTTTTTTTTGGTGCATAGCGTAACCCAATCCATGCCACGTGACTGATCTCAAACTTCAACCCAAAACTCGGTCAAATTCATATGCATAATATTCGGATAAAATTATTTCACATGACTGATATAGTTCGGCACCAAACAACACACCAAATGTGTACATTTCAATTGTAGAAACCCATAGAGAGGAGAGGAATGAAGAAGGAAGTGAAAAAAGTGAGGATCGGGGAAGACCGTGTCATATCATCATAACTCCGAAGTTCAGGGCCATCGTGCGCATATTCGGATGGTATTCGAGCCAGGCCGACCTAAAAAAAGCGATAATCAATGCTAAAAAATTCATTTAGACCTCTAATCTAGCCGAACGCTTCTCTTTTGTCAATGAAACTTTTCGGGTAACTGGTATATATTCAGGGTGATCGAACGTGACCTGAAAAAAATGTATGGACTTTATTTTTGGAACCCACCTCATAGTCTCCAATATTAGCAAGTCTCCAGAATTCTCCGCCCTCATAAGATGTAATAATTTTGCTACGGAAGTCGATCGATACGGTAGCATTTGGGATGCCTTGTCCAGTTTCCATATCGTAAATGAAACCCGAGATGGCACTAGAAAAGATTCGCAGGCTTAACTACATCCATTTTTGTTGCTTACTTGTGCACTAATGAGATATAGTGAAGCATGGCGTAATTATTTTCCTTCCACAACCATCTCATCTCCTCTTTTTTCGGGAATTTCGCACAGTTCGTCTCGACGGTTACTTCAAAGCAATTCGTGTGGACGTAATTCCAATCCTAAACAACACAAAAATTGTCGGACCTGCTTAAGAGGATACCTGCATTCCACCAGATACAATATACCATTCCGCTCCATTTACAATACCGTACTTTGGGTCACCAGGTGAATTTAATTCCTCATCGATGCATCGTGGGCCCTAAACCGGCCGTGTAAATTATTAATTATGTATCTTTGTAAACCGAAATGGTCGTTTTTAAGCCCCCGCGTACCTGTTTCCACATACGATCATGCGCCTTGGCGTACGAATATGCCAGCCGTACGAATAACGCATTATCCGGCGACGGTGTATATTTACTATCTTTCACCCTGGTCGGAGCATCATCAAATGGATAATTTACGAGCATAGAACCTAGATAACATATTTTTAACTCCAGATTCCTGACCTCCGTGTAAATTCGCTGATAACACAAATGGCAAGCTTTTCGACCAACTCATCATGGCCAATGTCTCGGGCTCTGGGTTTTGAGAAGGGAAATAATTGGGGAACCTTAAAAAAACTTCTAAATAATATTTTTCGGTCGACCTCGTCGGGAAATTCCTATTTAAATCCTTGCGATTGGCATTTTCTCGTCCTCTTTTGCCAGTATCCGCCCCTTCAACCGATTCCTCATATCCATCTGGGTTCATTGATGGCATCAAATGGATTCTAAAATCAGTAAAACTATATAAAAAGTCGGAATACGTACCGAGTGGTATCCACTAAATTTCGGATCCAAACATTACTCTGATATTCATTAAGTAATAGCCAAGCCAAATAAACGAGGAAATCCCGTCCAGCCACCTTAAGCCAATCATAGTACTAAAAATATAAATACCTCATTGCCATGCATATTCGCAACATATTTAAATTCCGGCAAGCCAAAGGCATGCCGATTCGGGCTTTTCGATATGCAGAACACCCACAGCTCCCTTCCCTCGACCGAACGGCCCGCGCTGTACAAATGCGTTAGATTCGGGAATTGCTTATTCAAGCCCTAAATCCAAAACCCATCATAAACTGAGTTTTCCATACTTTTAGATATTGCGTCAATTCATCATAATTCCAGTGTCGATAATCTGGAATTTCCTTCAGGGGCCCGATTATGCGATGCAGTTCTTCAGAGGAATGCACATCTTCTTGGTTCATAAAAATTTGCACAAGTTCCTGAACCAAAAAAAATTAGATTATGATTCGGAATTACCTGCTCGGTTTTAATTGCTTCAGACGCAGTAACCAGCAAGGTGCGAAATGCCAGCAGGGCAAGCGTTGAGCGCAATATCCGTTCCATCACAGAATACTGTAGCTTTTATCAAGGTAACAGTAGCTTATTTTTCGAGACTTCAGCTCATACTCCTGAAAAAAGTTGCTATTGAGGCTACAAGGATCGGAATTATTGACATAAATTGTAGCGAGTCAGGCGTACGAAACTGATATGTGCGTGTTTTGGGCAATTTTGGGGGATGGCCGATGGAAGGAGGAGGAGGAGAAGGAGTGTCTGAATTGGGAATGTAATAGCTAGATACATGGAATGTGGTCACACAATCTATATCTTGCTTTGAATAGGCTAGCAAGGCCTAAATGACTAGAATATGAATTAAATGGTTATGTAGAAGATTTTTTTCATTTACATAGCCATGAAAAAGTGGAATCCGCAAATTCTAAGGAAGCAATTATGCCGAAAATAATCTTGGCTTTATTGAAATTGACGAGAAAGCAAAGCAAGAGAGCGAGGGAGAGCGTTGAATGAAAGCTGAGAAACAATGCAAAAAAAATATATTAAAAAAAAGTCAATCATCTTTCAGAAAGTTAATCGAAAGATTTCAAGAATTTTCAAGTAATATTAATATAATCCAGAAGAATCCAAAATTAATCTCGGCCTTCCTATGCCCAAATAATGCGAACATTTCCACACGACTGGTTTTGGACCCCCGGTGGGGTCATTCTCCCGGCTGCCAATAGAGAGTGGGACTCTCACCCCCTAAGAACATGTGTAATTTGGGGGTGTTCCCCTATTGCTGCAAAGTCATCCTTCCTAGTTCCCCCGGGGCACATTTGACCGGACAGTGGTCGAAAAGAAAAGATTTATTTCCGCCTCTTGTCAGTTAAATAAGAGGATCTGTGTAAGCGTGTAAGCTAGGAACCAGAGCCAATTACCGTAGAACTTCTTATAAACCAAGTAATAAACGTCTTAAAATAGTAAATACGCAAAAAATATTATGTTTATAGATGCTACAACTTTTTTTCGACGCAACACCCACACTTTGGGTTTGCTATCATCCGGCTGTAAAGCGACGCGCATGCGCAAAAATTACCCGGGGGCCCGCCTAGGGCCCGAGGCGGATGGGAGACCGATTTGCATAGGAGAAGAAGGGCAATGACTCCGAAAATTGGATCAGCCGGTCAGGTACCCGGGGGCCGAGAAGGAGGGTCACATCCCTAGGGCCCATCCCCCGGAGGATCCTTCTCATGGCCATCAGGCTCACGAAATTCCGGTTGGCAACATGATAATACCGGGGGTGGATAAGGAACGTACGTTTTGGATTGGAAAAGGTAAAAATATATAATATACCGTATCTCACTAAATATTGGCCTTATTGAGAGATCGAAACCCTGGGTTCTACCTACTAGTGGAAACACGGCCACATAAATATTGGAATAATGGCTACAGTACCCGCTGGAGGCGTCTCTACCAAATGAACCCATGATTTATCCTCAAAGGGCACGGGCTCTAAAAAGGGGCGAGCAACAGCCCCAGCTGGGAATATACAGGTGGCCCTCAGCGGATATAAGAAGCCGCTGGTGGCTAAAAAGCCAGCGGCTGCCTATGGCGTGAGAATTGCTGTACGATAACCGAAAAATCAGCTGCCGGCGGATCTGTTGTGCGATACCGGATGTTCATTTAGTGAAAAGGCAAAGGTTTTATGAAGGCAATTAGAGTGTTTGAGTGGTAAGACTCTAGTTTACCCCCCCCCCCCAGCCCTAACTTTTCAGCCATACGTCCTATTAATGCGCGGAGTATCTCAAAATGTTCGCCGTGGTCGAATTACTATAAAAAAGTTGTTTTCTTGCGGCAAAAATTGCTAGAAATTTTTTTACAAGATTTTGAAAGTTGAAAAGATTAAGCCGCTGTGCTTCAATGTACCAGGAGCCTAAAACTCAAATATTTTTATTTTCCTCTATTTTTTTCGACTCAAACGTACTGTAGGCTTATTCTACAGCGCAAGAACTACATTTTGGTACTATTGACAGCTCTGTACGTCAAAAGATAGCCGAGATACGAAAACTCACTTTGGAACAGCAAAAATTAACTAAAGAAAACCCAGACTTATAATTGTTATAAAAATTTTTCTAACAATTTTGGATGTAAGAAAACAACTTTTTTATAGTAATTCGACCACGGGGAACATTTTGAGATACTCGGCGCATTAATAGGACGTATGGCTGAAAAGTTACGGCTGGGGGGGGGGGGGGGTAAACTAGAGTTTAGCCGTTTGAGTCAACATCGCCGATAAAAGGCTATTTTCAAGGAAATTTTTAAAAAGCTATTTAGGAAGAGCTCTTTATAAAATCCGCAAACCGCACTAGATCTTATTTTAGAGAAACCAGATTCTAAAAAAAACCAATCCGCTATTTACAGGTGGATGCATAAATGCCTATTTTTAACTCAGCTTTCGCCATATATAAACCTTTAAATTTCCCTTATCGATAAAACCCTATATAACCCCCTTCAAGCACCCGCTGAGAGTCGAAAAGGTCTAGCATAGGGGCTCCCTATTTCAAACGACCCCCGTCGAGGCTCACCCCAAAAAAATCGAGGAGCAGCGGTAAATCTCGGCAGAGGGATGACCTGTTCATGTGGGAGAGAAGTGGGCCCTAGGCCTCACTGGAAAAGGCGAACAAAACGGGTGAAAAATTCGCAACGCCGTCGAGGGCTAGGGAATGGGAAAGGGAACAGGCCATCAGGGGCCCTGAGGCAGAGGAAAGGGAGGGCCCATTTTGGGACGCTATTAGCCCGATCTGATAGCCTTTTCTATGGGTCTACACAACAACAGGCAGCCAGTGGAATTGCTCTCGGGGTTTGGGATTGGAGGAGGTGGGTGGGTGATGGTGCTGGACTGTTAGCGGGGGGAGGTGGGCAAGACATACCTATCTATCGAGATTTTCAGCTTCTCCTATAGGTTACCTTTGTCGGTGTTTTAGTCGTTTCGATTGCGAAAAAAGCTGCGAAAATGTCTTTAAATGTTTACATTTTCACATTTAAAAAGATTTTAACTGAAGATCTTTCTAGAATTTATTTTCAAAGTTTAAATAAAATTTACAAATTTTCTCCGCAGAAAGATACTAAAAAACAGCAAGATGTGGTTCTTCATTATTCGAAACCCCCCCCCTCTTAAAAATCCAGAACCTAGGCATATGCCTTAAACTGAATGCCAAGAAACAAACGTCAACACGATAAACAACAAAAAAAATCTATAAAATAGGGAATGGAAAACGATTCTCTATGTAAACAAAACTTCGAGTAGAGCCTTATGTAGTAGCACTTTTGGGGGGATCAACAAAATAGCTAATGTCTGGCGAAGGGGGCCAAGTGGTCATCTGGCGCAATAATACCTAGAGGGGCCCCTCTCCGGGGACCCCATTTTTTCTGGCGTCTGCTGCTAAACCCAGCACGACTGCCGTAGAAGGAAGGGAGGCTTAGGAAGTTTTTCAAGCCTAACGTTTATATTTTGAGTCCAAGAGCGAGATCTCAAGTTTAAATATGCTTGGGTCATTAACAAACAAAGAAGCAATTTCGAGCAAAAAATTTTCTAAGCTTCTTCTCGCTTTTTAGCGATGTGAGAACTCTATGCAGTCTCCTTGAGTTCCTTTTCATCTCTATGTTACGAAAAGGCAAAGGGTTAAGAGAACTTGAATAGTCTTTTTAAGTTAAAAGAGCATAAAATGTGATTAAAGTGGTTGTACTTCATAGTAACCTGCCTACGTGGCAGCTGGACTTTGATACCGCTACCCCCCCCCGTAATGAACCAGTACTGAAAAACTATGGACAAAACCAGGAAATTGAACTCTCCTTTATCTGATACCGCAAGACCGCTACAAAAAAAAATTATCGAATAAGCCGCTCCCTAACACCGACAACGCCAGGATTTTAGAAAAAGCATATCCCATCCATTTTTTTACCCATATTCACGCACAAACCAAGACAATACCCACAAATAGGCTACCCATCCCAGGTACAAACCCCAAAAGCATGAATGGCTCCTTTCAATAGAACAGCCGTCCCACGTCCCTCCTTTCCTGATTTTCGGGCGCCGTGATGAGTAAGGGCAATCCGTTTCGATCGGACTGCAAACAAGATAACTGCCTTCGTTTTGACACTTATATAAGCCGACCACGGGATTGGAGGTACTCGTAAAGTTATAAGACGAGACGCCTGAAGCACCCCTTACGATGTGATATTTTGGTGGGGAGAAGGAGGCGAAGGGGCCTCGGATGGAAGCATCTCAATTTACCCTAATTAGGGGAAGACATTCCTATTGAAAATTGTGGTCAGTAAGAAGGGTAGACGAGGAAGTTACGTAAGGAGTTTGAAGATTGCGATTAGTAAAGTACCCTGAAATTCTAAATCAGGGATCGCGGTATTCGAATGATCCAAGACATTTCTTGGGAATTTTCGGTAAGAAGGTTCAAAGGTATTTTGTTCAATTTCAGAATGTAACCCAGCATCTGATTCGTCAGCGGCCCATCCATCCTATATTGCGGTGTCGTGAAAATCAACCTCTGGAAGGCGCAATACATCAATTATTTTGCAATTTGTCTAAATTAAATATGCAAAACACCACTGATCAATACAATTTGATGCTCTTTAAATTGCGAGGAAATAAACATTTGAAATAATGGACTTCCTCGAGGCTGATTTTTGAGATCTCGACGTTGATTATAAACTTTCAAGCTAATCAGCTTTTTTTGTATGCAATTTGATAACTTCGTTAGTCAGTTTTTAACGTTTAATTTTTCATTTTCAGCAGCTTTCCCTGTAAAATACTTCAATTTAATCTCATTTTTAGCCTCCACTTGCTGTCATTTATTTCCATCGCTGGTTGGTTCCCCCCTTCCCCTAGCATGAAAGGTAGTGTGTTGTTTGGGTGTTTGCCTGTTATCTCTCTCCCTTCCTATTTCCTTCCCAGTCCTTTTGCCTCTCTTTTGGTGCTCTTTACTCCTCTGTTCCCGCATTTTACCCCCAGATACTATTGCCCTTCCGATCATCGACCCGTTTTGGGGCGACTATTTGCATCGTATCAGAGCTTATTTTCGAAGTTATATCGTTATTTTTGCAGGGAAGACTGGTAAGATGGTTGCGGGGAAGATGCTGCCTCAGCAAGTGCTGGTACGTTGTTAAAAAAGGTTTTTAAGCGTTAATAAAAGATTAAATGTACATTCTTGAGCTCAGATCCACTTACCCTTAGATTATCTCAACCTTTTTCTCCTTACAAATTAAAGCTTGTAGGGCAAAATTTGCTCCGCCAATCTTTTACATCTTTCTACATTTTTGGTGGTTTATCTTTGCAGGCAAGAAATGCAGAGCTTCTAATATACGATACATTTGCTTTTATGTAGACAAAACTGATTAGATGTGATTTTCCTAATTATATTTTTTACCCCAATTTCATAGTTTGCCCACATCCAATTACACCAATATTTCCGCACTTTGCCCAGCTGTAGTCTGCTGCCGCATCACCCTGTATGATAAGCGATACACAGCATACCAAAATAACGAGTTACGCACGCCAATTCATCATTAGAGCAAGAAATACTTTTGCAGTCTTCCATCCGGCAGCTCTCCTTCACTTCACAACAACTGAAGAAAATGGTTGCCAATGAGGGGACATCAAGGTACCTCGGTCAACCACCACTTACGGTGCCGGATCCGGAAATAACGCTCAAGAAATTTCTGGATTATGCCACTGCTTTGGCAGCAAATGGAAAACCCGGTCAACATCAGGTCTCGCAAAATACATCGGATATTTTGAAGGTGATGCATTGTTAAATTTGCATTTACTTTACCTAGCTTTCATGAAAATCTAGATCTAAAGCTTAAGGGTAAAAATTTGACGGTTTCAATACGAAATGATTCAAATCCGCTAAAAGACAATCGAAACAATTATCCTAATTGGCATTAGCAAACAGAGTTCGTTGGAATGAAATTCGATTAGATGAATTTGTTAGTATTTATTTTTTAGAATTATTTAAAGGTTTACGCAATCCGAATTAACCCCAAAATTCAGACCATCAAAAAATTCCGCGAGGAAGAGATGCCCACGCTGCAAAAGCTGTTGGAGGAGCGGGGCAGCAAGCTACAAAATTGGGTATGCCACTTCAACTCGATATTCAAAAAAAACTTAGCTTACTCCATGGTGGCTTGATGTGGCCTATTTGGCAGCCAGAACCCCTCTACCGGTCGTCACTTCACCTGGCGTGCTATTTCCACGATTTCCTGTCAAGCACAGTAATCCCGTCGACGTGCAGGTATTTCAAAACTACAAAAAAAATCTAAATTACCATCCTCAGATCCATTATGCTACCGCCATTACCCTCAGCGCCTTGCAGTTCTATCAAGCTGTCGAATCGTCAGTGAAATGTTTTCTTTTTCTTGGAACGAGGTAGTTTTTAGTGGAGCATTACCTCAAGATATGGCTGGAAAAGCCCCAATGGACATGTCACAATACAAATTTTTGTTTGGAACGACAAGGGTACCAAGGAAGAGTGTGGTAAGATAAACGAACCAGCAAAATATTCGTGTTTTTAGGATCAAATCAAATATGGTTTTGCAAACAAGAACCCGAATAAGCACATTGTCGTGATGCGGAATGGACATGTAAGAAAAACCCGAAAAATCAGACCCAAAATCCTAGGCCGTGGTCGTTCCTGTGGTCACTAACGGCACGGAAATCAGGGATCATGCTGTTATTGAACAAGCTATTAGACAGGTTTGCTCTTAGAGCTATGTTTAGTTCTGTTTAGGCTTATAAATTAACCGAAGCTAAGAACCCTCACCAAATCGGCATTATTTCCGGCGGTGAACGCGACAATTGGGCTGGAGTTTATAAGAAATTGGAAGGTTTTGGAAATTGGGTCGAACATCTAAATGATTATTAGGAGACATCAACAATGCAGAAAATCTGAAGGCAATTGAGGAGGCATTGTTTGTGGTTTGCTTGGATGCGCCGACAGAACCACCGAACGGACATTCTGAGAAAGATGAGCAGGCTCGATCTGTTAGTTTTTTTTCAGCAGGTTATTATTATTCGACTCAAAACTATAGTTAAATGATCTGTTTTTTTTGTAGGCGTTACATGGCTCGGGATCCACAAATAATTCTGGCAATCGTTGGTTTGACAAGACGATTCAGGTATTATTTCATTCTTACCACCATTTATTGATTTCGACGGATGTTAATAGAATATTTTGTTTTTAATATCCAAATTTACGATCAACCACCTAGTTCATCATCGCGGATAATGGATATTGCGGAATGACCTATGAACATACCCCAGCGGAAGGACCGCCAATCGCAAGGCTAATGGATTTTGTATGCGATAAGATGTAGGTCCTTTTAAAAAAAATTTAGCCTTTTAAACATTTTTAGTAACGCCCAAAAATACCTCACAAATGGTGATACCCAACCGGTCGATGTCAGGCTGCTCAAGTTCATCCTTGAAGATTCCGTCAAAGATGCTGTAGCCCGAAGCGCCAAGGAAATGGACAAGTAATAAAAAGAGTAATGTCAAAACCTCAAAATTTAGGGTCGTCGAGGATCTGGAAGTCCGGACCTATTCCTTCAAAAACTATGGCAAGAATTTCCCCAAGCAGTTGAAGCTGTCACCAGATAGCTTCATTCAAATGGCTTTCCAATTGGCTTACTATAGGTCAAAATATATCGTTGATTACCTATATTTTTAGGCTTTATAACAAAGTCCCACCAACTTATGAAACTGCCACACTGCGACTTTTTGCTGAAGGCCGTACCGAGAATATTCGATTGCCAAGTGTAAAATCGAGGAATATGTGCGAAGCTGTGCGTTGTGTTCCCAGCGTCCTTTAGGCACAAATTTTAGATGCAATCGACCGATCGATCCGATACCGAAAAGTATCAACTCTTCCGAGAAGCTGCTGAATATCATAAAGATCTTGCTAAAGATTGTATGGCAAACAAAGGTGCCGGGTTTTTCTTAACTTTCTAAAAACTATTTTTAGGAATGGACCGACATCTTTTGGCCTGGAGGTTGTTGGCTTCGGAAAATAAACTTCCGGCACCGAGCATTTGCCAGACCGAGAGTTTTAAAGAGATGACGCACTTCCGGGTATCAACTAGTCAGGTAGATCACATAGACTAATTCAAAATCACAATATTAGGTTCCCACCAAAAATTTCATTCAAATGTGCTTCGGCCCATCGGATCCGGATTGCTATGGTATCTGCTACAATCCACAGGAAACGGAATTGCACTTTACTGTAACAGCGTTCAATCAGGAGCCCACCACATCTGCTAAAAGGTAAATTAAATTTAGTATATTCAGCCAGGCAACTTTTTAAGATTCGTCGCTGAATTAGGAAATACTTTCAACGATCTCGAGCGTCTCTGCGGACGCTTCATAGACACCAAGCCCAAATCCAAATTGTAGGAAAATACTCAAGCATTGCTGAACGTGTACAGTTAGCCGAATACATAAAAAATAAATATATTTATGCAAATTAGAATGACTAGATAATAATATACCCATTTTGCGCATGATATCCGTTTTGGGAGATGAAATGGATGAGATCAAGTAAGGAATGTCGCCTATTCGAGCGAGTCCCACCAGCTAAGTACATCTGGACTGTAATCGACCAACGGGGCATTGAAGTCAATTGAATTAATCGATTCTTTGGGGCCAAGGTTGGATTGATGGTTCGGAGAGGTGGACGAGCTGTTCGACGGTTTGGCGCTCAATTCTGAAAAGTCGTAACGTTTTAACCCGGTTTGAGCACACCATTAAATGCCGTACTTAGATTAGCATCCAAAGAATGGCGTCGTTCCTCTTCATCTTGTGTTTCTTCCACATCTGGTAGTTCATAGGTGGGTAGCTGAAAGGGGGGATACGTTTTTAGGCGGAGGTGGCTTACATGAAACTGTTTCATTGTTGCCCGTCGTTCTTTTGTGGTTTTGGGTTCTGGTTTTTCGAAGCGTTTTGCGAGACTGTCAAGCATGAATTTTTTGGCTTCCTGAAACCGAATATATGATCAATGATAGAGAGGTCTTACCCCAACAAGTTCCGGGATACTGCCACGGCGACGGTTTCTTTGTCGTTTACTACCACGTCTATCATCTTCTAGTAGACTTGTTTCGCCATTATCAATCACTTCAATCGATTGCTGGGACTGGTGTTGAGCAGCGATTACGGCAGCCGCCTACATAGTATATAATTTATTATCTACCAAATAGACCTGTAGTGTTTGAATTGGAGTCGGAGGCTGCAAGCTCGCAGCCAGACAAGATAAACGATGCAGTGGAACGACGGTTGGGATTAACGTATCACCCTGAAAACACTTACTTATTACCTTAATCCTTCGCCAAAGGTTATTATTTTGAATGACTTACATTATTCGGCTTATGCTTCAACTTTCGCAAACAATGCTCCAGCCAATGTCGGATTGTCTGCTTGGCCACTTCCTCTTCAATAATATATTCCAGCTCTTCTCTCTGCACCAATTCCTCAAGCTGCAAGCTTTTTCGAATGTCGACACTTCGATATGAAAGCATACTAAAATAGGGAAATAATTATTGGAATTTTCTTACTTCAAAACATCATGGAATGAGATATCATCACCATTATGAAGTCTTTCCATCTCAAAGCACATATGCTTAAAAAGCAATCGATCTTTGTTTGGGTCGACCTGAAAATTTGCACTAATAATTGGATAAATACTACCTCTAATCGTCCTTTCAAAAGTCGCAGTAAAAATTTGACTCTTCGGACAGGGATCGACCGCTAAAGTAAGATAGTTCGAAAAGTTATTTAAAAACCTACCTTTTGTTCGGTATCAACAATATTCCAGACTTGTTGGAAATTTCGGATATCCGCATAACTCAAAAGGGCATCTTCTTCAGAGGAATAGAAAAGGGAAAAGTTTTCCATAATAATAGCTAAATTTAGGATACGTTTAACCTGTTAATAACCAGCCTACCGACAAGCAAATTGAGGACAATGTAAGTGATGATGAGGTAGAAAGAGCAAAAGTAGAAAACGGCTCCAAAATAGTTTCCACAGTCCGTCTGCCAGTAATTGAGACCGTCAGACCAGTAGCAGAATGGAGGGGAGCGCTTAAAAAGTGGTTAATTTTTGTGTTTCATGTTTATTCTCGCCGTTTAGAATATCACCTACCATACAATCATGCATAATATCATTCCAATCTTCTCCCGTAACGCTTCGGAATAATACGACTAGTGCTTCACGACCGGATCGGAAATTCACATGTCTAAAATTTAATTTTTTTTATTTGAAGATTCCAGTCTCACTTGCTAACAGCCTGCCCATATTTCACCATGCCAAATAGAATGACACCCGTATAGGCATAAAACAACACTAGCAGAAACATGGCCGCAATAATGAACATTGATCGAACCATAGACATCAATACAGTCTGCATCAACATTTTGAGGGTTGATTTACGGCCTGAATTTTGGTTTTGAAAGACAGGGGGATATACCAGCTATGGTGAAAAATCGCAGGATGACGACGATGTAGCCAAAAGTGTAGGAGAATCTACGCCATTCGGTTTCTGTATCTTTCCCGCCGGCGAGATGAGCTGGGACTTGGAAGATGAAGTGGAGGATGATCCAAGCCAGTCCTAAATATTTTTCAGAAACCGTTAAACCGTTTTTTGAGAGGAATTCGTTAGGCCTACCGAGTACTGTAATGAAGAAGTCGCTTCTATTCCGTCTTGATTGCCAGAAACCCCTTGGTGTGAATGCTATCTTTTTCAAGATAATCTAAATAAATCGATTTTAAAGTGTTTTTGGGATATACCTCAATTGTAAACAATATATTGCAAAGTGCCGCACAGATTGTCAAAACGAAAAGAACGGAGCTCCTCTGCTTTTCCTCTTCCACATTCCAAGGTACCACCAGAGTAAATGAATTGATCACTACCAGCAATGCAAAGGCCTACACGTTTATCGATTGCTATGTATCTGACTCTAACAAGGAGACGTTTTTTTAGTGTGAATGGAGTTTTCAGTTGAAACCAGGCCTATTCTGTGCAGAATTTTGCGCTGATTCCGATGCTGTTTTCCAATTTTGCTAAATAGCTCGATTTAAAAAGTTACAGCTATTTTAAGATAATTTTTAGGCCCCGAGTAGCCATATGCTATGCTGTGCTACTTTTTTGTTATAACGTTTTAATTTTGTTTAAAGAGCCTATCTTGTAGAGAATTTTTTCTGATTCGAATGGTATATCTTATTAGTGCGCTACTGCCGATCGACGATGGCTTACAGGGGTGAGAAATAGGCTGTTTTTCACCATTTCCCATACAAAAATCGCAGCCCATACCAAGTATCGTCGATTTTTTCGATTTTCAACAATTTTGCGTTAAATAGCTCATTCGACAGAGAAAATTTTTCTGAATACGGTGACAATATTTATTTTTGGAAAAACAGCCGGGAAAAGCAATATAATGGTCCCTAAAGAGGGGAAAATTTGGACTAAAATGATCTTAAAATTGCTATAACTTTTGAAATCGAGCTATTTAGCAGAAATGGAAAACATATTCGGAATCAGCGCAAAATTCTGCACAAATAGGCCTGGTTTCCACTCAGAACTCCATTCACACCAAAAAACGTCTCCTTGTAAGGTATCACCTGCTTGAACGGTCGACTCAGCGTCAATTCGTAAAGATAGATACGTAACCTCGCACTTTCGGCAGGTTTTGGTGGAACATGCAGAGGTTGGGCCATTTTCAAACGAGCTTTCAAGTCGTGCCATCTTCTTTGATCGACGGTAAGCAGAGCGGTTCCCTAAAATAAACATAAGAATTTTTATAAGTGTTCTGTACCCGATTCTCGGTGTAATTTGCGATAACTACACCGACAAAAAGCGTCAACCCAATCATACATCCGATGAAGACATAGATATGGATGAAAAGGACCGCCCACTAAAAAAAATCAAAGCGCTTGCTGATGTATTTTGAAACTTACCGCTCCTTGTCGTAAATATAAAATATCACGAATGACGTTCCATCCCTTATACGATAGCGTCTCAAAAAGGGGCCAACATAGCATTTCCAATATGGTCAAAGTTGAAGTTTCGTGGGTTCGTCCTAAGACTCGTGCTCCTTTTTATGTTTTAGAATTATTACCAGACACGCGGCACCAAGATCTTTGGATGCAAGTGATCATCATTTTTACCATACACTTCCATTCTTGTGACAAAAATCTTTTGTTCAAAGAGACCAGTGCAGTTTTCCTGAAATATCATAATAGAGAAGCATATCAAGACATACCCGAGTTGTAATATTTGGATCATTACAAGCCGCCAATTTCCCACCAACAATTTGTACCCCAAAGCTCGCGAAGATGAACATAAGTACGATTAACAAAATCGTTACCTGGAAATCAGATTTTTACTTCGGTATTCTAAACACAACTAACAAGCAAAATCTCTCGGAATCCTTTGCACAACTCGACAACAACCCTCCGGATATGTGGCACCAATGTGTAGATCCGTAACGGACGCATAGCTCGGAATATCATCAGCAATTGGGCCACCGAATTTATCTCGACATGACTTGGCATCCAGAAAAGGTAGATCAACGAGGTCTACGTATTTTTTATATTTAACAATTGTTCGAGGCTTACGATATAAATAAAGAATGTCATCACTCCGCCGACGTCTTTTATCACAGCTTTTGGAGTGAAGAATAACCCATTCGCCAACACTTTTACGAGTAGTTCGAATGTCATTGCCAGTACAAAGAGATATTCAGTAATCTAAGAAACGATCAATATATTTTTAGTGTATTAACCTGAAGATACGGATTGTTAAAGATCAAATTCTCTCCAGTAGTTGGCCAAGGACTTTCGAAAAGCATAGACCAACAAGAGAGAGAAGTGACGATCACCATAGTCCAATCGAGGTAGGTCATCAAACCGAGGAAAGCGCTGAAAACCAAATTACCATACAAAATGGGTTCCATACTGGAGTTGCTTGTATTTGATCTGGATTTGCTTGCCAGTCACTGGATCGATTTTCTCCAAACTGTATTGTGCATAGACGATTTGTTGGCAAATTTGCCTAAATTAATATAAATCGAAATGGGATGGTGTAATTACCGGAATTTTGAATCTCGGCCCATACAGAAAAGCGGACGGTCAAAGTATGGATGATTTTCACGCATCTCTTCTTCGATTCGATTTCTAGAAGCCTGTTTGCATAATTGTTCCTCTCTTACCTTGTAATCTCAGCATGTGCTCGTTTTTGTTGCAATGCCTTGATATCGATTTCTCCTTGTTTTTGTTCTTTTTGTGGCGCCTGACTCAAATATTAATCGGACTTCTTCCCAAACCTGATCTGTCGGTCGCAAATCCCCATTTTCTTTCATAGATTCCATCAGGTGTAATTTCCCTTTAACCGAAGCAGCAAGACCACGATTCCGCGTCCTTCTATAACAAAATTTTCTTACGGTAACAGCCCCAACTTCAAACAGGGACAATTTCAAGTTGAAATAAAACACAGCACGCTCGCAGACCCGTAACTCCATCAAAAAATGAGGCGGCTTTTTGAAGCAAAATATGGCAAAAGGCAAAAGCCGAACCTACTTACTTGACGATATACCCATTCCTTAGGCGAGGTCTTGACATAATTTGGAAGGTTGTTAAAGTGATCGACTATAGGCTAACGTGTCAGGCTAGTCAACTCGGATGAGGTTTTCACCTGTCGGCCAGCTGCTAGTAACATGAACGCGCGATTTATTATTCGCGGCCTTAGAAGCGACGGCTTGGATTTCTAATTTCCTTATTTGGACATAGTTACGGCCCTTTTGCTGGTGGATTGACGTATAGATGGTAGAAGTTGAAAAAGTGGGAGGGAATGATGGTGTGTTCAAGTAGTAGAGAAGCTCTAGCTAGGTGGTGGGGGGTTCAGGAGGTGAGATAGGGTGTTTAGGGAGGGTAGGAATGTGAGGCATTGTGAGTTGCTGGGAAGGGAGGCTGGAATTTATGTACAAAACCCGGGCTATCTGCACATGCTAATGAGTTACTAGGTTTGGGGGGGTATCGAAAGATGCAAACAGTTGCTACGAAAAGCTGGCAATTTTCTAGGAGCACACGCAAGCTTTTACATATTTATGTTGGAGTTACTGGTATGTTTGATATTTCGGTGGAATTGTAATGTGTTCTAGACGAATTTTAGCTAAAAATTATAAATCCTATTACTATTAACAAATTAGCTGTTAAGAAAAATGTTCAAATTATCAAGTAGCTGCAAAAATTGCTCAAATAAGTTTTTGTTCACGTACAAACTTGTTCAAACCAAAAGTCACCTCTAGCTGTCCAGTAATAAGTATTCGATGCAAAAAAATTTTAGCCATTTGACGTTTCCGTTTTGCCAAAATGATGTTGGAAATCCACAATATATCGAATTTTGCGTAGTATTTCGGCGTTTTCCGGGCGAAATGTAAGTTTTGGTAGAAATTGCGCCATTAAGACATTTCGACATTATGAATTGCGACATTTTTCGAAAATAAGCTAATTTTCCTACTATCGTAATTCCCTCCAGCCACAATACCACAGTGCAACGGGTTGTCAGGCACACAAGGCAAAGAAAGGACAAGCAACAACTCTCTCCTCTCTTTCTCGCTCAAAGGGATGGATATAATCAAAAAAATCTGGGGCGGTTGCTAATTGCGACAGAATCAGAGCCCACTCACTGCGATGAGATATGCTTGGCTTTGAGGGTGGAGGCACGGGATAGATGGGCCACGAGAAGGGATGAATCCGAGAGACCGGCGCGACTTCGATTCGATTGGCTGAAAGCCCAGACCGGCTTCGTCCCAATTATAAAAAGACGACAGCGGTGGAATATTTATATCAAATGGAGGCACGGGGGGAAGCCGCTTCTTGTGTAAGCAGGGGTGTAGCGTCTAGTGATGTTATTATTTGTGTAAAACCCGGATTCAAATCTATGGATTTGATTAAGCTTCCGGTTCACCTTCTTCAAATCCACTAAATTTTTGTGTGCAAAACACTAAAAAACACTTTTTCTCTGCGTAAAAACATCAGAAATGTACAAATTTCACGCTTAATAAGCCAAATTTAGAATTTTTGGGAAGAAACCGAGCTTGCCAAATTGTCAGATTTTAACCCCGATTCAACTTGAGTAACAACATCACTAGTAGCATCTTCTGGATTTTTCAAATTTCTTCAAAAAAAGGTTCAAAAACTTTTTTGGTGCTGGCTTGCTCACGCAGTGCGATCCTATATATAAAACATAAAACACAATTTCAGGCTTAGTCTCCAAAATAAGTTTTTACTAATAAATATCGAAATTCCTCCAATCTACAGTACCCAAATGAAAGCTGCGGAACTTTACTCGAGACAGTGCATGCCTACCCCAAAATCTTTATGGCGAACCCGACACAAACCACAATTACAGGTTCTTAATAGTTTTTCACGAACTACCCTTAAGGCTTAGATAGGGTTGCAAGTCAAATGTAGAGGATAACCCACTCAAGGATCCTATTAACAATGTTCCGCTCCGATATACGACCGATATGGCGTAACCGCAAATGGCGATGGGTTGCTTGACTGTAGATATTTGAGGCCATCAGTCTCTTTGAGCAGTCATCACCTTCTATCATTATTTCTAAAAAAACCCAAATTTAGTTGGTATCAATCTGAAACCTTCATTATCTTCAGTTATCGTTGTTTCTTCCGGTTCATCAGCAAATTGTCTTGTGAACGAGTGACGGATTTTTGGCAGTGGAAATTCTCCATGAGCCTAAGAAAAAAATTAAGGTTGGAATGCTATTCTTGCCCACTTTTTCAGTGACACCATTTGTGGTCGAGTAGGGAATTGATCGAAAACTCGCAATCTCCATGGTAACGTTGTTCGCATTGAGTTCTAAAATTATGAATTTAATGCTTTGAGTTACAAAATCACCTCTTCCCTAGCTTTCAACTGCTTCACTTTTTTCAACTCTTCGTCCATTTCCAAGTTATCGAGAATGACGGCGACGAAAAGGAGAGCACAATCTATTTGATTTGGATCTTATAGAACCTTCGAGCTTTTCTTACCAGCGTCACCAGCAAGTGATACCCAACGAAATATATGGCCACAAATGGCACCATACTTTCATTGGTTGTTCGTAGAATTTCGACGACCACATCCGTCCAACCCTCTTGCGTGATAATTTGGAACATCGTCATAAACGCCTAAACCGAATTGTATGCATTTAAACAAAAAGATACCTGAGGAAAAGTAATAAATTTGTTGAGCCTGGGGACATAGCAAAATAATTGAAGCGAGATTCCGGAGGTGATCACCAGTAACACCATAGTGAAGACGACCAATCCCCCCAACTTTTGCCTGGTCCAAAGATCTGAATTTTACCTACTTTCCGAATTCCATAGATTCAGATACCTTATATACGAAATCCTCCAACATGGGCCGAGGCTTTGATCAAACGCACTACTCGAAACACCTGAATTGACCTATTTACAAGAGTTTAAATTTCCCACCTGGAAGTATGTGGAAAATATTCTTATCGTAGAAAAACTTGATGCAATTGAGCGTCGAACCGATGCACAATATCACTTCAAATTTGTGCTGGCCTCTTCCTGATGAATGGCTTCCAGCCGTAGCCGATCAATTTCAGGAATAATTCAAAGTTGAATAAACCGGTGAAGAAGATCTATACAAAGAAGTTACCATGGAACCTCGAGGTTTCCCACCTCGACATAATAATAAATTTCTTTTCGGATTTTGTCAGATTCATCGTGGTAGTATACAAATGACGCATTGACTAGAGCGTTGATGAGGACAAGGCCCATAGCACCGATTTGGAATGATGTTGGAGGTTACCATCTGAATTAAGATTGCCGAATTGGACAGTGACCAAGTTACCGTATGAAGTAGCTCTGGGGTATTTCCAGTTCGTGCATATTGATCAACATCCACGAGTTGCCAACCGTCGGTTCCTCTTTCTAGTTTCTAAACAAAAATGTAGGCATGTTTTAAGGTTTTAGTATCTATACCAGGATTTTTAATATTAACTCATCATGATTATTCATCAATATTCCTTACCTGTGTCAAGTATCCTCCGCTGTCACTTCCCGGCTTTGCCACATTTCACTGAATTGGACACGAATCTCAGCAAAAAGTCTCGGTGATAACGGCGATGAAAACGTTCTATAATTCCGTTTCAAGCGTTTTTTAATAAACGCTTACCTTGACCAGCCAAGCCAGGAAGAAAATCAGGGTCACAAAATAGAAAAACGCCACATAACGGCAGCGTGTCCCAAGCAGTCGTAGAGCACGTAGGACCCAACCTTCTTGTGAAGCAGCCATGTAGACGGTGAATAGGGAAGAAGCTATATTTAATTGATGGAAAACGATTTGCATTGACCTACCAAAATCATTAAACATTCCATAAAATCCCTCCGCATGGGCGCTCATATCCAGCTTCATACATTCCATATGTTCCGGGCATTCGTAGCCACCTATCCAAATTTAGTAGCCGTTTTCTATACCTTACCGCCTCCCTCTTTCTTTGAGCACATTGTATCCGGGATGGCCAAATCAGAGATTGTCACATTTTTCGGGTCGGTTCCGGGTAGAACACAATGATAATCCATACGTCCTAGAAATGTGTTTATTGGCTGTCACGACAGTACATAAATCGTATTGCCATTAAAAAGGTATTAAATAAATCGTATGACTTACCGAAAAGCTGTACTCCCATTATAGCGTAGAGTGCGCATAAAAAATAGGAAGAAAATGGTGACATTTTGGATTTGTTGTGAGGAACGTCTAAACACTCTATTTTGACCCTAGGGTTCGCTTACTTGATAATTTGCTGGATTCGATTTTTCGGCAATTTAAATTGAATAATTGAACGGATAAAGCGGACGGTGATGAATGGGCGTGGCGATCGGATGACACCATACCACGTTTGGTACTGTAAGAAAAAATTATCATAAAATTTTTATAATTAGTATTACCCGTAATCCGGTCGCCGGAAAATGGATACAAACAATCTGGTATCCATGCAGCCCAAGTGATGCATAGTGCATCAACAGCAAAAACAAATCAAAGCGACACCACCGGTCACGGAGGTAGGCTTTGGGATTCTAAATATGTTTTTGATTTAAATTAAATTTTTCGGTTTAAACTCACATCACAGAGCCCATTATGATGTATATAAACAAGCGCTTCAATCGTGAATATTAGCGTAACGAGACAGTCGGCCGAAAATATGACCCAATTCAACGGGCCCCACAACAACAACGTCTGCGGGGTGTTCATACAAACAGAAACCTGAGTCGGAATTTATATAATTTTATTTAGAATTTTATTTACCATAGATAATAAACAAGAAAATTTAACCAGTTCTTTAAGGAGATCATTCTGAAGAATATCTAAACAATGGAAATAAGAGGTTTTAAAAAAATTAGTTAATCCAAAATTTACATATTAAATAAAAATACATACCCGCCCGTTTATTAATAGCGCTCGGCTCCAGGTTGATAATCTCCTGTAGTGCAATCACACTTTCTCGCGCCTTTTTCGCCGCTTTCGAGCCGCCCTACAGTAGAAAAAAGCGCAAGATTGGAATGCCTCAAACCACTCCAAAAATACCTGGGTCTGAGATCCATTGGTCGGCTCGCCGCTGCTCTTCCGCCTGGTGAGCATTGTGGCCGAGAGGCCGGCAGCCTTTAGGGCTGAAAATAAGCACATTTTAGGGGCCGCTGTTTTTACTCGCAGCTCTCGTGTTTTTGCGGGACTGGGGGTTAGACACGAGGGAACTTTAGAACTTGATATTTGGAGATTGATTCGATTTGAGCACGAAAAAGGGGTAAATGTGGGATATCGAGTACGAGACGAAACACGGGGGGTGTTATAAAGTACCATATTTCTTCGAATATAAGCCCAGGGCCAATTTTTGTAATCACTTTTAAAGGGATTGTATCAAAGAGGTTCTATTAGGCAAGATTCTGTTGGAGTAACGAAATTCGAAGGTAAACCAGACCACTTTGAGCAAATCTTTTGTTTTTAACCTATTAAATAGCCAAATACGCCTTCCAATACCAGGAAAGCATAAACAAAACTCATATTCGGATTTTTAGGTATTTTAAATCACTGACAATTTTTATCAGTCCAAAATTAAGTTTTATATTTTAGAGGAGGGCTATTTTTCGATCACTACGAAATCTGGGCTCACACCAAAGAAAATACGGTCTAAACTAAGAAAAAATTTAGTAAAATTAAAGGTTTTCATATTGAATTCGAGATGGCAGTAGATTTGGCGTGGTGCTGGGTGCTGTGAGGCAGCCAACAACGGAATATCTAAGGCGGTGGCCAGGCTGGGGCCCCCGATTTCCCCCTCCTCCTCCTCCTTCTCGCGCAGGGCCCACGTCGCATACTTTCTAATTCAATTCAACTTTCTAGCCAACCAGCCGTGCCTTGGCAAATTTAGAAAATAAGAATCAGACGCGACGGCTGGAAGGCGAAAGAGGAGGCGGGGGAGGGAAAAATATTCTAAGTTACGGATGGCAGCCTAGTGGGGGCTCATTAGCTGATCGAGACAGACGGGTTTCTGTTTCATTTAATTTAACGAGCCTCATATTGTAAAATTCATCGGGGCTTTAGTGGAGAGCATAATCGAAATTTGCTTGCTATACTTCCAAAATAAATCAAAAAAATATCGGGGGTCCGAATTTAAAAAAGAATAAATCGATTCCCGCTCTGCAAGGCACATAAATTCGTTGATTTTAACAAAATATCGATTTTTAAAAATATTTGCTTTTGCAAGAAATTATTCAATTATTTTCGAAGTTTATCTTTAAAAATCGATTAATTTGCAAAAAAACACACATTTTGAATTCTGATGATACTTACATGCTAAAACCGCAAGCATTTTGAAAATTGAACAGGAAAAAAAACATTAAATATATCTCGAATAAACCGTTTAATTTGATAGTTACATGAAAGTAATGCATCCGGCAAAAGTTGCGGTGTCACATATGAAATTGAGCCACCACCGGTAAAGCGATCCCACCCAGCCAACCCATTACCGCCTCAAAAATAATGAGCACCACCCATCCCCCCTGGCTTCGAGGGAAATGTTGCGACTCTAAAGTTGCCACTTAGCACATCCGGTGTGCATCCCCCCACCCTTCCTTTACCCCAATACCCTCCTTCTCCACCAGCATTAATTAAAGGAATTGCACAAACATTGCCATTCTCTCTGCCATACTCTATTTCTCCGTTTCTCTCTACTATATCACATTCTCCTTAAAGAGTCACTCTTGCCTGGAGAAGGGTCTTTTCCCCCCTTGGGGGATCGAGCTCCGTAACCGGATATGTGGGTATGGCCAAAAGGGGGCACATGGAAGGCTACGTCGTGTCAATGGCACACATGCACACCTTCACACCCACAAAAGGGCATCAATGCCTTTTACATTTGCAAATTGGTTGTAGCCTATCTGGGAAATCACAGTTTGTGAATGTAAAAATTGAAAAATGAATTTTGAGGCACTTGAAAAAGGTAACAAAACCAAGATCTTGCAAAAACTAAATTTTAGAAAATCAGTAAAAAGTGTAGGCTATTATTGAAGTTTTTACGCATTTAACGCATGAAAAAATTTCAGTATGCGACGAAGAATGTCATTTTCGAAATAATATGTTATTGAAAAGCAGCATGATCAAGGTTTTTGGTTAAATAAAAAGGTAATTTTTATTTGATTTCCCAACTTCGTTCGAACGCCAGAAGTCTTTCATCCTTATACGGTAGCTCTATAGCGCCGTATAACAATTCAAAAATTATTTGGAAAAATCATGTACCTGATTTCCCAGCCAAATTATAAAAGGATGCAAAAAATAACTCACGCGCCAAGATCTCAAATAACGTCGGGTTTTCCTGCCAGTTTGGGTCCATGAGCGAAATTGTTTCATGCGGCTTCCCCGGTGGGGGCACCGGATGAAATTACAGAAAATGAGGAGCCGACGCCTTTTGGGGGGCAAATGCGTGGGGAGGCCGATGAAGGGGAGGAGGAGATGCTGATGGAGGTGATGATGATGGGCCCCCACGGATTCGCAACTTTTAGATTGCCTTCAAACGGATCCAGCCCGGCAGTGAGCCCCCAAAATGGCGTCAAGCTCAAAAATGGCAGCCCTGCTATTGTGGCCGGGAGGATGGATAGAATATGGGTGGTTGCCCTCCTGAATTCCCTGAACGGATCTCAACCAGCCATCGGGAAAAGAGGGCAGTCCCTTAACGTTAATTCGGCTTAATTGAGGCCGTGCGGGGAAAGACGGAATTTTTGAGAAATCCGGGCCTAACAGGTGGAATTTTGCGGGCAGCTGTTTTTGGCGTCAAGAGGTATTCCGGTTGCCGGGGGCCTTAAAGTTTTGGATAGAACCATTTATAAAAAAAAAATAAGAATTAAAAATAGCTTTTTTTTGTTATGCGGGTTTAAATGGGGCTTCTGTCAGCCTTTTTCTTTCAAGTTTAAGAAAGTATATAGGGTCGTTACTAGGTCTTGAAATGAGAAAAAGCTTCCGAAAATTAGCACAACCCAACTTTCATATTGAAATTCAGTTTTTCTCGCAGAAGATAGAGCGGCAACCAGAAGTAGATCTAGCTCACATAAGCAGCTGGTAGATACAAGAAGTCACGGAGTTCAACCTCGCTAAACCCTCCGTTCCTGCTAAACCACAACTGTGCCATAAATGCCGTCACGACCCCTACGGTATACAGTCGAGATTAAACGCACTTGACTGAGAGAAAAACAAAACTGAGCCATCTAACAACCTGAAAAATCATAAACCCTACTTTCGAATCCTACTTCAATAACTCCCTCCGACTCTGGTTGGGCAATAAACGTATTGGCGAACAAAAACCGGGTGGAGAACGAGGCGGGGGTTGCGGGGAGGACGAGGAGGAGAAGGAGGGCAGGGTCTCCGGCTCGCCGCGGGGCTTTTGGTGGAGAAGAAATGAGGCTGGGCCGAACAATTGAGATCTTCCGGAATGGGTTATCCAGCGCTTGAGAGCGCTTGAGGGAATTTCGGACCCTATTGATCAACCGGGTGAGCTGTGTTTCTACCCCCAAGATGCTACTTCAGTTTTTCGGAAATAATGGTGGTTCTAGATATAGTGGGGGTAAAGAAATTAACGAAGCAGAAAAAATGCAAAAGTGGTAAATTTATTAAGGTATATGGAAGTAAAGCCTGTCGCATTTTTTCAAAGTCATTTTTTAATGACCTGAATTTAAAATAAATTATTTAGGAAAAATAATAGGAAGCAAGTAAACTTAAGTGTAGTATTTATACCAATTCCACTGAGACAACTAAAAAAATCAAACGCTAAACATCATTAGCCAAAAACCCAAACCTCAAAAACACAAAAATTCACAAAACCAAACAAACAATTACTCGACAAATTGGTCACGTTACAATCCCCCCGTTTCCCCCAACACTTACTATTCTGAGGGCTCTTTCTGAAGCTCTTCCGACTAAACGTCGCCTCCAGATGCGAATCCGGCTCCAGTTGACTTTTCATCTCAGCATCTGGACCCAATCAAATGGAATATTTGGCGCCAGCTGAGTGAAGACTCACAGCCTCTAATAGCCAAATGTGTGTGTCTGTCGGGTTAGAATGGGCCTCGAGCCAATGTGCCCCAGGGCGGCGGGAAAGTGCCTCGAAAAAGTGTGTGCAATGGCGTTTAGATGGTCGATGATGAGGGATGCCCCTCTTCTTCTTTCCTACGGGCACCCCCACCTTCCCTTTGCCTTCGCTTTTCTGTTTTTTAGGTTTTCTTCCCTTTTCTCACGTCATCCCAGTTGGGGAGATGCACCTTTCGCCCCTGCTGCTTCTGGAGGGGGCTTATCATAAAGCAACTTATGCCGGGTTGGCCCTTCACATTCCCGTAAAAAATATGAATTTTCAGCGGGGGCATTGGATTGCTAGGCTCAAAAGCATAGAGTAAAAAGTAGCGAGGCAGGTAAGTGAAGTAAAATCCAGGGCGGTTCTCTCAAAATATACGCTATAAATCTCGACTAGCAGAATCTCGTGCACAAAGTTTTTATCAATCAAATTAGCATACTATTAAAATAGAAAAAACACAACCTAAACGACCGGAATCTCTCCGAAAAAGGATAAGGGGTTCTTTCGCATTTTCGGGGATCTGATTTTTGGTCTACGATAGTAAGCATTTTTAGTGAAATGAGGCTATATTTGACGTGGAAAACTATATTTAATAACCCTCTAAATTTTTGAACATTTGCAGGTTTGATGGAAAATCGGACTCTTTTTGGTCGACAAACCTATACTTTTTGTATTTTGATTTTTATTTGGGAACATTGGTGCTTAAGAACAGTCAAAAACGGTTTGAAACATTCCTATTAGCAAAATTCTAGATTTTCAAAAAGTTCGTTTTCCCTGAAACCCGCTCCCCGAGAATACAAAAAAACCGAAAATAGAAAAATTAACGGATCAAATTCCCAAGCAACCGGCAGATCAAATTAAATTAAAATTATGTAAATCGGTGAGATAAGGCAACCCTCATATATCTATATTATTTTTATATTAACATTAAAAATACCGGTTCATGAATGCTCTCACGGGCTATTGCCCAATTAGAGCGAAAACACCCTCACCCACCCACACACAAAAATGATGAAGCAACGTTTTACGGCCTCTGGCAGCGCTTTGCATTTCACGCAGCCTCCCCAACCAA